GCATCAAAAATATCCAGCTTCAAGAAAAGGCTATGTAATATGTTCTAGGGGCTAGGGCGTATATACAGGGTGTTTCGAAAGTCTTTCAAGGATGTCCCTTTTTGAACAACTTTTTATCCGCTTGTCTAAACTTCATTCTATAAAATTACCCATATTTACCTATGTCGCTAGGGGACTGATTGCGGTTGCTATGATGGCTCATAACTCACAAGCATTTTATGGCATATTTTTCTTTAAAACGTTTACATAAATGGAAGTGGGCGTGGTCTATCTTGAGTGGTCCCCAATAATTAAAGTCTGCGACTTTTCCTTTGTCTTTCTAGACCTGTAAAGGATCAACTTAGCTGCCCAAATCGACGACGTTGTTGGATGCACTACAATTACATATCGGTTGTATTCTAACAGCATAATGAATTTTCAAATCTTTCTACCCTTTAACTATTAGTATTGTAAGCTAATTTGTTTTAAAATTTATTTACTAATGGCTTTTACGTTTATTTTTAATGATTCATCTTCAAGGCCCTAGTGTGAAAGAAACCCAAAAACTGGAAATAATGGAAGAAAGTGGAAACTTTATGTTGAGTGAAGGTGGTGTCAATTCTACTGATTCTCCCACATATACCCCTGATGTCGAAGAATTCTTATCAGTCGAGGCTTACAGAAGATACGATGTACTCATAGCGCTTATTCTGATGTTGTGTCTTTTGATAGGGCTCCCAGGAAACTTGATCTCTCTTTTCTTTTACAGCTGCAGAAGAGACTTTGCCAGTCTGGTTTACAGCTCTATCTGCGGACTAGACGTCTTCATATGTCTGATCTCGATCCCCGTTATGATATCGTTATTTAACAACAGAATGCCAGGTATTCTTGATAATCAGATATTCTGCGTGGGATGGAATGTTGTTTTCTACTTTCTGGCTCGAATGTCCATGTTTTTGGTGATGTTGTTGAGTGTTTCACGGACGATAGCAATAGTTTTTCCGTTTTACCAAATGAGGAAGAATGTCTTTGTTGCTTCTTCTGGGATCTACATTCTCATCATGTTCATTTGGAGTGGGCTGGTAGTCCACCATGGTGGTTCCGACATGTTTTACTCTTATGACAAAGTAAACGTGTACTGTTACTACGAACTCGACTTTAAAGTTGGTAATTCCTTCCCTCAGATTGAACAGATTCTATTCGTTCTGAGTTTAGGAATCCCCCCCATCGTTACTTTGATCAGTTTTACAATATCAGTCAACAAACTTGCTCGCAAGAGCTCTGTGTCACATATGAGTGATAGGAACAGAAAAGCTTCTGTGACCCTTGCTTTATTTACAGGGTTGTTCCTAATTTGTAACGCGCCCTGTTTTGCTAATAACGCGGTCTACATGGTAGGATCTTTCTTGAGCCTTTACCCTCGACCATTTTACATGAGTACATTCATGTTCTTCTACAGTTGGGTGCTCGCAGAAGTTGTCTCCGTTGTTGTTAATGCTGCCCTCAACCCTGTTCTGTATTACTTCAGAGTTCAGGCACTGAGACGGTGGACTATGAGTTGTTTGAAGGGATCGAAAGAGAGAGGGTTGGGTTCGCCGAGCAAATCTCCCCCTTCTTCGCGGATAAAGTTAAACAATCACATGAACATAAACAACTTTCGTAGAAACACTGTTCGCAGAAAAACGATCGCTTAAATAGCTTTACTCAATTGTGTCAACTGTTACCACTTACTTTTTAATTTGTATTGAAAACCAATTATCTTAAGTGGGTTTTGTTACAGCAGCAATGCCATTTCAATGTACAGTTTATCTCTTACATCTTTATAGATAACACTAACACTAAGATATCTTCGCTGACATGCAGTCAAGGTTCGACCGGGATCCCAGCTTAATCCCGGTCCCGGTCAAAAATCGACCGAGAAAATGCCAAATTTTGACCGGATTTTTTAAAAAAGTTATTAAATTATCGAACATTTGTTTGTACAAATGAACGATTTTTTTTGTCTGTTATCCCCTACAATGTTTTTCGCCAACTTGAAAGACCTTTCACATGCGACTGAAAAAGGAGTTGGTCAAAGATATATTCAGACAAGCTGGTTCAGATGGGGTACAGAGTGTGATTTTCCGCCAGAACTCCAGGTGATTACGTCTCTGGGGCTCCAGCTTGTCCTTAAAATATATGGTAACCTCGTTACATACCAAGTTGTTAGGAGATCTGGGCTCGTCTGAAGTACTGCGTAGGAGTTGGTCAGTTGGTTCCAAGTCGCTGGTTCCAAGTCGCTGCATCAAATGTAGAATATTCTAGAAATCCAGTACACTGATCAACCAACTTGCTGACATAAAATATTGTTAAAAAAATGCACCTAACGCCATTATACATTATAAGATCAAAGAATATTGAAAGTATTCCCGGTCCCGGTCGTATTCCCGGTCCCGGTCGTATTCCCAGTCTCGGCACCTTTTTCCAGTCCCGGTCCCGGTCAAAAAAGCGGTCCTGGTCGATCCTTGCATGCAGTTATCGCTTTGGGTTTAAACGTCTTGTCAGTTAAAAGGTTTTAACCGTTTTAACGTTTTGAGACTTTACAATTATCTCGAAGAAACCGTTTAAAACAACATCAACATTGAAGTTTTTGTTCGTACCTAAACAGGATTACTGTATCTATGATTAATACTTAGCGAGAACGATATGTAACATTTCCACCAAAACAGCAGTTGGGGGAAGGGGCAACCTCATTGCCCATTTAATCCTTAACTTTTAGACAAATGTGCATGGGAATCGATGGGGTGGGTCCACCTCCAGCAGCTTTCTTTAATCCATCTTTGAAAGTATCTGTACTTGCAACAAACACACCCTCAAGAAACTTAGATCTCACAAGACAATAAGATGAGTAATTAGCCCGATTAATGAATCTTCTTTGTCAGATGCAGAATAATATTCGTAATGCAACGAAACGTGGTATGTTGATTCAATATTATCTTATTGGGGGGGGGGGGGGGGGGGGGGGTGGGGGCGCTCATGTTTTTTGGGGGCGCTCATGTTTTTTGTCCAAGACGGACAAAAAATAGGGCGGACAAAAACGGACAAAAAACATGAGCCCCCCCCCCCCCCCCCCACCACTATACGTCTCTTGCAACAGCTTCTTTGTACACCACATCAAAATTATCCAACTTCATGAAAAATTGTATTCAAGTTATACCTACATAAAGAAGTTATTGAAATATCCTTTTGCACCGTTGCAGTCTTCAAGGAAAACGAATTTTTCAAAATTTTCTACCTTTTAACATAAAATGTTTAAAAATGTTGTCAAAGTAATTGTTTATTTACTTGAGTACAACAAATTCTGGTTTTAACGTTCATTTATCTTCAAAGCCTTAATGTGAAAGAATCCCGAAAATTGGGAATTATGAAAGAACTTGGAAATACAATGGACGATCAGGACAGTGTCAATTCTACTGATTCTCCTACATATACCCCTGATGTCGAAAGATTCTTATCAGTCGAGGCTTACAGAAGATACGATGTACTCATAGCGCTAATTCTGATGTTGTGTCTTCTGATCGGGCTCCCAGGAAACTTGATCTCTCTTTTCTTCTACAGCCGCCGAAGAGGCTTTGCTAGTCTGGTATACAGTTGTATTTGTGGACTAGACGTCTTCACATCTCTGATCTCAATTCCCGTCATGATATCGTTATTTAACAACAGAATGCCAGGTATTCTTGATAATCAGATATTCTGCGTGGGATGGAATGTTGTTTTCTACTTTCTGGCTCGAATGTCCATGTTTTTGGTGATGTTGTTGAGTGTTTCACGGACGATAGCAATAATTTTTCCGTTTTACCAAATGAGGAAGAATGTCTTTCTTGCTTTTTCTGGGATCTACATCTCATCATGTTCATTTGGAGTGGTCTGATAGTTCATCATGGTGGTACTGACATAGATTACGCTTATGACAAGTTTACTGTTTACTGTTACTACTACCTCTTTAAGCTTGGTGGTTCTTTCCCTAAGATTGAACAGATTTTCTTTGCACTGAGCTTAGGAATTCCCCCCATCGTTACTTTGATCAGTTTTACTATATCAGTCAACAAACTTGCTCGCAAGAGCTCTGTGTCACATATGAGTGATAGAAACAGAAAAGCCTCTGTGACCCTTGCTTTATTTACAGGGTTGTTCCTAATTTGTAACGCGCCCTGTTTTGCTAATAACGCGGTCTATATGATAGGATCTTTCTTGAGCCTTTACCCTCGACCATTTTACATGAGTACATTCATGTTCTTCTACAGTTGGGTGCTCGCAGAAGTTGTCTCCGTTGTTGTTAATGCTGCCCTGACCCTGTTCTGTATTACTTCAGAGTTCAGGCACTCAGACGGTGGACTATGAGTTTTGTTAAGGGGCTGAGAGAGAAAGGGTTAGGCTCGCCGAACAAATCTCCCTCTACTTCGCGGATAACGTTAAACCAAACAGCCGTTTAGATAGCTGATCGAAACAGTTTGCATTAAACTCTATCTCAAATGAACAAATAACTTTATTTTAGAAGAGTTGTATCTTATTTCGTTTTATCCTTTTTTATGTTGAATTTTTTTTCAAAAAAGCGATGAAGCATCAATATTGTACCATTTTATCCCATAAATTCAGATCAATAATATTCTTATTCCAACAAAATAGTTACTTTGTGCTGTGTCTAAAGAGTTTGAGATGAATTGTATTTTTATTTTGTCGATTGGATAATGGATATATCATGGTGTTTGGGATAAATACAGAATAAATTGAATTTTGTCAACTATAACCAAATTCTTTTCGTAAACTTGCCTTTCTAATGTATATTGAAAAATGACTTGGGAGTTTTTATGAATGACCTGTTCAAATTCTCTCTTCATTCGGAAATTTTCCGCGTCAATCAACTTTCTAAATAGACAGTTTTTGGGTTTTCCAAATAGTTTCTGATTATTCTGATTTGCGACAAATGATATTGCACTGTTAGGATAAACGACGTTTCAAAGTAACAACTTCTTATTCATGCTCAAATTATTTGTTATATAGTAGTGTTGAAAGTATTAAAACGTGAATCAGAATGTGTTTAAATTTACATCATGCAAAGACATAGCTATCTGTTCCTTTGGAATCATGCAGCATGTCTAGTCCTAGGTTTACAAACATTTTCTGTCATCTTTTTGAAAGCTCGATAATAGAAATAGGTCTATATGGAATATAAATGCTTCGAAATTTCTTTCGTCAATTTAATGCTCAGTTGGCTCTTGGCAATTAAGATTCTCTGTGAAAAATTCACACGGCCGGCCGTGGCAATCGTCTCAAAAGTAAACAGTCATACTAATAACTGTATCTGACTTACAGGGAAGCAGAAAAAGTGAGATACAAAAAGAAACTAGTCCTCGGTCAGTTGGTTCCTAATAGCTATCTTGCTCTCATAGAGGAAATCAATAAGCTTAAGGTTTGGTTTTAAAATTTACTTTAGATGCATTAACAATATTTTCACAATATTAGTTGCGTTCCCTCGTTGAGTTACCAAGACAGTTATAAAACATTACTCCGTACTTATTTCCGGTAGAATACATATGAAAGGGAACACAAGATCCGAACCGTGGTTCAGGAGGAGGAATTGTGGGAGATAATCCGGAAAAATCCGGCGTGTGACGACATCGACAGCGAATATCAGTTCAACGCAGTCACTGATCTTATGCATAACCTTGGGATTATCCTTCACTTCAAGGTAAATTGAAACCAAATAAATGATTAAGAGTACAATGTATATATATACTGTACGGAGACAAGTTAAATATTATAGCATTAGCAGCAATCAATCAACTTATTGCATTTACATAGAGAAATTATTAATTTCTCAATCAAAAAGTTACTGTATACAGCAATCGGTTCCATTCTAACCGAACTGCAAAAAATTAGGTTTTATAACTCCACCTCCTTATCACCCCCGTTAGCTGAATCTTGAATTGATTTTCTAGTCGAGTTTAATTTAACTGATGATGGTGGATTTAACCAAGGTATCATGTTAAGGACCCTTTCCCCAAAAATGTATATCATGGGATCAAAGAAAGTGTTGAAATAAAACACATATTCTGTCGCCTTTATGACAGTCACATTGTTAGTATTGAAGAAGTTTCTAGCAACAATAGTAGGAATCCATGTCATGATAGAAACTACACACACAGCACCGGCCCTGATTGATATCTTAGTACACTTCATGTTGTATCTACACATGCCCCTGAGATGAAGTAGCCGGAGTATGGCGGTGTAGGCGACCACGTTGAGAAGGAGCGGCGCAAGGAAAGTGAGCCCCTTTACCAGGATATGGTGCACCAGGGAGTGGGTGTGTACCCAGGGGGATATAATACACGTGACATCCAGAGTTTCTGTCACGGTGACGTCACAGCTTACTGATTCGTAGTAGAGGAGGAGAAGGGAGAGGGAGGGGAGAAAGAGGGCAACAAGCGCTGAAAATACCAGTACTCTTGTGCGGGGTTTGGTTTGGTTGTACCTGGGATATTTGCAGTTTTAATCTAGTGATATACTTGTGTGAGACTCTAGAGTCTAGACATGTCTCTTTTCATGCTGACAGCGCGAGCGGAGTTTTCAAGTTTGGTCAGATGTAGGAGGAGCTATTTAGACAGTGAAACCATAAGGAAGTCCACCGCACGAAATATATGTGAATGATAATGTCTATTGCTTTAATTAACAGTGTGTAATGAATTTTTGTACTGTGGTGAGTAAGACTGTGTGCTATTGGACTCACATGAAGGGGAAGAAGACAGCGAGGAGCCGCTCCATCGTGATGGGAAGTACTGAGAGGAGGTTGAGGGAGCTGAGGAAGAGGATCAGGTAACTGTTAGCACTGCACAGCTCTTTGCTCTCGACTCCAAACACTGGACCTGGAGTGGTTGGAATTTGGATAGATGCAAACCGTGGATATATTTACATGGATTTATGTTTGTTTGGAGCATAGGTAGAGACGGTGGACTGCTGGAGACTGGAGTCTGGACACCATGAGTAGAAACACAAATGAGTAGAAACACAAACCTAGAGGTTGAACGATACACCCATGTAAACTCAGCAGAATGTCAGATATCATCATCAAAGTAAAAGAGCTGTGGTGGTGATCCTTCTTGTCCTCTGGGGCAGCTCCAGAGGATCTCAACTGTTTGTAGATTAGCCAGGTGTTGAGGAGGAGCGTACTGGCCGTTAATACCATCAGGATCAACTCAAGGATTGCCATGGTCTAAGAATGAAACGTCTATCAAGGTCGACTGCGTATAAAGTGAAACTGTAGATGTTACTTAAAAATAACACCAAGCCATCGATCAATGATATAAATCTTTTCCTTTGGGCTTTCGAATATCAAACGTAAATTAGCTACCACTTTCAAGGCATACCTTTAAATTCGGCACATTTTAAAAAGTTTTGCGAATAAATGATTCTTGTGTACGAAGCCCGTTTTACAGTGTCCTCATAGAAGTACATGCGCGATACATCTCTTACTACACACTTAAAGAGTGCCACGAAACTAAACAACTTGCTCTAGTGTAAAAGAGTGGTCTAAACGACGATTACTACAGCGAACAATGAACACAGAGCAGATCCTACACTATTCACTAAACCTCTATATGGGCGTGGTCCGGTAGTTTCATTGAGTTTTAATATACCGGCCTCTCGGGAGAAACGAAAAGTGCACGGTATAGAAAAACCCGGTAAAGAGAGACATGATCCAAATCCTCAATAGCTGTAGTCTCCCAAATAACCTGTCAAGCGTCTCGTATACTGGATTAGGGCCTTGTATGCACGTATTGTGTCGTTTTGTGAGCTGTGATAATTATGACAAGCGGGTCACCTCGAGGTACATCGTTTTCATGCTTCCATAGCTACTTTCAATGATAATTATAAGTCACACTTCGTGCATATAACGAGCTCAATAAAATATAGTTTTGGGGAAAGAAGAGGCCCGGTATATCAAGGTACCAAGTATAGAGAGGCACGGTATAATATAAAGGTTTGACTGCACGCACAAGCTCCGAAGCGAAATTACAGCGTTGGCAACTTGGCATATTACATATGTAGAACTGTTCACTATTGCAATAGGACAACTGCGATAAATCGGTATTGAAGCAATTCGATAATTTCTCTGTATGTTTTCTAATAGACCAATTTATTTCCTGCATCAAACTAACATATAATATATAATATTATATTGTTTAATGGTGCACATAATCATATAATGGCATATTATTATATAATATTAATGGTATATAATAAGATATAATAAAATTGAATGGTGGATGAGAAGGATAATCATGCGTCGATTGTAGAGGTCTCGCACATCAATGGTATGTTTCCTTAAATTCACTTTGGTGTCTAGACCTGTCAATGTGATACCCAATGGCTACAGACACAACATATAAGTGCTGTGAGTGCGGAAACGCACTATTTACAACATATCATCGCACCTATACTACACGTTGCCTCTGACTGACTTGTAGACTGAGAAAAGTTCTTTAGTTACTACTTCAAACGAACAGCTTGCAAATTTAAACTGATTACTGATCCCCTTGTAAACATTTGAACAACTCAACAGGTGTAACTATTTAATATGAGATAAAACAAGCGTTTAGAAAGTCATGTTCAAATACTGCAAAACATTTTATCATATTAAAATTTGTAATAAATATAGTATGGTCCCACGTTATGCAAATACGAAATCACGTGATCAATTCATTACATATATTGAAAAGGTATCAAGTATCGAATCCTAGCATCGACTCATAGTCTATCTGTTGTACGTGAGTGGGAACAAGTAAAAGAAGTGGAGTATATAACATATTGACTGGAAAGAGATGGGAGTACAGGTGAAGGTAGGTAACAGGTGCTGCAAGGAACTGGTGAGGCAAAACAAGAGGAATAAGAAATGACTAATGAGTGACGGTATAGTGTTTAAATGAGTGAGAGTAGAAATGTACAAGGCGGAATTACAAGTGACAGCTGTGGAATTTGAATTTGTTATTGGTCAAAATATGTAGAACTAGAATGATGAGGGTACAGGAAATGAGATTGGATTTGGAGCGGTCCGCTGATTTTGTTTGTATGTTGAGAGTGGAATTACTGCAGATACTGAATTAGTGTTACTGTGTGGTGTCTGTCTAGATTCCTGGCTTTGTATATAATGATAGAAAACTAGTCATTCGGTTCTAAACGTTTAGGCGGAGAAATTAAAGTTTTCTGGCAGAATATTATATCATACAAAAAAATAGAAATTGTTTATGTCATACAGTCAAAAACAACCATTTACAAAAGTGTGCAACATTATGCCCCCAATTTTCCCTGAAAAAGGCCATTATTAACGGAGATCATTGGTTCCCAAAACAACCCAAAATTATAAATTAACTAACTGATGGATTGTACTAACGATTCAACAAAGAAGCGTGGCAATAGAGAGGCTTCTGCCATACGTATCATTTCCTGTAATGTATTAGTAAATTAGTCCCCTTGGCCAATTCATTAGGGAAATATTACAATAATTTTGTATCGTTCAATGAACGAATCCGTCATTGATTTTGGTTGTGAAGGCTGTTAATGAGGTCATTCGAATTCTCGCCAGTGAAAGTGAAGACAATTAAATTTAATGTGGAAACGAACACCGATAACTAATCTAATTCTCCCGGAACTTAATGAGTTCTTACGTGTGAGGCTAGCCAATTATAACCGTCACACCAGGAACCGTCGCTACAAAACCAGTACTTCCTGGATCCCTGCTGGCTGTGCAGCATGATGGGCCAAATTGTTACGATACGTGAGAAAAACCCCTACATAACGAGCGGGATTCTCAAGCAGCACAAAATCAGACACATGTTGAAGGATAAGCGGTTCCCGGAAACCATGTTCCCGCAGTACCTTCGCATTTTAAATAGGTGAGTGGCTTTCAAGTTGGTTCTGGAAATTTTCATAAAATGAATATTAATCTCCCAAACTTATCAATAATTTCATATAATTATATAAGTTAACGAATTTCAACAAACCTTATTAATCGAACATGCAAAGAACGGTACAGTTCTAAACTGAAAACGTTCGCAGGTTTGAGATCGCGCTGAAGATAGATGCTGATCAGATCCTGATCCCGTCACTGTTGCCACAAGAGGAGGACGTGACCTACTCCATTCCATCCGATCTGGAGTATTTCGAGAGACAGATCTCCTTCAAGAATCTTCCCTCGGGCTTCATTCCTAGGATTCTTGTCTCCACTCTCAGCTACATACTCTCAGTTTCTAATGAGGTTTGAAATCAGAATTGTTAAGAAATCTCTTTCAAATGAAAATTAACAATATCGAACTGAAATGAAAATTTTATCTGGTGAAAGTTATACATCCTATTCCTATAATTATAACTATTTTTATGGCTATAAAGTAAAATGTTTCAGCTTTGCAGTCCTCAGTTCGACAGGGAGCGTCAGTTCAGTGGAGAAAGCATTTTTGGTAATTCAACTTTTGTTCATTTATAATATCAAATATATTTAGTATACCGCCTTGTTATTTTACAGAAATCTGAGATCGCGATAGTTTGTTGATTTTTTTTCGTGCTACAATGTATAAAATCTGAATTCCCGCTTATAGTAGGAAATGCAATTTTATGTTTTACCTTATCGGACCTTATTTGGACGGACATTACATGAACGGACATAATTATGAACGGACATTAATATGAACGCTCGAAGGCATTCAAAACAATCAAAAATCCGAATTTTTTTCCAATTTTTTTGACGTTTTTTAAATTTCAGCAAATTATTTTTAAATCCATTTTTTATACAGTAAGTAAGAAAAGTAGTCATTAAGCAGTAAAATGTTAAAATATGTGTACATGGTCAGTGTCTAATATCACATATCATCTTCATCAAATGGGTTTTCGTGCATGAAATAGTCCATGCTTAAAGTATCAGTGATTTCTAGCTTTATGGAAACCTTTTTTTATCAAACTACCCCGGTCCTGCATTTCAGTGTTAACTTTTAAAAGCCATTCGGCGTGAAGTGGTTTTATCTTAGACAACTTTAGGTTAACCTTAACATCACGTGGAGCTTTCCTAGCACTGTTTCATTACCGCCCCCCGAGTAATATGAACTATAACAACGTCGGACAATGTCCTTGGCAACACGATTTACCGTATAATTTAGAGGCTGGAACATGTTTGCCATGTTGGCGGGGACTAGTTCATGAACTATGTTGTTGAGTGCCATAATTTTGTTGACTTTTTTCCGCCAAGTGACCCTTGAAAACATCATATACTAGTAGTAGTAGTAGTAGTAGAGTTTTCTGTGCCTCCGGGGGACCAAGGAGAACCTTTCCGTCGTTAACTTACGGCACAATAAAGTTCTCAAAGTTGTCATATTCTGGACAAAAAGTTCGAAATGGAAAAAATTTTGAAAAAATTTCAACGGACTTTAACTTGGACGGACAAAAATTGAACGGACTTTATTTGAACGGACATTAAGATGAACGCTAGGGCCTCCAGCGTTCAAGTAATGTCCGTCCAAATAAGGTCCGATAAGGTATACATAACAGTGTACATGGTCTATTAAATCCAAAACTTGTAATTATTTTTTCAAAACTTGTATTAATCACAGAGTCAGACGGAGTGGGTAAAGCTGCCCTCACTAGAAAGAGAAGCAATGCTATGAGTCAAAGTTCTCGTCACACTACCATTTCCTCTGATAGATTCTCAGGTAACGTATTTAATGAATCAAAAACTAACTCAATGACTGTTCGACTAATTTTCTTCGATAATAGAGTATTTAAATTTTCCAAAAGAAGTTGAGGTTGCCATGTTAAATTTTTGTAAAACAATTCTCATAATGCGTCTCGATTAGAATCGTGTGACTTATTATTGTAGTACATACTACTATTACTAATTCCTCAGAGTACAGTTTCGGGTCCCAGACCAGTGGCACCTCAGGAACGTCCGATCAGGACTGCAGACTGGAAGTGGAATATAGCTCTGATCTTGCTCCTACCCTTCAAGATATGACTCCAGTTCCTGATCATGATATTTTCTCAAAAGTAGAGGCTGCTCGAAACCTTATGGAACTTTCTCTCGATATGGATGATATTCTGATCGATGATGGTAAATTCAATCAAAAATACACGCTCATTCCGTCCCAGAATATTCTAAATATTGCTGCTTTTAAATTTTTAACAAATGATGCAGTACAGAGATCTTTAGATAAACTAAAGAGTTCTTAATTGTTCATTTTCAGATGTAAACGGTCTAAACAACGATAAAGAAGAGTTAAAACTTGAAGAGAACCCCGCAAGATACGAGCTCCTGACTGATCACTATCTGAAGATTTGGAGACGAGGACTATCCTTCTCCCACCCCTAACCTCCATCTCTTTATTCTGCCTCTTGACGAGGAAGACCGGGAAGGGATCAACTTTGTTGTGTCCCGGGGCTACATGGGTCGCCGTGCTCTCTGTCACATTATCGACACTATCAGCATGTTAGTCGAGGATTGGTATCCTGGGCTGACTTCTGGTTTTTGTGAAAATCAAGTGCTACAAAAGATCCCCTGTTCGGAATGCCACTCCCACATTTTCACTTATGACGAGTGTTTGCAAGTCCTGGCTGATGGTGACGTTATCGAGTGTCCCAACCACCCTGACTCCTTGGTTAAGCTAGCTAATCTGATCCCAGATATCTATCTGTCAGATCTTGAGAGGGACTCACTACACAACTACGGGGAAATCGAGTACAAAGAGACAGCTGAGACCCGGCTTGGTGGGGGAGCTTTTGGAAGTGTGTACCGCGGGATGTTGAGAGGACAGCCTGTAGCCGTTAAGACCTTCAACAGCTTCCCCATGAAACCAGAAGCTCCATACCTGGAACTGCGTCGTGAGGTTAACATCCTCAAGAAAATGGACAATGTTTGCATTGTCAAGATGCTTGCTGTGAGTCTGAGACCTACGCAGTGCCTTGTCATTGAATTCGCTCCCTGTCATGATCTGGAACATCAACTGAGCAGCCAAAACTCCCTTCCAAGACTCTTCCTGTACAAGGCAGTTCACCAAACAGCATGCGCTCTAGCCTACCTTCACAAGCACACCGTAATTTACAGAGACATCAAACCTGCCAACATCTTGGTATTCTCCATGGAAGTGGGCGTCACCCCCAACGTTAAGTTATCCGACTATGGGATAGCAGGAACGGTAGGCAGTGGTGGAGTGAAGGGGTTTCACGGTACCCCCGGATTCCAAGCTCCGGAGATGCTTGTCTATCATGGACTGGAGGAGTACACTGAGGCTGTAGATGTTTACTCTTTTGCTTTTCTACTTTACGAGGGGATTTGTCGGAAGAAGGCATATACTGGTATGCACAGGTTTGATATCAATAAGAGTGTCGTTGCTAATATCAGACCTGCGGGCTATAAGTCTATCAGAATGACAAGGTTTGGAATGCGAAACTTGAAGAAATTGATGGAAGAATGTTGGGCTCAAGATCCTCTGAAGCGCCCTAAGATGAAAGATGTCGGCAAAATGCTGAGTCACATTGGCTACCAAATGTTCTTGGGTCACACGATGCCACCGAATGCCATCAGTGCACGAGCCACGTGCACTGTTTACAGTCAGCTTACACAAACGATATGGGTAGGATCTTCTGAAGATAAAACATGCAAAATCATGCTGATGAAAGGGAGCACCCTGGATGTAGCGATGCTTCATGATGGAGATCTGGAACTAGGATGCACTCTCATAAGAGACATAGTGGAGTATAGAGATAAAATCGTAGTGTTAGCTACCTCCAAACATTCCACAAAACTCTTCCGATTCTGTAACGAAGAAGAGCCTGAGTTAGAAAGCATGTCCGAGTGTCTGAGTTTTGGGAGCGGCCACCAGCACGTTCAGAACTGTCTCGCTTCCACCGACGACTTCATATTTGTAGGACACTGTCATGGGTTTGTAACACGGACTATACTGTACGAGCTCCAGGAGGTCGACAAACAGTTCAAGCTCCCCACCAATGATGAAGTTGTTAAGATCCTAGAAAATAGATCTCGGAATTTAGGCTGTACGGAGAGTACTGAGCAGAACGCGACTGGTATTAAGCGGCTAATGAATATGTCCAAAGTCGACGAGTTAGCTGTAGTTGAACTTATCATCATGACAAGATTTGAGCTTTTTGTAGTCTCCTCTGATTTCAAATCGATAAAGCGTTACACATTCACACAAGGTTTAGATGAGGACGTCTGTGCTGTGATCTCTAGAGACAAAGTTTTTTCTACCACGGTAAATTCAACCTATATCCAGATGTTTAACCTCAAGAAAGAGAGAGCATCTAAGTTCGGGATAGATTTGAGAAGCGATCAGATCCAGCTGTCTGTAGACTGTAGGGACATAAAATGCACATGTCTGGCTGCTACCAAGGAGGTACTCTGGGTCGGCACCAACCACGGAGCAGTCTTACTTTTCTCCACCAGGAAGAAACACAGTTTCCTTACTTACATCCGACCGTGTGTTCGTGAAATTCAGACTATTTTACCGTATATGCCTAAAGACAATCTCTTAGGAGAGGCAGTCTCGACTATAGAAACTGAGCTGACCCGGAAAAGTTGCCCCGAACCGGCCAGGAGCTCGGAACCCCGGCAACTGATCCACTCCATGTCATTCAACAGTCCAGTCCGGCATATCGACAACAGACACGACCTGTACAACTCCAACTACCAAGCAGGGGTATTTGTGTGCGTGTGTGGGATGGGCAGGTTCTCTGAAGCTTCTCACTTCCTCTCAGATACGCCCCTTACTGAACAGGGCGACTATCCTGATGGAATGTTCGCGGTGGTTCTGGAGGAACCCCCTGTTGAACACATTATGTCTTGTAATCGGATTTATCAAGCCGGTGGATTGTTGTAGTATTAGTATCTACATTTTGGTGATGTAGGTCGAGGTTGTTTTTGATAAAAGTAGTATAGTGCTCATTTCATTCAAATGATCGTCAAATGTTCAATTTTGATGTTAAACAATGTTGCTTGCGATTGACCTCTACATTTTGAACAATAAAACTGTAATGAACACTGTTTAGCTGTTAACAGATTGATATAAATTCCGTCGATAATATTTCTTTTATAACTAAATATTTTAAACTGTTAACTTTTTCCTGGTTTGATTTTACATTTTTGAAGATGATAATAATATAGTTCTCTTAGCCTTAACAGAAAAAATCACGTCATTAATACCCACAAATCACAATGCTGTCATTCTCATTAACAATCTAATAACACTCACGCAAACATTGACTCTAAGTTAACGTGTGGTTGTATTATTCACGGATTCGTTAATATATACAACCTTTAATACTAATAGTTACATAAATACTATTATTTTTTGGTGTAATTTCAATACGAATTCTCATTTATATGTAAAATAGTTCTTAGTCTTAGTGTGTTGATATGTACTTAAAATATTGATTTTGACTAAACGGATTTCAATTTTTAAATCGAATGTGATTGATTTTGATTGTTGATGGATATAAGTTAACCGTTAACTCGGCTGCCAATGCCAATAAATGTATATCAACGGATGTTATTATTTTTGAATATTGACTCATTTTTATCGCTTGTGTATGCTTGTTAATGCTATGTAGTCTTTTATAAAGAAACCGAATGGCAGTGTTTCATTTAGTTTTTAGTCTTCACACGTGTCCATTGACTGACCCGGTGCACCAAAACCTACCAGTACCGAGACGCGCACCGAGTCGGATTCGTGGACGGTCTTGGTGCTTGGGATATATAATTTGGAACAAATATTTCAGTCTACGAGTGTCACCCGTTAATGGAATATGGAATGAGGGAGATGTCCAGCTCCTCATACCTGCCCTTTTTGGGAGAGTTGAGTCACTCTTTCCGAGCGTGCTAAATCACTCTACAGTCGATCTTCGAGATTGTTCTAAAAGGGCCCCAGATGGTTGTAACCAACTTCAATAGATGTATTTTCGGACGCTGATTCCGAATCACCCCCCATGACATAGGGTTAAAATGCTCTCCTGACGAGATATTGGCGAAAAACTGTATCGATCACGTGATATGACCGTATAAGGAAGTTAGTCTAATTTCTCGTTAGGGTTAGGGTTTCAGCATATGTTTTTGTTAAGGATTGGGTTAGGGTTTGGGTTGGGATCAGATTAGAGGGTTAGGGTTTCGAAAAGTCGTTCAGAACCAGCTAGAGAATGAGTTAAAAAAGTCACGTGACAGTCGAGTGTAGAGTGATTAATCATTATCCCACTCTTTCCCTGAGATGGGTCGGCCGTATAGTAGTCAAACTAACCATTAATTTTACTGAGCGGCGCTCAGTCTGTCTGCTATCATTCCCAATTCCGCCATATATTCAATGACAATCTGTTTGTGAACAGGAAAGCCTAATATGTGGACTTATTATATTTGTCCTATACTAGTAGTAGTATACTAATATCAAATATTGTAATCGGCTACACCATACACACATATCTACGCATATGTAAGACACACACTAAAATTTAACGGGTGATTAGGTGATACTCGTAAAATATTTGTTCCAAATATTCCAGGACCGTCAAAGAGTCCAACTCGGCGCGCGTCCTGGTAGGTTATAAACCTACAAACTAAATTATTAATGGAAATAATTACCAGACTTTATTATTCACGGACCTTTAATAATAATAAAGCCACAGACATAATTTTCATGGGCTTAATTATTCACGCTAATGTATTCACTAGCGTGATCTGAAAATAAAGTCCGTGATAATTATGAGTATGACCGATAAGGTTTAGATATTACATTAGTATTGTCATTGATGATTGTGTTAAATTACGCTAGCGCAATGTATGAATCATTTAGAATTAAACACTACTCCCTTATACTATCAAATTATATTAGTATTACTATACACTATACCTAGCTTGCTAGTCTATTGCTCGCTCCTCTCAGTCTCAGAAGCTCGGAAAGAGCGCCGCGCATTGGGACTGGTGTGCCAGGTAATATATATATATATATTGTATATATTTTTATTTTATGTTTAGTAATTATGTAATATGTGCACGATATGATCTCTTGACGGATGTTACTCGTCTAAATTTCTTCGAAGTACTATACCACATACCGCGCGCCGCTTTCTTCTCGAAATGTTAGCCCGAGGCAAGTGATACGAATTCGTTATAGCGCGCGCCGGGCTAGCTCTAGTCCATTAATATTAATATGTAATAATGAACAATTTGCGACTTATTGCTACATGTTTGATGTTGAATACCCCTTTTCGCTTTGAGTTTGCACGTCGAATAAAACGTGTCAAACGACCTCGCAAAGGCCAAAGGACATGGTGGTTAATTGACGATGTCAATTCATGGCAGCTCGGCGCGGCACAGTTGACAGTAGCGCATTTCGCCGATCTAGCCAGCATGTCGCTGTGAGAAGCCTTATTTGTTATTGAGTGCGCGGCGCGGCACAGTAAGGCATCGCGCTACAAACATGGTGGTTACGTTATTTACTGATATGACTATGAGTACCAATATGCAGGGAATCTTTGTGTCTTGTGACGCCTTCTTTTAAACTAAGCTAATTTATCGTTATCTCCTATAAGTATCAAGTATAGGCTTGGGAAGTTAAGGTTTTAAAAAAGTCATAGGTTATTTTGCGCTTTTGGTTTTGTAATATTGTATAACTTTTCACACAGTCCAACAATGCACAAAGATTGCAAACGTGCTATAAATCATTTTACACTCTATCTTCGAGATTTTTCTAAAAGGGCTCCCGACAGTTGAAACTTGAAACCAACCTGAATCAATGTATTTTAGGCCGTTGATTCCGAATCACTCCCTATGACATAAAGTTAAATTGCTCCCTTGGCGAGCCGCGAGATATTGGCAAAAAACTGTCTTGATCGGCTCTTACTAATTTTAAAAAAATTACAAAAATTTCACGTGACTTCGGTTTTTATGGTTTTGCAGCCATACAAAACGGTTTTACAAAACCCAAATCCCAACCCTAACGGCCCTAACCATAACCCCGAAGCTATCCATAACCCTTACCACAACCCTAACCCTAACCCGAGCCCTAAACAATCGAATTCGTGTTTTACTATACTAGCCTGTCACGTGACCAAAACGGTTTTTTGCCCATAACTCTACAGGGAAGCATTTTTACCGTACGTCATGGGGGGTGATTCGGAATCAGCGTCCAAAAATACACCGATCCTGATCAATTTCACAACCAAAGGGCCTTTTCAAAAGAATTTTCTTATAATTTGGGCAAGCGATTTAGTAGGAGCGCTCTTGATCACGTGATATACTATAAGGAAGTTGAGCTTTTGAACAAAAATTAAAACAGTCGCACCTCTTATCCTTTTATTTCTTTTTTTCCTTTTTATTTCCTTTTTATTTCCCTATTTTTGCTCTCGTCTTAAACATTAAAGTTAATGAACAATCGACAGATCAACTATGTACGATCTTCATTGAAGTAGTCAGTAAAACAAGGAAATAATACTATGTGTGGGGACTATGTTATGACTATGTGTGCAAACAATAACAAATAAATGGCCGATCAGACCTTTCAATTTTCAATTCTGAATATGAATCCAGTTCAACTATATTCCATATTCAACTATTTGTCATTCAGTCGCTTTATAATATTCCATAATTGATAATACATTATGTCATGTGCCAGTGCACAGCATCTGTCCTGTAATATAAAACTGACGCCAAGGTTTCCTCATCCCTAACTTGTGGATCTAATTTCATTGATAAGAAATTCCGACGTTTGGCAGATAACTTGAGCTTTACAATCACATGGTGGATATTCAGGAACTGCAAGTGGCTGTTCTGTGTCACATGGCAAGCAAAACGATGTGGCAACCAATATATTTACATGAAAACCTTGCTGCTCTCGGGTGAGGTAAGCTGATTAAATGAAGTTACCGTCTGTTATCAGCCGACCAGCTGATGTCCAGATAAAAATTTTCTTCCTTTGCTTTCTCTTTCAGCTCTTATTTTTCGCAGAGTTTTTATGTCCGTAAGTAACACTGACAATGTCTGTCATAGTCACATTATTTCAATGCTATGGTTTGAACTTTGTCAGTATTACTGTCCGTCAGTTTCTCCGACATGATTCGTGAGACACCATGTCGCCAAACTGCGTAAATTAAGTCACGATTTTGTCCCCTCGGCAACGTTCTTAGTTCTTACTCCTACCTATAACTATAGAGACCAAGGTTGCATTTAATGATAATGAAATTTACACTTACAGGGTGATCTCAACTCAAAACTCAAAAGTCAAAATTTTCCTGGAGGTCAGGGGTAAAAATATCGCATCAAATTACATATTAATACCCATACGCATAATGACATAATGTGATCTTCCTACATTACATTTGAGCTATAGAAGTTTAGATGTTCATCACCTCATGCATAAATTCGTCATATTTATAAGTTTTGTGAAGAGTCGGTCGATGGTTGTTTTATATCAACTTTCCTTGTTCTATTTGCTGGAATATTTCCAATGTTATTACTCGTTTTGTACATCACATGATGGTATATTCCCTTAATTCAATGTTGAATGTTCCTTTCATTCCTTCTTTATCTTAAACAATAGTCGTAATTTCTGTTAGGTCTCGTGAGTCGCAATTGTTTGTTGAATGTTGTGATTTGTAACTCTATTACGTTTCATGTAGGTGCTTCGTGGGCTCTTACTAATTCGCTCGCCCAAAAATTATCACGTGACTTTGGTTTTTACGGTTTTGCAGCCGAACAAAACGGTTTTATATAAACTCTAATCCCAAACCTAACCATAACCCCGAAGCTATCCATAAGTATAACCCTAACTATAACCCTAATCCTAACCCGAGCCCTAAGTAGTCGAATTCGTGTTTTACTAGCCTGTCACGTGACCAAAATAGTTTATTGCCCATAACTCTCTAGTCTCTAGGGAAGCATTTTTACCCTACGTGATGGGGGGTGATTCGGAATCAGCGTTCAAAAATAGACCGAATTATATTACACACTCTCAGGGCCTTTTCACAAGATTTTTTTCAAATTTGGGAGAGCGATTTATTGGGAGCGTGCTTCGTGACCTTTTAATTAATATATTATATATGGACACGTTCATTTGAGTTTGAGGATATTGGTAAATATAAGTGACCCTATTAAAAGACACAGTGTAGTTGACTTTGTCACACTATGAAATTACTTAAACCCTTGATGGTTAGGATAATCGTCTCATCCTCTAGGCTAACTTTGTCACATAACGATATCCTAATCAGGTGATAAGATATCGCTTAAATACGGCCGGCACAGAAATGGTTACATTGTCACACTATAAACATGTGACGGAGTAAATATGGACCCCTTGCTGCCGTTTTTGACCAAATTTTTGAGTGTCCAGTTGATTGGATGGGTACATATGACCATTACCTACATATTTGACGACTTTTTTCGTTAGATGGTGCATTCAGGTTTACTCTGTCACACATTAAAGAAAATATGTGATGAATGTTTAGGGCACCCTGATAAGCAATGCTGAGTAGTGTAAGTTTATTTGATGGCCTGGAAGTGCTGGGAATTGTTATTATATCATATAGTCGTAAGGAATTAAAACACAGAAGGCACAACCAAGCTTACTTTGTCACATAATCTTGATAATATCTGAACATGTGTGAAATTGAACAAATAATGATATACCAGCGCAAACCCCTTATATTATACGTACTATGGATCAAACAACACTGCTAGTACCATGCACCAGTCACATAAATCATTATCAGGTGGTAATATGTTAACAGTGTCACAATTAAACTACCGCTACATGGTCAAAAATAGGGTAATTTCGTCACACAAAATTATTATAACTCTGTTAGCTCCTTGCTGGCAAAATAACTAGTTTATCGAAATTTTGTTGATGATAAAGTTACATAGTATTCTAATAGAGGTATAGTTCTTCAAAATAGGGGCAAGACATATTTACTTTGTCACATCAGTTATTATAATAGTTAGGTAATCGTCATCAGATTAAAAGATATTTTTCGTAGTTTGGATCGATTAATACTTTAATATACCTGTAATAAATCCTATGCCAATTTTAACACACTATCTTGATACTGTTGGGGCAGGGAAAGTTAATTTTGTCACATTTTCAATGTCTTTGACAAATTAATCTAAATTTTAAAAATTGAGTTTTATGTTCTGGACAATATTCTTCCAATCGTTTCTGAAAAAATATTGAATTCTAATAGAGTTATAGATCTTCAAAATAGGGGCAAGACATGTTTACTTTGTCACATCAGTTATTATAAGTGTTAGGTAATCGTCATCACATAAACATATATTTTTTGTAGTTTGGATTGATTTATATAGGTAATAAAGCAGCCTATGCTAATTTTTACACACTATCTTGAAATTGTTGGGGCATGAAAAGTTAATTTTGTCACATTTTTAGTGACTTTGACAAATTTAACCTAAAATTGTTAAACTTAAGCTCTGATGTTCTGGACAATATTCTAATAGAGGTATAGAATATAGATCTTCAAAATAGGGGCAAGACATGTTTACTTTGTCACATCAGTTATTATAAGAGTTATTATAAGAGACTATTTCATTCTATAATCATTGTTTTTAATCTATTTACGATTTCGTATAATTTTTTGTGACAATGTAAACATCAACTGATCTTAACTTGCATCAACTACATTGTCATCATATAAAATTTTCCCGCCTTTCAAACCAAAATCAGATATAAATTATTCGCCCAAAATTTTAAATTTCATATATTGTGACAGAATTAACCTCATTTCCCAATAACCAAGTGCCTGTATTAGCTAACTATTCAAAATAACATATTTTAGGGCTATGCTTGGTAGAGCAACCATAAAATAATGAGTTGAAAGGGTTTTTAGGACACCTCACAGTAGAATAGAGGTATGGTATCATGAGTGTGACAAAGTTACCCAAATATTGCCTTGTAACCGTTCGATCCGTGCCCATTAACCAATGTTGTACCATAATTGTTAGATTGACCTAATTTACTATATTTCAGACCAAGAAATGATAATTAGACAACTGCAGTTAACTAAGTCACACAAAATGTGACATTTGAAACATTATAGTGCCTAACAACAATAGATTTTCTTTCTGAGCGGTGCATATGGGAGTATGGGTTTCGTGGCTAATGTTCAGAACTTCTGAACGTGCTAGGTTAATAGATGTCAAAATTAAGCCACTATCGTCAAAAACGCTATTATTTTTGTTTACCAATATCCTCAAACTCAAATGAACGTGTCCATATAACAAACTAACCGCTTTCTCCTACGATCGCACGTTATGGCATACAACTTCTATATTCATAAATTTACCAGATAATGGAAAAAGGGGAACGACTGCTAAATGGCATTCCAAGGTCATCCCTATTTTTCAAGGACCAAGTACTAAACTATAAATTTCGGTCTGCTGCAACAACCAACAATAATATCGTGTTACAACAAGAGGCCATCCTAGTCGCCGGCTACTCCTCGGTGTACGTGTGTGTAATGTATATAGAGTTACAAATATTATAAGACATTTGCTTCCTTCTTACTCACCATTTACTCACGCGCTATTTGTAGCGTTTTACCTTTATAGTTTACCTTTCTAGATAAAAGGAGAAACTATGTAGGAATATACGTAGAAATTCTACATAGTTTCTCTTTTTTCGTAAATAATGATGTGTACGAATGTCATTATGGTATGATTATGTGTTAGTTGTAGAATGTACATTAGTTATACATTGGTTTACTGAAACAGCTTTATTAAAGGTGGGCTCAAAAACAAACGTTTTACCATTTTACACTGTCTCAGATGCGATGATTAAGTGTTTCACATTGCTAGTCGGTCTTTTGCTGGTGAATGTTCCTCCCGTGGCGTCTAACAGCAGGAGCTTCTCTGTAGACTGGGACAATGACAGGTTCTTGAAAGATGGCAAGCCATTCACATACCAGTCCGGGGGCATGCACTACTTCAGAGTACCACATCAGTACTGGAGCGACAGGATGAACAAGATAAAGTTGGCGGGTATGAACACACTGCAAACCTACATCTCCTGGAATAGCCACGAGCAGGTAGAGGGAGAGTTCAACTTTGAGGGAGACAATGACATCGCCGAGTACCTGTCCCTGGCACAGAGCCACGGTCTTAACGTCGTCCTGAGGCCTGGTCCTTATATTTGTGCTGAGTGGACATTTGGGGGACTTCCTTATTGGCTTCTCAATAAGCCAGGTATGGAGGTGAGGATCTACAACAAGCCTTATGTTGAAGCTATTGCCAAGTGGTTCGACGTATTATTTCCAATCATCAAGCCCTTTCTTTATGAAAATGGTGGTCCCATAATTACAGTTCAGGTAGAAAATGAGTATGGAGCATATGGACCGGATGTCTGTGATAAGAAATATCTGCAGTTCCTTCTTGATCTTAACAAAAAATATTTCGGCGAAAACCCTGTGTATTTCACCATGGACAACACAAGTGACAAGAGGTTGGAGTGTGGTGCCATCCCTGGCCTACTGAAAGCTCTGGACTTTGGTCCTGGCAACGAACCCGCTCAAGAACTAAAGATGTTGAGAAAATTCCAAGCTCATGGTCCGTTTATCAATGGAGAATATTGGGCTGGTTGGTTTGACAAGTGGGGTGGTCGCCACGCTAATAGAAGTGCCACTAAGGTAGCCAAAAGTTTTGACGAGATGCTTCAGCTGAACGCGAGTGTAAACTTCTATATGTTTCACGGAGGTACCAACTTTGGCTACACCAATGGAGCAATGAGCGGGAAGCCCGGTAGCTATAACGTCAGAGTCACTTCATATGACTACAACTCACCTCTCAGCGAAGCTGGAGACACCACAGACAAATACTTTGCCATCAGGAACGTGATGTCCAAGTATGTGGAACTACCCCCTGGTCCCGTACCACCAAACTCTCCTAAGTGGAAATCATCAGTTGACATCCAAATGAAGACTCAGATCTCACTCTTCGACAACTTGGAGCAGTTCTCCACATGTGTGGAGACAAAACTTCCCTCTCTGATGGAACATTTCAACCAATCTGACGGTTTTATTCTCTACCAACTCCAATGGTCGGGACCTCTCCAAAATATTTCCTTATATGGAGTTCACGACAGAGCCACCGTTTTTGTTGATCGTCAGAAGATCGGATCAGTAAACAGAATGGATTTTCTGAACGGAAGCTTGATTCTTCCGATTGAACTGTCCAACCAACTCAACTTAAAGCCAGATCAAGGCTACACTATTACCATACTAGTGGAAAACTTGGGCAGAGTGAATCACGGATCATATATGGCAATAGACTTCAAAGGAATAACTAACATGGTCCTGCTGGATGGAGAAAACGTGAATCTAGAGAAGTGGAGGGTGTGTCCTCTACCCCTCAACACAGTCCAGCCTGCTCTTCAGAAAGTGGATAATCTCCGATACCCTCCCTCCGGCTCCCCATTCACACCCACCATATTTTGTGGTTCCTTCAGAAAACTTAATGGAGACGACACTTTCTTAGACCCCAGGGGATGGGAGAAGGGTATGGCGTATCTAAACGAAGTGAACCTGGGAAGGTATTGGCCCACGGAGGGTCCCCAGGTGACGCTGTACGCTCCAGGAGTGTACTTCAAGCAGGGTGAGAACACGGTGTGTTTGTTCGAGATTGAAACTGCTAATCCTGAAAACACTCTCGTCTTCACTGATGTTCCTATTCTGGACAAAAAGAAGCAGGGTAACAGTGATGATCTTGTTGATTTTTAGTTATAGTCTTTGATTCTCTTCTATTGCATTTTGTAATATCTTGTGACCCACTAATTAGATGTATTTAACTATTTTTTGCATGAGATGTAGTTGTTTTTTGGAAAGTATAACTTTAATTTAAGGACACATGAATATTAAATATTGAATGAAATATTTTTGGTTGTATATGGGAAGAATTATTTATTCAGAAATTATATGATTATTTATATTAGTAATTATAATCATTGGTAATTAAAATTGTCGATATGAATTACTAATGTGTTGTTTCTACTCAAATAACAATTTTATTCAATTGAATTTAATGACATGTTTGTGTGAATTTTTCTTGGAGTTAATAACGAAATGCACCTCAGTCTTCACCTAATTGATATATTTTGCAGAGTCTCTATGTCACAATATAAACATTACATTTACTTATTAGTTACAAGAGTCCGAGACAATGAATAGACAGATGTTGACAGTACTGGCTGTGATGGCAGGAGCAGCTCTGGTTTTAGGAAATGAAAACTGTACTTCTACTTGTACAGGTCAGCAAATCATATCTGGCGTTTTATTATCGCATTTTTAGGACTATATTATGTATGTTTTACAGTTTACCGTCCATTTTATAGTCTAATTTTAGTATAAATAACATTTCCCACACAATAAAGAGTAACTAAAACTATTTTGCAGCTTATAAAGCTTGTTCGAGCCTTAACGTGAGCAGTAACTACACTGCTTTCCTGAACAACAGTCTCGTTTGCGATTCACAAAATGATGGCATTCTAGGAAAACTCTTCGGCAGTATGAGCGTAAGTTTGTATTTTAAAAAGCCCTGAATGCCCCTAAAATAGCGTTAAAACCAACGATTTGCTTTCAGTTCCACTACTAATTATGCCGATCATTTAATTAAAAACTTAAAACCGGTTTAAAATCTGAACGTTTACGCAGTGAAGATTACAAAAACTGCAACAAATACTACAGGACGATTAGGTTCATTATTGAGTTTTCTTTAAACACAATTTTCACAGAGTTGTGGTCTGAAGGATGCAGCTATTGAAGTTGCAGATCTGTTAGATATCGGATGGGATGGCGTCAGTTCTCTGGAGGCCATCATCAGTGACGAAGAATTCTGGCTAGAGGGTTGTCAATGGGACCAACTTGCTGCTGCAGGTAAAATAATTGTTTTTCCTTTTTGTACGAATCTGAGGGCCATCTGTTGCGTTTAGTTTTCCAGTTATCAAATACATTTTGCCTAATTCTGGACTTCTGTGTTTCAGCTTGCATATACTACAGCGTTCCAGCAAAGGGCGAATGTACTAACAGTCCTAGTGTGTCACGAAATGGTCTCTTCTGTGCTGGAGAGTGCATGAATCTTGCTAAAGGCTGCCTCAATCTGGAGAAATACCGACATCTTACTGAATCGGTACAACGAATAAGTCTTACTTTGACAATCTAGCTTTAATACTAATAAGGACCATTTAATATAAACATAATATTATATTGATCAGATACACTCAACACACTCACAGACTGAGGAATTCGATGATTTCCCTAGTAAATAGCTCGGTGTATAAGTATAACTAAAATTAGACTATTCTTAAAACTTAAGATAACGAATCAAACAGCACAGTAATATTTTCAGATTACAGATTTCTGTAAATCTGTCACAAATGCTGATGCCAAATCTACCACATGCTTGAAAGGACAGGTCAGTAAAAACAGATGTTATATCCACTTTCTAATATTAAGCTATTGTACCAACCAGTCAACCAATCAAGAATGTTCTTAAAGTTCCAATGTGCAACATTTCATGTTCACGGTTATATTGAAATTAGATATTTCCCGATTTTCACACAAGCACATTAACAGGTGGACCAGGCAGGCCTCACTGCTCCTAAATGCCCAGATGGAACCGTAAAAGAAACAAGTCTGACCGGTGAGTCACGGGTATTGTTTGGTTTTTCGTTTATTTCATCCGTACACAAAAATAAAGTGCACATTTCAGTAGAACAGATTTGTTTTACCGTATTCAGTATAAAAACAGCACGGATGATGAACAGTGAGAAAAATATAATTTACTGTAACTGCTGGTCTTAGTTGGCCTACAAGACCACTAAAATTGAGAATAAGCTTACCTGATAAGTCTTTGGCCCGATGTTTTATTATGCAAGAAGAAACACTAAACATGGACAGTATCAGAGCCAAAATTTTTCACGTGACATGGTGACAGTTCGTTAAATGTTTTGTGGAATTCTCCATAAAACAGATATCCAACAGGACCGTTCATTCTGGCTGGTATAGCGTTTGCACTGGCCATGGTCGCCTTGATAGGACTTGCTCTCATTACGTGCAAGGGTGATGGATCCATGCAAGCCTAACCTGCTAGTAATAGTTCTGTTGTAGTTAAGGTATTTCGTCCGTACACAAAAATTAAGTGTAAACTTTAACAGAAAATTGTTTGCTTTACCGTATCAAAACGGCACGAATAATGCACTATGGAAGCTACGTGATTCACACTGATATATGTGCTTGATCGTGTATCAATTTTTGTTGGCCTAAAGCTAAAAGAAGACCAATTTAACAATAAGTAAGCTTACGTTCATTCAAGACTTGTTTAATCATCTTATTGAAGAACCATAACTTTGCAATTGAGGCAATCATCTAGGCCACAATTTAAATATCATATTAGTCATGACGAAAATTGATAACATTTTCTGTGGAATTTCCCATAACACGAATACCCTACAGGACCGTTCGTTCTGGCTGGTATCGCACTGGCATTGGCTGTCGTCGCCCTGATAGGACTTGCTCTCATAACATGCAAAAGTGGATCAGGAGCCGGAGCTCCGAACTCATTCTAAACTCTTATTATGAGGACAAAAGTGCAGGCACTTGACTTTCCGACCAGATTGTTTTTACACGATAAAATATATTGAGGCGTAGACATTTTGTTTCATAATCATTGTTTATTATTATTGAGTGGTTGATTTTTGCATTTTTTACAGAATTAAGAATTTCGCAGCATGTCGATGGTTTTATCAGTTGATTGATTTTATATTTTTTCGTTACGTACTTCCTTTTCTATGTTGTCTTCTCAAAATAAACTACCACAAATTTGAGTTAAATTACACATAAAGTTAAAGATATTTACACACGGGATATAATTGATGACAGACAAATAAAATAAAAGAAAAAGTTTCTTGCATGTAGTCCTGTCTTTAATAAAGTTGGTCAATATCTCGCGCCCTTGTATCATACAAATAGGTGTCAACAGAATGTACAGATTACCACGATACTGTTCGTGCGGATGTGATGAACGGATCTCGTTTTTTATAGTCGAATAATGAAGTTTCAAGTCAGTTGTCCCAGTTCAAATATTGTTTAATTCTTAATAATCATTGTGATTATCGTCGAATAAGCAAGGTCGTTGCCACATTTCTGTTGTACGGCCAGCTGGAGCTGCTTGTTATACTGCATCATGTAGTGCGATTTTATCTGGTTCAAATCAATCTGAAAACATAAGTTCATTTAGAAATAGTGCTTTCTGTTCACAATTAAACAGTTCAAATATTTATTTTAAAAACTTAGAATAGTTGTTGAATCAATATGACTCGTTACCAGCAGTTAAAACAATTTGAATAACGGTGATATTATTCTTATCTTGGACACATCAGAGACCTAACCGTACCCAAAGCTCGCGTTGGTGGATTCAGGATTGATGCACATACTCCAGTAGCAGGGAGGGGTTGAGTGTGCACTTCGATGTATAGAGTTTTTTGCTACTGAATCGGGTTAAATAGGTCATTGGTAACTCAAATCACCGAGGGGCGCATTTTGTATCGCTAGTCCCAGTCCTACAGGGCGAAATTTCTAAATTGCCCTCAGGCGAAAATTTGGGATTTTTGTATCTCGGCTTCTAAAAGACTTAGAGATTTGAATATTGGCTTAAAATAACCGCAATAGCCTTATTTATATACAAGTTATGAAGCAATCTAAGGTCTCAAGTGCCTAGTTTTAAAGATATTCACGAAAAACCGTTTTTTGGCTCATCGCAGCCTGAAATACCGGATTATTTTTATCTCGAGCTAGAAAGGTCGTAGAAACTTCTCCTATATTGAAAAATATGCGCAATGAGCACATTTATATAAGACTTATGAATCATTATATGCTCTAAAATGCTTATTTGTAGAGATATTAGCAAAAATCGGTCATTTTGGTTACACCAATACAAATTTGGTAATTCATTTTGTCTTTTTGTTGCAAATATTCACGTTGCAATTTTCAAGATGCAGTTTGTTGCTATCGATAGGACTTTATATGCTATTGCATGGTTTTGATACAATCCTTCAGCACCTGACATAGGCAATAGGGGTCACAAACCCTGAAATGTCAGGAACTGGGCAGTGGCCGAGATAAATATTTGATAATTACTTGGACTCTTGACTCACATACATCTTTTCAACGGTTAGTTAGACATCTTAAACCAGTATTGAACGTTGAGTAAAACTTCTGATCCATTTGTAGCTCAGGTGATGTGCCCCAAAACCTCACGCCTGAGTGACAGTGGGCCTTATCGATCATGAGCAGCAAATCACAATGACTTTGGGCCTCAGAGACAAGGGCATTCGTACTCTTGGCTTAAATTGGCTCTTCGTTAGTATCATCGATCAGGTTTCTAACTTCTATAATATCATCTGCCTGTCCAGTGTCCATCCGTCTCTTTGGGATTCATTATTACTTCAAGTTCAGCCATTTCGCTTCTGTTCAACTGTAGGCGTAATGAGGGACTTCAGTCCAGCAATAAAGTCAATATCTCTAGATTTAGCAATATCTGGTTTTGCTACTTTTAAGGTAATTGTGTTCAGCAAGCAAGTTTATAAGTTTTCAGTCGAACTGCCCCAAAGTATTGGCCCCCAGGGCACCAGTAATGCTGGAGCACTGGTTAATGCACATGGTAATTATACTGATTTTTTGCTTATCATTGCTCATTTTTAAGTTCCTTTTTCAGCAGTCTTCCCTATCATACTGGCAAAAAACAGATTCACCTCCTTTATCTCTAAATATAATTTTGAACCTGGGCTATACAGGTTATCGAATGTCCACCAACCTCGTGCCCCAATTATTGTCAGCCCCAGGACCTTTCGCACCTGCAACTTTGGGTCCCAAAACTTGAAGAACTTCGGGCCCAACGATACCTGTCCTTCAGTGACTCTGTGCCCCACATAATTCTAATTTATGACTCAATGTAAATTGTAAATGCTAAGATGGACATTCGATAACCTGTAGAGCTCAGGTTCAAGATTATATTTAGAGATAAAGGAGGTGAATCTGTTTTTATTGCCAGTATGATAGGGAAGACTGCTGAAAAAGGAACTTAAAAATGAGCTATGTTAAGCAAAAAATCAGCATAATTACCATGTGCATTAACCAGTGCTCCAGCATTACTGGTGCTCTGGGGGCCAATACTTTGGGGCAGTACGACTGAAAACTTACAAACTTGCTTACTGAACACAATTACCTTAAAAGTAGCGAAACCAGATATTGCTAAATCTAGAGATATTGACTTTATTGCTGGACTGAAGTCCCTCATTACGCCTACAGTTGAACAGAAGCGAAATGGCTGAACTTGAAGTAATAATGAATCTCAAAGAGACGGATGGACACTGGACAGGCAGATGATATTATAGAAGTTAGAAACCTGATCGATGATACTAACGAAGAGCCAATTTAAGCCAAGAGTACGAATGCCCTTGTCTCTGAGGCCCAAAGTCATTGTGATTTGCTGCTCATGATCGATAAGGCCCACTGTCACTCAGGCGTGAGGTTTTGGGGCACATCACCTGAGCTACAAATGGATCAGAAGTTTTACTCAACGTTCAATACTGGTTTAAGATGTCTAACTAACCGTTGAAAAGATGTATGTGAGTCAAGAGTCCAAGTAATTATCAAATATTTATCTCGGCCACTGCCCAGTTCCTGACATTTCAGGGTTTGTGACCCCTATTGCCTATGTCAGGTGCTGAAGGATTGTATCAAAACCATGCAATAGCATATAAAGTCCTATCGATAGCAACAAACTGCATCTTGAAAATTGCAACGTGAATATTTGCAACAAAAAGACAAAATGAATTACCAAATTTGTATTGGTGTAACCAAAATGACCGATTTTTGCTAATATCTCTACAAATAAGCATTTTAGAGCATATAATGATTCATAAGTCTTATATAAATGTGCTCATTGCGCATATTTTTCAATATAGGAGAAGTTTCTACGACCTTTCTAGCTCGAGATAAAAATAATCCGGTATTTCAGGCTGCGATGAGCCAAAAAACGGTTTTTCGTGAATATCTTTAAAACTAGGCACTTGAGACCTTAGATTGCTTCATAACTTGTATATAAATAAGGCTATTGCGGTTATTTTAAGCCAATATTCAAATCTCTAAGTCTTTTAGAAGCCGAGATACAAAAATCCCAAATTTTCGCCTGAGGGCAATTTAGAAATTTCGCCCTGTAGGACTGGGACTAGCGATACAAAATGCGCCCCTCGGTGATTTGAGCTACCAATGACCTATTTAACCCGATTCAGTAGCAAAAAACTCTATACATCGAAGTGCACACTCAACCCCTCCCTGCTACTGGAGTAACAGTATTACCGATCATATCAAATTAAGAAATGGCCAAGGACGCGCGCGCTCCATGCAATTAAATAAACTCACGTGGTCTCTGTTAGCCCGAAAAACTTTAGTAACTAAAGTATCCCCGCGCCTTACATAAACGATAATTTATGATACGCCTATTTAATTTCGAGTCCAATTAGTCATACTCATAGTCACTAACCTCTGATCGTCCAACAACAATGCGGATGACCCTGGCGCTGTCAGCAGTTAGCGACGTCACAGACTGATAGAGCAACTCGCTGAATAGCCGCGTCACATTCTTTATACTTTTCACTGAAATTTATCACAACGTCAGTACTGAGGATGATAATAAGGTATAATTGTGATTACAATTATGTGGATATATTGGAAAGAAAACACTCGTTGGTTGTTCAGCCACGTAACTAAAAAGTCTGGATGTCCAGCGAGCTTTGCCCCTTAAAAGTTACTAAAAGTTACTAAAAGTTACTAAACGTTACTAAAAGTTGCTAAAAGTTACTAAAAGTTGCTAATAGTTACTAAAAGTTACTAGAAGTTAACAAAAGGGACTGGTAGTTACTAGAAGTTACTAAAAGTTACTAAACGTTACTAAAAGTTGCTAAAAGTTACTAAAAGTTGCTAATAGTTACTAAAAGTTACTAGAAGTTAACAATAGGGACTGGTAGTTACTAGAAGTTACTAAAAATTACTGATACTTACCACAGTAAATTATATTTTGGTTTTGTGGAAATGTAAAATACAATTTTTAATTTTGAAATAAAAAGTTTTCTTAACCACATAGTTACTACAGTAACCAAAAAATATTTATAGTTACTAATAGTTACTAATAGTTGCTAATAGTTACTAATAGTTACTAATAGTTTCTAATAGTTACTAATAGTTTCTAATATACTAATAGTTACTAATAGTTACTAATAGTTTCTAATAGTTACTAATAGTTTCTAATAGTTACTAATAGTTACTAATAGTTTCTAATAGTTACTAATAGTTTCTAATAGTTTCTAATAGTTACTAATAGTTTCTAATAGTTACTGCAGTTAACTTACCCCACATGACCAGACACATGCTTAGAAACTCGTCGTGTAAGCATTTCCTTATCGAACTTTCTATCATCTCCATGTTACCCTTGTCACGCTAAAACAAGAATGGCAATCAAACGGATGAAATAAAACTTTGAGTAGTTATGTATATATTATATACGGATGAGAATCACTGTTTAGTTGGTTTAGTAGGAGTGTTTTCATGTAGCAGTAGTAAACAGAATTAGGCTGTGTACTTCCAACTATAAATAAAGTTATTTATAGGAGTAACGAAAATTTAAGTTAAGAAACATGCTGTACCTTACGAATATGACACTTTTAAAAATAAACCTGCAAGTTAAAATAATGGTCATGTTAAATGGATGTAAAATTACTGACAAAACAATCTGAATGAATATGTGCAGCCATATAATAGGGAGAATGTAAAGTAGTAAAGTATAAGGTGATTCAATTATAATTATCATTCAAAGTTTTAGCGTTATTCCCACAAAGTGATTCCGGTTTTATGTCAAAAGTGGTGTATTTTTTTTGTATATATAATGTGTGTCAGAGCTAAAGTTTGAAGTATGTATGACGTATGTACCGACAATGAAAGCTATGTGCTCGCTTCAACGAATTTATCATATCGACGTAGCTGGACAAACAAATTTCCAATTCATATCTTCTTCAAGTTGGTCTGCATGCTAATGAGATATACACTCAATCAAGTTAACATATTTCTGTAGCATGGATCTTTGATACAGTTCAACTCTTCAGCGAGTTGTTTTTCATTGAAAACTTGAGAAATATATAACACATTTTCTAGAAGTAGTAATATAACATGTGTTAAAAGATACAGGTGTGACGGGATTAGGCAACAGTGGGTTCGGTAACTATGTGCCAGCATGTACGTAGTACCCGACTACTTTTAACAAATTCTGAAGAGAACGCAGGACTGATTCAGTGATAATATTGCGCCGTAATAGCGAACCGGGTAAAATGATAAGTCAGAACTGACCTTTTGAAACTCTTTGAAAACTGCTCGTAGATGTGCAAAGTTGTTGGTTGTTAAAATTGGAATTACGTCCGGATTGGAGACGAGATCCCATCTTGACCTTTCTGCCTGTGGTGTAATGTTAATTACTGACTGAGCGTCTTGATCACATTCTTTGTCCATTATCTACCAAAATTAGGATTATCATTTTATTCTCGAGAAGTTTACCGAAATGCCCAGATTAAAAAGATCTCACAAATCGTACTTAATGGAGCAGGGTAAAGATGGATCGAAAATCAGTTTTATTTATTGAATTGGAGATATACCATATCAAATAATGTTGATTACACTAAACGGTTATATTAGTAAAAAAAATGTAGCTTAAAGTGAAATTTATTCATTAAATAATGGTGAAACTCACAGAAATGAGTTTATTAAGGTGTTCTGTAACTAAATTATCGTCTACTGTATTATCACGGTCACGGGGAGACTGAAATGTTTGATTTTAGTTAGATCTGGTCAAGTGACCCGGTGGATTTATTCTCCATAAACTGTACAGTGTACAATGATAGGATAGAGTTTGCTTTAAAACTGTTAAATTATTGAATGAAATAAGAGAATGAGAAAAAAGTGTAAAACTTAAATCAAATTAGGTAGGAGAACCAATTTCAGCTGGATAAAATAATTTTATATTTATCATTAAAAATTACCTCTAATATAGATAAATAAAGATGTGTGTGTTCGCCGATAAAGTTTTCTAAATCTTCCTTCACAGCCGATTCATGAACTGAAATACATATTTCTCGATGATACCAACCACTATTCGGACTTTTGAACATGAATCTAATTTTTGATTACATCCCCACCAGCCTATTGCCTAAGTAACTAGACTGTTAGATACTATCTAGATACTATCTAAGATAGATAATTGAAATTACCTGATTCGTATGTGGTCAGTATATCTGTTAATTCACTGTGAGTTCTCGTGCACAACATTTCGCATATCACGCTCTCGTTTGCTTCCTTCAAATATACAGCATTCAACGATCTTATGAGCGGTAAATCTGATTTACAGTAAAAGCACGTACAATACCATCTAAAAGCACGTAACATACCAACGTAACTATGAGAGAAAGAAAGAGCATACCATTATGGCTTCACGAAGACACTCGACATCATAGTCGATCGGTTTTAATAATAAGGCCTTGACGGTCTCGAAGTAGTTTCCTTTATTCACTACAATCATCATATCGTCACATAACCCCTGCAAATAGGAATGTTTAAAATATTATTCGAATTGAATACCATGCAGTAATTTCAGTACGGCTTCAAGCATAAAATTTGGGAGAAATATTATCCTTGAACTAAGCGAACAATAAGATAACAAGAAAGAGTCTGATACTGTAAGTGTAAGTTCTCTCCCAGTATCACAGAACATCTTTTCCGTAATAACGATCGTGAATCGTACGAGTGAAAAACCGGCCTCCAACTTCTTATAAAGCACCATTCAAAACGGCCGGTAAGTATTTAGCGTGAAAGCAAATCCGCTCCACCACTCAGACCGAGGAGCTGAGTTTCTTGATAGAAATAGTCCTCATCTATATTTCAGATCGAACTGCTGCTATAATAAAAAGCAGCAGGCCATCAATTAAACCACCAATCGATCCACTTACCGTAGACTGATTTTTTAAAACTTTGGTTTGTTTGCTTCGTCAGCGTTTTGTCGGCACTATACCAAAAAAATCCAATCCCATAAATCTTACCGTTTTCTTGATTAAGTGGTTTGGAAATAACAAACGGACGAAGGAACAGACGCAGTTTTCAATATTATTGAAGAGATTAAAGTTTAATAATTAGATAATCTAAGGTAATTGTGCTATTCATACCACGTCAAAGAGTGATCTGAAACTTTCATCTATTTGCTGCCGTTGTAAGTTTGATCTCTGAACTAATATCTGGGCTATGTTGTTCTCTGCTGATATATCTTTCTCTGAAAGGAAGAACGAGTGTTCAACAATTCCCCCATTTTCCAGTTTTACTTGAAAAAATAAAACACTCCAGAACATTCCTCTTGTTGAACAGAGAGAGACGCCGTCCGAGGAAGGCTCGACATTGGACACATGACATTTTACATAGAATTCACTAGAAGCAAGGCAGTAGTAATACAATGAACTGTGTTGCACAATACACCTATGTAATGAGGGTAGATGCCATTGAATATATAGTAGTGCCACGGTGTGACGTCATTACACCCACAGATATTGACTTATTGTCTTCTCAGTGAGACGCATACACATTACACATGACAATACGTATTACATGTGATATAATTGTAGGACAATTATATAATATATTGTTAGTCACATCTCCTCCGTCACATCTTCTCAGTCACATTGTCAGTCATATTGTTAGTGATATTGTTAACTCTGTGGGGAGATGTGTTAGTGAGATATGGTTGGGTACATTGTTAGTGATATTGTTAACTCTGTGGGGAGATGTGTTAGTGAGATATGGTTAGGTATATTGTTAGTGATATTGTTAACTCTGTGGGGAGATGTGTTAGTGAGATATGGTTAGGTACATTGTTAGTGATATTGTTAACTCTGTGGGGAGATGTGTTAGTGAGATATGGTTAGGTACATTGTTAGTGATATTGTTAACTCTGTGGGGACATGTGTTAGTGAGATATGGTTAGGTACATTGTTAGTGATATTGTTAACTCTGTGGGGAGATGTGTTAGTGAGATATGGTTGGGTACATTGTTAGTGATATTGTTAACTCTGTGGGGAGATGTGTTAGTGAGATATGGTTAGGTATATTGTTAGTGATATTGTTAACTCTGTGGGGAGATGTGTTAGTGAGATATGGTTAGGTACATTGTTAGTGATATTGTTAACTCTGTGGGGAGATGTGTTAGTGAGATATGGTTAGGTACATTGTTAGTGATATTGTTAACTCTGTGGGGAGATGTGTTAGTGAGATATGGTTAGGTACATTGTTAGTGATATTGTTAACTCTGTGGGGAGATGTGTTAGTGAGATATGGTTAGGTATATTGTTAGTGATATTGTTAACTCTGTGGGGAGATGTGTTAGTGAGATATGGTTAGGTATATTGTCATTATAATGTGTACGAGGAGGAGTAGTCTCAAACTAATTATCACAAATACGGCCACATTTACTGTATTTGTCAATGTAAATATATACTTGCATAACCTTCTAATAACTTAATTTATCATTTACACCGCATGTCATTAATATTAAATAAGCTTACCAACATAACATCTAGCAACTCATCGCATCTCTCTACGAGGATTTACTTATGGTTGATATAATAACACGGCTAAATTGATTACTTAGAAGGTCTCTGGCAAACAGAATAGTAATAACTTTCTGCGCAGTTTGAGTGAACTGCTTTCAGTCGACCAATCAGAACGAGCGATCTTGCACACGTGACACGTGTAAGTTTATACGTATGCGACCAGATATTCTACATCCGTCAGATTTAATCTCATCAGCTGATCTGCATGTAGGATGCGTATAAAGTATGGATGTGTGTGAACTTTCGAGGCAGCCAAGCGCAAAAATTGTAGTGACGGACGTGAGGTATACTGTTTAAAGGGAGCTGGTACTGGTCACCGTCGACTGCTATCCTAGCAATTTCACCATGTTTAATAAATATTTACAAACTTTGTAGCCAACTCTCTTTAGTCTTCCCTTGCACTAAAGTTCTCCAGTACATAAGTTTAACTGTCAGATAATTGTTATAAACTTTGTATAACACATTTGTCACTTGTTTACGGAACATTCTCAGTGCGTCATAAGGTAAGCAACAACTGTTGACTGTTGCAGGGACTATTAAACAGTTTGTTGTTCAGTACAGTACGGGGTTGGGTGCCCTGCACCTACAAGTTAAATTATAACCCTGGCTCTAGTACAAAATTTCATCACAGGCTCTTTTTTTCTTTTATTTCCACAGTATGGTAGGGTCATTTTTTTGCGATTTCGCCGAATGACATTATGATCTATCATCGTTAGTTTAATGATGTAGCTGAATGAATGAAGGATATATTACAATCTTGCAACAGACATGAATCATAACAGACATAATAATGTTGATGATTTAAGCTGTGCTAGAAGAGGGTGTGTCCTTGAAGGAACCTGCCAGTGCTGCTGTCTGCACTGGAGTAACACTATCTGTACAATATAACGTGGGCATATTAGCAACCACACTTGACATGATATACAATGTAATATAATATAATACGATATAATATAATATAATATAATATAAAATGATATAATACAGTGTATAATAATATAATATTTAATCGATTTTTTATTTAAGTCGAGCGTCCTATTGTTGAATACTTTTTACTCAACTAATAGCCTGCAGGGAATTGAACGGATCGCGATGAAGATGCCCTATTGTATGCAGTAATGTAGTTCATGATTACTACACACATTTAGATATACTACCTGTATATATATATAGGGTCAATTTATTAGGGTCAAGGGTTAAGTTAAGTTTTTAGTACAGTTTATATTATAGTTCAATAGTTAGTTCATATAGTCCACTAGGGTAAAGTAATTTCGTAGGTTTTATATTGCAGCATCTTTTAGAATCCTTTTAGTGCTAGGTTACATTCATTTACATTTCTTATCTTTACATTTTAGTTTTACGTGTAAGTACGAGCACGCGGAAGTTGCACTCATGCGTGACTTATATTCACGCGTGAGTACAGCCTTTTTAAGGGCCCACTTGTTGAGTGCGGGCGTCTAGTCTGTGTCACGTCCCCCTTTTGGAGAGTTTTTAAGATTATTACTAAGTACAATACGTTTATTTACCGAATTTTCCAAAGACTTTTTTCTATTCTATTTAGACATTTTTAGTGAGACACACTTCTCACCTTTATAAGTTTACTGTTGAAGTTTAGTAAGGCACACTCCTTACTGTTGTATCGGACACACTTCTGATACAACCAAATTGTAGAGACACACTTCTCTCCTTTATTGTTACGTATTTGTTGTTGAAGTTTAGTAAGGCCCACTCCTTACTGTTGTATCAGACACGCTTCTGATACAACCAAATTGTAGAGACACACTTCTCTCCTTTACTGTTACGTATTTGTTGTTGAAGTTTAGTAAGGCCCACTCCTTACTGTTGTATCAGACACGCTTCTGATACAACCAAATTGTAGAGACACACTTCTCTCCTTTACTGTTACGTATTTATTGTTGAAGTTTAGTAAGGCACACTCCTTACTGTTGTATCGGACACACTTCTGATACAACTAAATTGTTGAGACACACTTCTCTCCTTTTCTGTTATTGATATTGGGACATACTTCCCGATCGTTTGATACTAGTGAGTGTAGATTGACATAAGTTAGGAACGCCCACTCGCCACGTAGATCACCTATAGTATAATACCTCGTTTACAACAGGAATCTAATGCATACTATAATTTGGAATGCCAGACGTCACATACTATCACCATCTTAACACGGCATTTAGAAGGGAATCTAACGCATGCCATAGTGAACAAAGCACATCTCATATTCCCGTATGTGAGACACCAAGAAATGTTAGGACATACCGAGACTTTCCTTGAGGATCTGCCGGAGCTTGTTCGCATCAGTTTCAGCATCAAAGTTACTATCTCCCTCGATTGTTCCGCTCGTGACCTGACAACGAAACGTTAGCATAACATCACGAGAATCTGAAAAATGTGAAAGACTAGTGAGCCCGGTTCTGTGCTGCGTGTAATTCTCTTCATGTGTAGTTTACAAGTAAGAGGGAGGACCGAGGGGGAGTAGCTGTGTGGTTATATTATATGTTTTAACTAGCAAACCTCCTGGCATTATGTTATAAGGATTGTAGGTTTGGAAACCAAGAATATGCATCACTGAATTTAGGTGAAATATACTCGAATGTTTGTGTAGATTGTCTCTAGATTGCTGTAAGGAGTACAATCAACACTTCAGTCACTTTTTAATTCTCCAGATACATTCATCCCGAAAATAAACACCTTTTGTGGAACCAACCTATCCGAAATTTAGAGCTGTCCGGGACTAATGATGTAAAACCAGTGATTTAAAATAGTAATTCTCAATACTTTTGAGGGTATAATTTACATGATAGCTTAATCTGGGGTATAAACCTTTAATTGTTTAATGAAGATCTCATCTTATCTTATCTTATGAGGATTCGTTGCGACGCAACAAGGCCATCGAATGAGTCGACCACCTTTGTTATTTTACTTCGGCATTACCTGCATTACAATGTAAACCAGCACTTTCAAGGAAGAGCTTTACAAGAAGCCGAAGGACCGTTCCTAAGGCCAGCGACGGTTAAGGCACTATGCCACACTTTCTTCGCCCGAGGCTTCGCTGTGTTGATCAAGCACAGCTCCTCATTTAACCCTCACACCCGATTTCTCGAGCATTCGGCTGAGTGAACCGTGGGGCTACATAGACCACTCGGGATCCTTAGCAGAGCGTCAACGACGCTCACCCCACGACTAGGCAGGCAGTGGGATTCGAACTCGCAACCTCACGATTACAAAGCCGATGATTAACCAACTGCGCTACCTGGCCGATAGATATATACACAAGCATGTTATAAACTATCATTATCGTTAAATCCATATTCACAAACTGAATGAGTTTAGAAGATTACCATAAAAACTGACAACGACAATTGAAGTCAGTAAAAATGAAGTAAGTAAAAATTCCGCACTGTTATGAAGTCAAAAATATTCCATGACACCTAACACTCTGATTAAGAACTTCAGGTTAAAGCCACACACCCCACTAAAACCTTTTGGTGGCCGGACGAGGCCAAGTCCCTCCTGAGTTTGCAATTTTGTGGGAACCCTACCTATTATGGGCCCAAAATCGTCAACCTTTTTTTCGGGGGGAAGGGATGAAGCTATGCAGATTTAGATGAAGAGCGATGGTCAATGCTTGAAGTAAAAATGAATCCTCACAGTTTACAAGGAATTTACAAATCAATAAGATACAAAGCAATTCAAGGAAGCTCATTATCAGTATATCTTCAGCCGTCAGTCAAATGGCTAGACAGTGGACAAGCATTAAGAAACTTTGAATTTCACTCACCATGTTTATTGAAGTGGTTCTATCTGTTCATATAGTTCTCATTCCTTCTGAAACACACGGTTGATGAAGATACATTTTATCAAATCAAGTCAGCTGGACATTAAGAAAATAATGCATTATATAAAGTAAATATATTGACCTAAGATCTGGTTTACTGGAAGCTTGACTAATATGATGACTGGAATGGTAACAAACATTCAAGTAGTTAAGATTATCCATGATGGTAAAATTTTGATCGATACTACTAGTTTCAACTGAATACAGTAAAACCCCGATTTACCTTGTCAATATTTACTGTAAAAACCTGATTTAATGTACCTCCCATTCCCCAAAAATGTTTCATAAGATCTACACTCGTAGTGCTATAATATAATCCTTTACAAAACAACTAAAAAACGAGACCCTGATGTCAAGCAAGTTTATTAGTTAGTAATTCCCAATCGGCCTTTAAGTGAATGCTTGCCAACCATAACCACTGATTGGCGATGTCACGAGACTATAACTCAACAAAAATTTGTTTAAAGAAAAAAAAGGGGAGGGACCCCCAACCCATGTAGCTGAGACACCTCACAGCAAGAAGACCAAAGTGGCTCTTGCTTGTGAACGGTGCATCAACTACCCGCAAAAGTGGTGGGTTGGGAGTCCCCCCTGGAATCATTTCGTCCATAAAATTGTATGCAATATAAAAACTACAGTAAAAAATCTACAAAATTTACATAAACAAATCTAGGAGACCTCAAAGCTTGTCTTCTGAGGGACAAGGTTGAAGGATACGTCTTGCAGTTCAAGATGTTGATCTTCCTCTGATTCCCCTCAGTGCAATGAGTGTACTTCTTAACAGATCAAATCTGAATCATGTTCTGATATGATTTTTGACCTGTCTCTTGGCTTCTTTTTGTGGTCAGCTATCATCTCGGAGACATGAACTGCAAACACAATGCAGAGTGGTCCCATACCTCCAGAAGTTGTGAAGACTAGAGGGACAAAGGATCTTTTCTCTGACAGAAGTACTCTCTCTTCACACAAATCTTTCTTTTCTTTCTCACACTCACTATAGATCTTGTTTAGTGGCTTAATTGTATTTGTGTCACACTCAAAAATTAAAACCCTGATTTACCATATACCTCGATTTAATCTAATGTATTTTCCTTTCCTCAATGTGGACAGTAAGTCAGGATTTCACTAAAGGATGAAAATTAATCATTCTATAGTCTATTGTAATCAAACTTAGTGTATCTACATTCTACATTATTTTCTAATCTAGAAGATAGCAATTCACAAGCACAACCGAACGTGAGCATGACAAAAATTGGGCTTATGTCAGGTTAAGTGTAATTACGTAGACCCAGAGAGTTTAATTTATTTGGGTATATGGAAAAGTGTTTATAATGCGCATATAGGTGGGTCAGAATTTATCCAGGATCAATTGCAATGAATTAAATAAATACTCGAAAATAGTTCAAATGGCTGCATTTTGTCTAGACATTGTATTTTATATTTATATTGTATATTATATTTTCATATAGGGTCATTGTGACATTATAATAAATAATAATAATAAAATTTGGTAGCTTAAACACAAACTCTAAGCCCAGTGGATAAACCACAAAACCTATGCTCTATTGTGTGAAACAAAGATACTAGATCAAGATGACTATCAAGGAGTGTATGCATAGGACATAAAAAGTTTTGGAACGTTATGTGTATACTGTTTGAAACATTTTATATTATATAATGAAAAAAAAAATGTTTATTATCAAAATGTTTGTGTGGTCTATAACATTAATTTCTTTAAGAACATCTTAAGGGTACGGTATGCCACTATTGAATAAAATTGAAATTATCCCTGCTATCAAACTTCATGACCAAGATAACTCAAAATAGGCTAAAAATCCCACAATGAATTTTCTTTTCCTTTCCAGTAAGTCTGGATTACTAATGGGTCGTTCACATATTACGTAATCACTTTTTGGCGAATTTTTAACCCCCGTACAACCTCATCCCTGCCTCGATAATGGAGTAAATGATGTGTTTTGAAAATTTGTGTGTACATATTTGATTGTTTGAAGTTCAATTGGAAGCAATGGACCATTTCTGTTACCTATGTATTATGCTCTGCTGATTGCAACACTTGAATTGATTTTGATCTGCCAATTGCATCACTTGATTTAATTTTTAATAAAATTTTTCAAACAGCATACATATAATGTCACAATGACCATATATAAAAGGAAAAAACTAAACCTTCAACAACTCAAAGTTTTGAAAATCACCCTTGGCCTTGCAGCTCCAAGTTCAAATCTAAACTGTCTATATTGACAAAGTTCTATCTCGCCCCTCTGTCTCCCCGGAGAGAAATCACTGTTGTTCATAAGATTTCAAACCGAAGGCGCTTCCTAATATATCCCACAGCATACGCATACCTTTGACCTGTGTGGTACTCCATCTTACTAGCCAGCTTCTTCACTAGTCTTTCAGCTTCACCACCCATTCCACCAGACGTCGAGAAAACTAACGGTGTGAAGCTTCCTTTCTCCACTTCAAGAACCCTTGCATTGTAACATTGTTTTTTCTCATTTTCATGAAACTTGTACATTGCAAGGATCGATTTGCTTGCATTGGAGGGGGCTGGGGCATGGAATACCCTTACATCAAAATATGCCCTCTCTGAAACATTCCAAATCGATCTTGCAGAAATGTCCAGCCTAGCTTGGTCTCCTAGGACTGTTCCCCTTGGCAACTCTAGACCATCAACTGGAAGAAGAACTGGCTCAGTTTGCACATCCTTGCATTTCACTTGATTTAATTGTATGTATAGATTGTTTGAATCAATTCACCCCATTCAGTTTACATTACATACATATGTATAATCAGTTTATATTACATAAATGTAATAAGTTTGGTTATTTTAATAAATTTTTTTTTTTTTTTTTTAAATAAAAATAAAACCCTTTGTAATAATATATATAAAAACCACTAAATCACATCACAACAAAAAGTAGTTTAGACCCCCATCCAACTAGAGCTATTTTAATAAATTTGGTTATATATAATATGTAATAGGCGCTGGTTATATTTCCACCAAAAGCACATCCAATTTGATACTTATGAAGGGGTAAGCACAGTGCTACAATGCTCTATCTTGCAGTGGTCACGATCTTTCCATTGGTGATATTAATGACCACAGCCCCCTACGAAGAAGGAAAATATATTTATGAAATATGTCTATAACTTGCTTAATTCTGTACTAATTTAATTTGGCGTTTTACAACCAAAAATGAACGGGGAATCGTTAAAGATTACTTTTGAGGCACCTCAACAGCTTCTTGCGCTATTATGTGCTTTTCGTGGACATGGATAAATACGTCAGAAGCGTTTTTTAGTATGTTATTCTCTTTCAAAAGTATTCCAAGTAATTTGTATAAGTGTATACATTTATTTTGTGCATTGTTAATGGACTAACTTGTAACCCGGCGCGCGCCACTTCGTAGCACTTGCATTTTTCATACATTGTATGACCCACCGCACACGAGTGCGCGGCTCCCTGTATCGTAGAAACGCTAATAGTGAAACGACAATGGGGTCACGACTTAACGGGTGATACTCATAAATATCTGTTCCATATATTGGACCGTCGACGAGTCCAACTCGGCGCGCGTCCGTCCTGGTAGGTTGTAAACCTACAAGGTCACGACGTGATACAAACTTGCATCGGGCTAATATTTCGAGAAGAAAGCTGCGCGCGCTACTTCGACGAAATTTAGACGATCAGTAACATCCGTCAAATATCAATCTTGAATACATTCAATATTGCAAAAGATTTTATTTTGATTCAATTCATGAAGTTTGAAAAATTACATGTTACAGCAATGCGCGCAATTTGAGAAGCGTGCCTTCAGTGGAAATATAAGGAATGCACATTTTTAAGAAATACAAATTTGGATTGTATAATTGCATAATCTGCGCCAATTTCAAATTTAGTATGTGGTAGCGAAACTTATGAAAAATATAAATAAAATTATATATATATATATATAACTCTAAAACTCTGGTCACAAGAGCAACTGCCTAAACGTGCAGAAGTGAAAACAAATAAATAAAATACTAGCAATCCTTTAAATTCGCAATAAATAAGTTCGTTCAATGTCATTATATAATTCTAAAACCACATATATGTGACCAGTAAATAATTTAATTGGTCTATAGACTACTGTATAAAATTCTCAATATAAGCTTTTAAACAATAATAAATTAATTAAAAAACACACAACAACCTTTGGTGTGTAAGAATGATTAAACAGCCTCATTTTGACACAAAATATCTTCATAATATTATAGTATATGCTATAATATTAGAACTGTTAAGTTGAGTTCAGGTAACAGAATTTAACTGTAATAGAACCTCTGCTGTGTTATCCACTGTTGAGATGTAGCCATATCTTCGTCCGGTCTAACATTGACCCCGGCTCATGAAATATATGCTTCGTCCGGTCTAACATTGAACCCGGCTCACTAATCATAGGGATGGTGTAGTTATGGTAGTTGGAATATAATCAACTGTTTAAAGTTTTATCTCTATTCGAAGGAATTCTTCTGCATCCTTTGTTATTTCCAGTGCTAGATCAAAGAACTCACGAAGTCTGCTCCATGATATCAACATTGAGTTCCCACCATAGCCTTGGTTTTTGATGTTGTGGAAAGGGTGTCTTTCAAGAAGCTCACTCATTTTGTTCCTTTTATCTGCTTGTACATCAGGACAGTCGGTAAGCAGGTGAAGTGAATTTTGAGCCCCTCAAAATTAAATAACCGTAAACAGTAAATAAAACATAATTTTTACAAAATGTTGCAGCGCATAGTCAATAGTGCTGCAAGAAAACAACAATTTCAAGAAAACAACAATTTTATTTAGTATCAATTAAAGCAAACATAAATACATTTTATATATAACTAGCAGGATCTTTTTACCAAATATCTTAGGGGACTTGGAGTAGCAAGAGAATGGATAGAAGGTATATACTTAATACAAAGGTATATACTTAATACGTGTAAACTTGGGGGTTATGTGACCTTGCGGCATAACTCACTTCGAGATACAATAGCTAATATCATGCGGACAGTCAAATGCAAAGACGTTCAGACAGAGCCCCCTCTTCTTCCAGTCAGCGGCATGCAGTTACCACGAGGTACAGTAACTGGAGATCAAGCCCGACTAGATATATCAGCAAGATCAGTTTGGAATGCGTTGGAAAGAGCATTTTTTGATGTAAGAGTGTTTCACGCTCCTGCTCCAACCAACGCCGCTAAACCAATTCCTATGATGTATTTGGCTCACGAGACTGAGAAGAAAAGAGCATATAATGCAAGGGTCCTAGAAGTGGAAAAAGCTACCTTTACACCTTTAGTTTTCTCCACAACAGGAGGCATGGGAGTCGAAGCGCAACGCTTGATTAAAAAGCTTGCACAAAAGATGGAATCTCCAACGGGTCAGCGTTATTCAGACTCAGTTACATATCCTAGAAAGCGCTTGCGCTTTGAGGTATTAAAGACAACGGTTATTTCGATAAGGGGGGACAGAGGGCCCAAGTTGCGATATAAACCAGACAATATTGAAGATTTAGATTTAAATATTGAGCCTTCACATAGCCATGTGCCTACGCGTACTGCGTGACGCGCCTACGGCGGTCGCGCGCTACTGCAAGCGAGAGGGCTCTGGTTAGAGCAATATTGAGCCCTTTGGCTAGAGAATACTTTCTTGGATATTTTCGATAGTTTTTAATATTGGTAATATTAATGAATTGTAATTGATTGATATGTAATATTTAGGCCCGTGGCCAGTTTTCACACTTAATACAAAAATACGCTGCAATTGGTCGCCGCACGCTTTCTCTACGTAAAATTTGCGATTTTTCTCATTTCGCTTGTCAACGTGATAGTCGAGTAAAGTCATTTGAATAATTTTCTTTATCATCATCCAATGATTCATGTATAAAAACATTGAAGATGTAAGTGTATGTATTAAGAGAGGTATTGCGATGTGGTAAGACATGTGAGGACAAGAATAAGATTCGCAATGTTAAGAACCACACTCATTGCTCTACGAGGGTACAGAGGGAAAAAATGGACAGCAAATATGAGAAACCACTATCAGAAGTCTCTTATAACCTCATCCCTGCCCCTATGATGGAGTAGATGTGTATATATTTGATTTTTGATATTTCATATTATAAAATATTGGTAGCAGTGGAAAATTTCCGTTACCTCTGTATTGTGCTCTCAGCTCTGCCAATTGCAACACTTGAATTAATTTATTGTATATATACTGTTTGACACACTTTATTTATATTGAATTTTTATATAAGTGTATGTATTAATTGAACCCAATAACTTAAAATAATAGTACTAATACTTTTTTGGAGTTGTTACTGACGAACAGCTTTTCTGGGGACCTCATATAACAGCACTTAAACGAAAGTTAAACTATGCCTCTGCCACCTCAAATAGAATTAGGGACTCTGTACCGAAGGAACTCCATAAAGACCTCTACCACACACTATTTGAATCCCACCTTACATATTGTATTTCAGTTTGGGGTGATGCAGCACTCTTTAGGACAGCAAGTATCTGGCTGTCTCAGAAGCACTGCGATTGGTCCTCTTTGGTGACAAAGAGGCATACCTAAACAAGTTCCTAACATGTGCAAGAACAAGAAAGTTTGACAACCAGGCACTTGACCATACATTCTTCCAACTAGAGCACCGTAAACCACTTTTCAAGCAACAAAACATCCTGGCTTTCAAAAATTTATATATACATATCACACATTTATGGAAGTTTTTAAAATACTGAAATTAAGGTGCCCAGCATCACTGCAACAGCATTATCAGCCATCTTCTAGAAAAGAAACCACTCTCATTTCACAACTCCCATCTTAAAAAATAATTTTTAATAAATAATAATTTCTCGGATTAACAATCGACAACAAGCTCAAGCAATGCTGGTTTGCCTGGCACAGGATCACCCAAAACTCCACCCGCCACAGAGGTCTGAATACAAGCTCACTCAGAATGCTCTTCAGAACAGTGGTACTCACAAAACTTCTATATGCTGCTCCTATATGGCTAAATTCTGGCCTAAAAAAATCTCTTTTAAATGGTCTTCAAAACATAACCTGAAAGTTTCAGGGTGATTGCTCAAAAAATGTAGGAGAAGATAGATTTTTAGACTCGATTTTCAGGGCGCGCGATTGAAAATCGCTCGCACAATACAATTACACATAAGCCCTGACCTCTCATTGGCGATAATTTTGGCTAGGAACAATATTTTGCCATGGGACCGAAAGCAGCTGAAAGATATCACTCCCATCTATCAGAAACAACTAAAAAGTCAATTTCGAGAGAATTTTGATGAAGACCCCCCCCCCCCCCCCTGAGGTTGAAGTTACAAAAGACCACCACTTCTCAATGGTTACTGAAACAAACGTTTTCCAAAATATCAATTCAAAACAGCCCATATCTGCTTTTCTGTAAACTAAACAGCTCAAATAGAAAAGCTAATCCCATGATATTACGAAAATATCAAAATTAAATATATTTGTTGTCAAATAAACATAGTCCAATATCGCTTTACTATACCTCAGTATACTTGGTAGTTCATGTTTTTATAGTGGTGATGATGTTAATGTCATTATTCTTGATTTGATTTGATTTTCAGCACAACCTGCAAAATTCATTAACAACCATACTCAATTAGCTTGATACCCTTTCTCCTAACTCAGATTATTGCTGAAAAAAGAACTTCATAACTGATCAACACTGTGTGATCAGCGAAATATGGAAATTCATTTGATAATATTCATTTTTATGGTTTAACATGCTGCAAATAGCAAATTTAGCTATTCTACATCTACCTATCTACCGCATCAAAAATATGAATGTTGCATCTGTCAAATCATAAAAATGCACATTTATGTGGCTTACAATATTACCTTAATCATGTCAAAATTATTTTCAGGCCATACCCAATTTTCTAAACATTTCTGAACTATTTAAATCACAGTAGTCCATGGTGCAGAATGGAGTTTCAAAATCTCCAAAGCTTGCTGAACAGGGCCACTGCGCCTGCTAGTGAAGAGGAAGCAAAGCACTATTGCACAAGATTCACTACTTTGGTTAACCAGGTTTGTTTGTGGTTTTGTTTACACAACAAACTTGTTTTACACTTTGTTTCTCTATCACTGGTCAATGCCAGATTTAACAGGGCATGTTGATTGTTGATATTTTATGGTAGCAATTGATAACATCAATGATACAACTTTTTAAATAGTTAAATTCTCATTCCTGTGTTAAGCTAGTGAATTCACTTCAGCATCGCAGTAGAGATGTCGTGCAATGATAAAATAGAACAATATAAACGATAAGAGGACCTCTATTTCAGGAACCAGATGGAGCATCAAGAGCTATCACCCTACTCATAGCTAAAGTACAAAGTCAAAATGAGCCTGTTGCTCTTAGAGCTATCCACGTCATGGATCAATGCTCCAAGTATTGTGGGAAACCATTTCATACACAGATTGGAAAGTTTAGGTTCCTGAATGAGTTGATCAAACTAGTCAGTCCAAAGGTAAGTTATTGGGAGAGGAGCAAACTTTAAGATGCCTTTGCTTTCTTTAGTTGCAGCACATCTTAACATAAGTTCTTGGACTCTTTCATGGTCTGCACAGTCATTTTATCAATGTTTTCAGTATGCTGGTGGACAAACGCCAGATGCAGTACGGAGTGCTATTGTGCAACAGCTGAAACTTTGGTCCAATGCATTCAAGGACCAACCAAAGATAATTGAGGCTTTCAACATGCTTGAGAAGACTGGTAATACCAAAATTCAGGTTCGTAAATGTCAGTTTCACTTTTATAACTTTTATGCAATTAAGAAACAAATCTTACATTCACAGCTTTTCTGGGTTAATTTGTGAATCATTAATGTCTATTCAATCATTTAATTATATTAGATTTGTAGGAGTTGTGTTCTGGAATGTGTGAAACGTGGTCAGAACTTATTGAGAAATTGAATCACGCTTGAATGACTTGACTAATGACTATATGTTTTTGCGGTATGTTTTTATTGCTAAAGCGTGTTATACATGCTAGAATTTATTCATTTATTTGTATTTTCGTAGATGGTCAAGAAAGGCGAATTTACGTATGCGGCAGGAGAGGATGCCGATAAAGCTGCTTTGTTAGCACAACTTCTGAAAAGCAAGAACAAATCAGACTTGGAGACTGCTAACAAAATGATTAAGGTACATCATCAATAATCCTGGGTGTTTTGTGATATATCGCTTTACATTTAAGAGGCTCTGTTTGTTGCTTTGCTGCCCTGCAATACTTGGAAGACAATTCGAAAAAAGGTTTTTCATTGGGCATCGTCAATGTTAGTACATCTATTTTGTCACCCAGGACATGGTAGCTGCTGAAAGTCGTAAAGTGGAGCAGGATCACGAGATGCTAAAAGAGGTATCTCTCATTCACAACAACGGTAGATTGCTGTCTGAGATGCTGGCTAATAAAGACACAACCAGTGATGAGAAGCTGCTGTTGAACGAACTTCATAAAACTTGTCTCGAACTCAGGCCCAAATTGTACAGGCTGGCGGGCCAACTTTCCGATAGGTTTGCAGATATAGATTATAGGTGTAAGATCTCCAAAATTTTAATTCATTTAGTTCCTTTTTGTCATGAAGTATTTTGTGGTGACTATAAGTTGCCTTTCAGTTTTCACCGTTCGTGATTTAATTAGAAATTAAAGTGGGAAACTTGAATGTTACATGAGTTTAATAAGACCTAGACAATTCACTGAGTCTCATCTCACCACATTTCAGCGCCCAATTGTCATCAGTGGTAGAAGCAGGGGAAACATTGAACCGTGCCATAGAGCAGTACGAGATGTTGGGGACTAATGGAGCAGGGAGCGGAGTACCACCCCAACTAACTCCTTACCAGCCACCATCTATCCAATCACCTGGCTCTTCAACAGCACCCCCTCCAGCAGGTTTTACCTATTACTATAATAGCACCAGCTATAAATTCATGATTTTTTAGTAAGGTCGCCATTAACTGAAGTCTGAATCTCTCTCGCCAATTAGATGATTGAAAAATGAGCGAGGAAGTAGAAAATGCCAAACGTCTGTCAATTTTTCGTTAAATAGTTGAACGTTTTGTAATTCGTTAAATGACTTTGTCTCCAGAGCCCAGTGCTGATATGGAGAGTACGACTCTGATAAACCTAGAGGAAGAAGTGAGCACTTCAGCTTCTGGGGCTAAAGATGCCATATCAGCGGACGAGTTTGAGGATTTCTTGTCAGCGGTAACAGCTGGATCTTCTCAAAGTTCTGGAGTGAATAACGCGGTGCCCCCATCTGTTCCTGTCTCTACCCCTAATATTACAACTGCAACCCTCCAAACAACTTCTAGTGCTAATGGTAATTCATAGCCTCTTAAAGTCCTATTTTAATCTGGTATAATTGAATTCATGATCTAAATGTTACACTTTTAAAAAATTGATCTCTAGATCTCTAGATACTGTTTGGTAGGTGATTCCAACAATTTCAAGCTCATTACGCCTACAATACATGTTCCCCAGGAACGACGGAGACTAAGTCGTCCGGTCTATTCGGAGGAATGACACTGCAGCCCCAACAGCCGGTGTCTCAGTCAGCACCCCTCCAGCCTGCAGCTCCTCAACCTGCAGCTCCTCAACCTGCAGTCTCACAACCATCTTCTGCAAACAATGATTTTGCTGATTCTTTTGGTCTACTCGAGCTCGATACTCAACCTCAGACAACGGTTTGTCAACTTAATTTTGTGTTAATTCCTTTAATTTAGAAGCCTCGTGTGAAATTCGATTGGCCAATATACGAGTCAAACATACCGAAAATGGGAATTTGTTTTTTTTTAACCTAGATCATCTTGCCAAAAACCCGTGAAGATAAAGTCAAATCAAGGCGAAACTTGCACAAAGCAGAAATTAGGCCTAATATAAAGAATGTTTCGTGACAAATGACGTCACCAAGATCAAACCAGAAGTAACCATCGATTCTGGGAAATGTATGTATACAGTAAATGATGTTGTTACTACGATCAGTGTAAATCTATTTAAAAGGTACTCCTGTAGCTCAGTAGCTTGCTCTGAGTTAGTTCCGTAACATTTACTGAGTGTAATTTATTAGTAATTACTTAGTGTAACTTACAGCTAATTAATTCAGACTACACAAGCTGGCTCGACCACCACTGGAGCAAGTGGATCTCTTCTTGATGATCTCTTCTCCTCGCCCAGCCAGCCACTATCTCAACAAAGTAGCGGACTTAGTTTACTGGATCCAACCCCATCATCGAATAACCTCAGTTTTCTCGATTCCAGTCAAGGCTTTGGTATATTTGATACAAGTGGGCCCAGCTTAGGGGGTGATCTTCTTCAGCCCATGTCGGTATTGCAGCCATCTTCGTCTTCTGCAGCTCAGGTTTTTGAAATCTTATTTTGAGTTGATCAAATAGTAAACTATTTATAACTTAACTAATGAATAAAATCATTACGCACAGTCTATAGTACTCATCCAGTGTTACTTGAGTATAGATGTTGCTGAATGTGACTATTTGACTGTCATGTTATGATCATTACATCAGCAGCCGGAGCCGGCGCCCACTGGAGACAAGTTTGATTTGTTAATGCCCGAGATAAAAGGAACATCGTTTACTGCCCCGCCAAAAATAAAACCCACACTCTCCCAAATGTAAGTCAGCTTGTTTAGTTTTTAAAATGCTTATTATCAATAGAATGATGCCCTAATAAGGTGTTTGTTTTGGATCCACCTCTCATTGCCACCAAACTCATTGCTTTTAAAGACTATCTATATAATACAATGCGTCCTCGCAGGAAGAAAGTTGAACCAGTGAGAGCGCCCTCTCCTCTGCACGCCAATCCTCTGCACGCCCCTCCAACTACCCCTCCCCGTGATGTTTTAGCCGATGTTGAAGTACCCCTCACTCTGATCCGGCCCTCAAACGACCCACCTACACTTGTGTTCGATAGTGGAGTTGTGAGGGTGAACCTCTACAAAACTGAGAACAAACCTCAGCCTGATGTGTCTGTTTGGTTGATGACGATTACCAACTCTTCAACAGCCCGCATCGATGTAAGTAACGACTCCTTTTAGTTTTAAATTTTAATACTGGAAATACTGATTCATTACTATTTATAGGATAGTTATTGTGCAGTATTACTACATACCATGATCACTACATACCATTACTGTAGCTATGTTTAACGGTAACCTGTATTATGATCTAATAATTCCATCAATCTTGCCAACATTTGTTCCAACCGACTGATTCTTAGGAAATTCAGTATTTATTACATAATATGCTGTATTATCTCAATATTATCTTACTTTGTGTAATAATATCTTTCTATATTATAGGACGTCAGTTTGGAAATTGCTTCAAGTGGTACAGATAAGGTTAAGCTCAGCGCTCCTTCATCAACAAAGCTGTCACCGTTTTCGCCGATTTGCCCGTCTTCTCCTATCCAGCAAGTAGGTTCCTACTACTGATAAGCTCTGACTATTAGTTGTGAATAATTAATAGACATTTCTGAAGATATGCTATGTGGACCTTGTATGTTAGCTTCGCATTTAATATGGTATTTTTCAATTTACGCAGTGCGTGGTGAGTGGTAAAGGAAGAGTTGACAGCCCATTATAATTAGTTGTTGACTGTTTGTCAAATGTCTACTGTTAATATTGATTTAGTAACATGTCGATTATGCCGACTAGAGGAATTTAATCAAACATTCAAGTGTTGGCTGCTGGACTTACTAAACAGATTTATATTTGAAAGTGCTAATGTTGAGGATTCTTGCAATTGCCCTCGAAAAGTGGGTTACACTGTAACCGAGGAGATTTTTCCGAAACTGAGGGGAAACAAAGTATAAAATATTACTATTTAACTTTTAAGGGGCTTTTGAGATATGTGATTTATGAGATATATAAGATAATAAATATTTTGATAGTTGAAGTCATGAAGTAATCCACTCAGTCTTTAAAACTTCGTCCCCAACTATCAGATTATATGATCGATCAACTCATCAGAGCGAAAAAAGATTACTATAAGATAATAAACTTTGAAAACTTGTCAATCTATTATTATTTGATGTACCGTATAGTACAGACTCTTTGCAACTATTTTATCAGTAATGCAGTTACACAATATGCGACTAAGTTAGTAGTTACCTGCGTCGCGTTCGATAAAGGTAATGGTGGGGGTTTCAAGGGGGTATATCCGAATGTTTTATCTTTTTGGAAGGTAAGAATTAGGAATGTTAGATTTAATTTCATGTTTCACATACTTCAGGTGGTGATAGCAACCAGTGGTACAAACTCTCTACAGTACAAGCTGAAATTCGACAAAGAAGAAAGAGTGGGACAATTAATTTGCTTTAGGAGATTGTATTATATAATAGAATTTGGAAGCAATATTTTTTATATGTTCGTCACCTGAATTGTTATGGACGGGTGTCAAAATTGGAGATAAAATATACAGTCTTTGTAATACCGATTTTAAATAAATATGAATACGTTTAATTTGACAACGCATATCTAAAGCCTTTTGCGTTATGTTTAAAACATGCTTCTTAGACGAAAATATCGAAAGATAAGCAAAGTTGGAGGGCATGCTCGCTTAAACTTTCTAAAAACTTTCCAGATTTAAAATTATTGAGAATACAACTTCAGTCTTCAGCTGTAGTCCTCTGTTTTTCTGAGGGCTATCTGAGAGTGACACGTCATGTGACACTTCACACAGCACAGAGCTGTGCAGAGTTTCATCTTCATGATGAAATAAAACATCAACAATTTTTTAATCACAACGATGAAATTTTGTAAATTTAAAGTAGATACTAAATAGATAATTCTTTGTATACAATACTCATGATAAAATACGAGACACTTTTCATGTTTCCTAGTTTTTGATCTGTCATTCAGCGTTAGTTCTTAAGATGCGCCATGATGCATTCTGTGACATGTCAAGCGTATTAAAGACAGTTTGATTTTAGGGCGATTACAATTGGGATTATACAGGGGATACAATATATTTCAAGATGCGGTTTAAAGGGCAAATTGTGGTGAATGATGCAGTTTTTTATAAAGTAGAAAATGTATACATATATATAGTATGTTTGGTGAACACACTATTCAAATTTCAAAATTTCAAGTGTTTTAGTTGCGTATATAGTTTTGTTTATTATGTTGTTGATTGTACCTAAAGTAAAAAATTTGTTTTATTTTAAAGTTTCACTGAGTCTTCGATGTAAGATGTTTTACCGCCGAAAATAATTCCCTAAAAATTAATTTCCCAGTTAACGTAAATAAATTTATCCCATTTTCCTTTTTGATGTAAATTAATTCATCCCGGAACTTTTCTATGAAATTTAATTTGTGTAGTCTATACTCTTTTCAAAACATCTCATCAGTTAACAGGAAACATGACTGAAGCTGGACCACTGCAAGTGTTGAGGATGGCGTTTGATAAAAATACAGACTGGGACAAGGTAATCATACGTTATACAATCTATTATCTATATGATAGTGTTTTATTGTGTGTTACAGTGATAGCACATATCTATTATATATAATGAGAAAATACTACAATATAATCAAGGTACGATGTTGGATACCTGAGTTCTATATCTTTCGATAGCAACTCCATCTATGTATCTGCTTAGCTTCCATCACTGATCCTGGTACTTGAGATTCCAGGTGTGGCTTTAAACAATGTTTTAAGGGCCCAACACTCAGCTCACTCAGTTGATGGTAGAACAGTGGGGGGGTCCAACCCGATGTCCGATATGAGGGTTGATGAGGCCAAAATCGGAATCGGAAAAATCGGAAAATTGAGAAATTTTAGAGAATCGATCTCTAAAACCTCTCAGAAGTGATAAAAAACCCCTACATATGCTATATTGTTATGAGAAAACGAACTAATTGGACATTCCAATAGTATGTTTTATGTGTTTTTCCACTGCAGGGGCTAGTATGCTCACTACTAGTTGAAGTTGTCATGTACTCCCAGACCCGAGTGCTTTGGCCTCTTGACGTGAGATCGATTGTTTCTGCTCATTAATTTTATCCCTGTTACTTGTTATTATGTATTAGTACAACACTAGGTACCGGGTTATATTTTGTGGTCGGGTCTTTAAACATACCATAATATCACTAGTACACTGCACCTTAAATGTATAGTCAAGTACATTTGTATCGTAACACATGCTTGGTATGGCTGGGGGATCATGTTTTGTGTCCGTTCGGTACCCTGTATTTTCAAAACGGACAAAAAGTAGGGCGGACAAAAACGGACAGAAACAGACAAAACATTAAGATGTCCTCCTCCTCCTCCTCCTAAGTCTTCCTCCTCCTGAGTCCTTCTCCTCCTGAGTCCTCTTCAGTCCTCTTCCTGACTCCTCGTCCTCGTCCTCGTCCTTCTCCTCAGTCCTCCTCACCCTCCTCCTCAATCCCCTTCTCCTCCTCAGTCCTACTCCCAGTCCTCCTCCTTCTCCTTCTCCTTCTCCTTCTCCTCCTCATCCTCATTTCTCCTCCTGATCCTCCTTCTCCTCCCCATCAGTCCTCCTCAGTCCTCCTCATAGTCGTCCTCCTCCTCCTGAGTCCTTCTCATCCTCCTCCACCTCCTGAGTCCACCTCCTGAGTCCTCCTCCTGAGTCCTCATCCGCCTCCTCAGTCATCATCCTCTTCCTCCTGAGTCCTCCCCCAGTCCTCCTCCTCCTTCTCCTCCTCATCCTCCTCTCCTTCTCCTCCTCATCAGTCCTCATCCTCTGTCCTCCTCATAATCGTCCTCGTCCTCATCCTCGTCCTTAGTCCTCCTCCTCCTTATCCTCCTCCTCAGTCCTCCCCCAGTCCTCATCCTCCTCCTTCTCCTCCTCCTCCTCCTTCTCCTCTTTCTTCTCCTTCTAATCCTTCCTCCTCCTCAGTCGTCGTCGTCCTCCTCCTCGTCCTTAGTCCTCGTCCTCTTCAGTATTCCTCCTCAGTCCTCCTCAGTCCTCATCCTCATCATCCTCCTCCTCCTCAACAGTCCTCCTCCTCCTCAGTCTCCTCATCCTCCTCCTCAGTCCTCCTTCTCCTACTCCTAAGTCCTCCTCCTTCTCCTCCTCAGTCTTCCTCCTCAGTCCTCCTTCTCACCAGTCCTCCTCCTCCTCAGCCTCCTCCTCCTCATCCTCCTCCTTAGTCCTCCTCCTCCTCCTCAGTCCTACTCCTCAGTCCTCCTCCTCCTCCTCATCCTCCTCATCCTCCTCTTCCTCAGTCCTCATTCTCTTCCTCCTCCGTCCTCCTCCTCCTCCTCAGTCCCCAGTTCTCCTCCTACTCGTCAGTCCTTCTCCTCAGTCCTTCTCCTCCTCGTCAGTCCTCCTCGTCAGTCTTTCTCCTCCTCCTCAGTCCTTCTCCTCCTCGTCAGTCCTCCTCCTCCTCCTCGTCAGTCCTTCTCCTCCTCCTCAGTCCTCCTCTTCCTTCTCCTTCTCCTCCTTTTCCTCCTTCTCCTCCTACTCCTAAGTCCTCCTCCTCCTCAGTCCTCCCCCAGTCCTCCCCCAGTCCTCCCCCAGTCCTCCTTCTCCTCCTCCTCATCCTCAGTCCTCCTCATCATCCTCCTCAGTCCTACCTCAGTCCTCCTCCTCCTCAGTCCTCCCCTAGTCCTTCTCTTCCTCAGTCCTTCCCAGTCCTCCTTCTCCTCCTCCTCCTCAGTCCTCCCCAAGTCCTCCTCTTCTTCAGTCCTCCCCCAGTCCTTCTTCTCCTTCTCCTCATCCTCAGTCCTCCTCTTCAATCCTCCTCCTCATTCGCTTTCGTCCTCCTCCTCAGTCCTCCTCGTCCTTAGTCCTCGCGTTCTCTTAGTCCTCCTCTTCCTCCTCCTCCCCGTCCTCAGTCCTCCTCCTCCTCTTCCTCCTGAGTCCTCCTCCTCTGGAGTCCTCCTCCTCCTCCTCATCAGTCCTCCTCCTCCTCTTCAGTCCTCCTAAGTCCTCCTCCTCATCCTCCTCCACCTCCTGAGTCATCCTCCTCCTCCTCCTCATTCTCTTCCTTATCCTCAGTCCTTCTCATCCTCCTCCTCATTCTCCTCCTTATCCTCCTCCTCTTCAGTCCTCCTTCTCAGTCCTCCTCCTCCTTCTCCTCTTCCTTATCCTCCTAATCAGTCCTCCTCCTCAGTCGTCCTCCTCCTCTACATTAGCCCTTGTCCTTATCCTCCTAGTCCTCGTCCTTAGTCCTCGTCCTCATCCTCCTCAGTCTTCCTCCTCAGTCATCCTACTCCTCATCAGTCTCCTCCTCTTCCTCAGTCCTCCTCCTCAGTCCTCGTCCTTCTCCTTTTTAACAGTCCTCCTCCTCAGTCTTCCTCCTCGTCCTCGCTCTCGTCCTCCTCCTTTTCCTCCTTCTCGTCTTCCTCCACACCAATCCTGCTCCTCTTCCTCAGTCTTCCCTCTCCTCTTCAGTCCTCCTCCTCCTCAGTCCTCCTCGGTCCTCCTCTTTCTCCTCAGTCTTCCTCCTTCTCCTCCTCCTCCTCAGTTCTCTTCCTCATCCTCCTCCTCCTTCTTCTCTTCCTTCTCCTCCTAATCAGTCCTCCTCCTAATCAGTCGTCCTCCTCCTCGTCCTTAGTCCTCGTCCTCATCGTCCTTAGTCCTCGTCCTCATCCTGCTAGTCCTCGTCCTTAGTCCTCGTCCTCATCCTCCTAGTGCTCGTCCTGGTCCTCCTCAGTCTTCCTCCTCTGTCCTCCTCAGTCCTCCTTCTCCTCAGTCCTCCTCCTCCTCCTCATCAGTTTACACAATTTATTGTTACTAAAATGTTTTTAAACGCATTTGAGTCTGTAACATATTGACATGTTACTGTTACTTGACATGTTACATGTTACTGTCAAAATGTGCTCGAGAATTTTTTTGTTTAACAGAGTTTTACTCTCCAGTACTATGGAAAAGTTGTTACGTATGATAAATAAAGATTTTGATAAATAAAGTGATTTTCATCCCTTTTAATGTTATTGAAAAATGTGTAGACTATTCTTTGTATCTAACTGAGGATTGGAAGTTTGAGAAAGGACCATAGTCATTAACCGTGCTACCCATTTCTGCAGATAGCCTGTTACAAATTGTGGAGACAATTTAAATCAAAAGTTCGCTATTTGTTACGATTGTTATTACCAACCGTACCTCTTTCAATTGTGGACCGGGGTGGATGTTTCTGTCAAACAAGAGTTGATAAGACATTGTGTTGTTTTTCGGACGAAACGATTCTTGTTTGGAACAAGATACCATTTTGGGGTTCTGGGACCACCACCAATCGATTTCTTGTCATATTTAAGTACAGAAATAGCTACCTATATCGCCTAGAAACCTCAGAGGGAAGATTTAAATTTTCCCGATTTTTCCGATATGAGGGTTGATGAGGCCAAAATCGGGATCGGAATTGATCGGAAAAATCGGGTTGGACCCCCCCCCCCCCCAACAGTGGGTCTTTGTGCGATGTTGTAGCAGGGACTCCACTTCTTGTTTTCTCTTGCTAACCAGATTGCATAGGAACATCTGAGAGCAACCAAAGCCGCCTCTTGGAACACTGCTTTCTTTACTCTCTTTGTAACACCAAAGTAGTTTAGTAGGGCTGGTAAGGTATGATGCCAGAAGCCTCTACACCCAACCTCTACCGTAAAAAGCTGAGCTTTCCACCCACTGCCATGCAGCCCAGGAATAAGCTCTCTGTTGTAACGTGCTTGTTTACGTTCTACTTGGTCACTAAAGTTACTCTCGTCACCAACTGTCAACTCTACTAATATGACCACCTTTCCTTTATCAGACCAGACTACAATATCAGGACGTTCTGCAGCTCCGTAGATGTGCTGGGGGAACTGTGCTGGGAGGTCATCTTCGTCCCAGATAATCTGCCAATCTTGGTCTTTCTCAAAAGGGCTCTCTCTTTTCATCTTCGTCTTTGATTTTTGGTAACAGCTGCTAGATGACTTGAAGCCTGTCCAGTCCTGAACTTCAAGTTTAAAATCTTTGTTGTTGAACTTCTCTATTTGATCCAGTAGGGATTTTGCAATGACCCGCAGCACGTTGTCATGCCTCCAATTGTATCTTTTGTTGTTCAGCGAGAAGTTGCAAGCTACCAAAATGTGCTTAATGTTGCAGTGTCTCCATCCGCAAAGTGGACAGTGTCCTGTGTCAGCATAGTTCCACAGGCTCATGTTTGCTGGAGTATTTGCAACGTCATGGGTTACATTGAGGTGGAACTTAAGAAGAGCAGGGCTCATCTTGTAGTTGTAAATAAGGTTGTTCCAACCTAGGTCTAGCTGCATGGTGTTTTCCCATGTTAAGAATTGTCCTTGAACTCCCTTGTCTACCAGTGTCAACAGGATATCCTGCTCTAAGATGTGGGATACCAGTTCTTTCAGTTTTTCCTTTTCACTGGCTACACTCCTCTTGGATCCCAAGCCCATCCTGCCTTGCACTGTTACTCCTACTAACTCTCTGAAGTAAAGATCTCTTTCTCTAGCACTCAGCTCATTAGTGTAACCCCACCGACTGCTCCCTTCTTGTTTCTTGGCCCTGTGCTCGTAGACCTCCTTAACTTTAGGATCCTTGCTGTTCTTTAAAGAGAAACCTTTGGACACCTGAAGGAACTTGTATAAGTCCGATAGTCTTTTAAGATTCAATCCAAAGCAATCCTTATTTCTGTAAAGCACACTGACAGTAATTGTCTTTGTTACACCTAGCCATTTCTTCAGATACTTCGTACATATTGCTTCAAGATCTTTGACAAAACTAACCTGGAGATTGTAGATCATCAGGTCCCAGGAGAGCTTGCTGGTTAGGAGGTTGTTGTAAATCCAGCATTTCATCACTCCATTAAGGCCTGATCCGTCCACTGCCTGAAACAGTGTAATCAGTTTGTCTTCTATCAGCTTCTTGGTATCTTTGAGGCCCAGATCCACATATATCCAATGGCCAAGAAACTTCATCGGTGTATTTCCAATAAACTGGATTTGAGCTCCATCTATATGTTGATATTAAACATATATATATGTTTAATATCAACATGGTGCTGCATTTGGTCTAAGCTTCCGAATGATATGTTGAAGAAAATAATAAACGATATTTTTCAATGACAACAGACGACTTGGTACTACGCTTTGCTCACAATGGATTATTTTCAGGACGAATTCCTAGATTCAGTTTACTGGATTCGACAGATAGTTGCAGTAGTGTTTGGTATACTGTGGGGCGTTATCAAATTCAAGGGACTTCTTGGAATATTAGTGTTAGTTTATTTAATCATAGTTAGTTTTATTTATCAAAATATGTTGAAACATTCTTTTGTTAACTAGTATGTTGTACTCTGTTGTCCTCTTACAAAAGTTCGAACTTTTGAGTTATGGTCGGTCAAATTAAATTTGCTATCTAGATTCTGTTCACGTGGTCCTAGTCGGACATAAAACAATCTGTCTATTTAATATTAAAGAAGTAGTGGCGACAGTCCGTATACATGTGCTCAGCCGTCATCGGTGATAACCTAATACTGATCGATGAGCACATATCCGGCTAGCACACATTACATAATGCATAGCTTCATAATCATACAATGTGATACTATCTTTAAATGTGTATGGGAGTGTGACTGAACCTTATATTTCAGGTACATCATAATAAATCTGGGGATAATATTTTTGTATTACACGTCGTATCATGAAGTGGACGAAGAGGAATACGGCGGGCACGGTGAACTGGCCAAAGAAGGACTTCTAACTTCATTTTCACTATTTTTGGTAGGTCTCATCATATCATGTTTTTCGTCTCGGAATGGTAGCAAAACTTAGGAGTTGTATCATGTTCACATAAGCCATGGGGCGACAGTTGATTAACTGTTTTTAAGGTAAAATCGATTTCCTATTGCCACGTTTCCGCAGAGCAAACAAATTAAATTTAGCTCTTATGTAACGCGCAGCAACTTCTTCATATAGAGGGTTATCAGAGACAAAACTCTCACGTAATGTCTCCGAGCCGCGCGTGTTGCCCTCACTATCATTAAAGATTAGACTGCAGACCATTTCTATTAATCCTGGACCGGCTTTTTTGTTTTTGATTCCTTTTAAGGCCAAATTTCCCGTAATGGTCCACCACTTCTTACTTTACTAAATGCCAGGGTGCTGTAACTATACATTTTTTCCAGGTGTTTTGGATAATATTGTATACCCTGTACATGCAACCATTGGTATCGTTATCAACTTGATGGGACGCACTGCTCCCTTTGAAGGCGATGCATTTCGAACATCAGATGTCGGCTTGATCCAGAATATTTATTAAATCGGATGAATATCTACGAATGAACTGGGTTTTATCTCTTCATCGAAATGTTTTATTATTATTCGATGACCAAATATTGTTAATATGGAAGTATGGTTAAATTTGAATGTTGAGTTTGACACTTGTTTCATAAAACAGATTAACAGCGTTGAATTATTTGTCTAATAATCTGAATCTGTGTAGCCCCTTTACCTTTTTGCCCAAGCGCCAGCTGCACAATGATCAACGCACAACGGGCCCAGTTTCGTCACTAGGTCCAGGATGACAGATAATTGATAATGTTTCACGGCTCAGTTGTATACACCAGAAATAGTGTACAGTATCCTATTTTAATGTCCATATGTGCAGCCTACGATCACTGGAATGTTGTGTACTGAAGTCGTGTGATCTATCCTGACTCACTCCTGGTGTAGCAAAATTGAATGGAACTCTCTTCAACATGGCTGTATCCAAGCATCACAAAATAGGGTGTGGCGCAACCGAGCTTGTGGACGGTGACATGCAGTTAGATGGCTGGAAATAGCCATACAAATTCTCAGGTTTGAGATTGGCCCCAATGGATATGGAGTTGCTGCGCTGGCAAGGCACGTGCTGCGCGCGCATTTTGTAAACAAATGACTGCTTTGGCGTGATATGCTCTACATGATTCAGCATTGCTCGAAATGCTCACAATTTCGGTAGACCTACACTAAGTTTGCACTTAAAGCTGCTTCCGCATAGATACCAGGAACCCTGCCCTCGTGTAATTACAGTTTACGTGCCAGCCGGTGCTTGACAAACTTGCACCTCCCAGTGTACATCCGATCATTGTACTGACGGTGCAGATGTTCTCAGGGCTAAATTTTTTAAAGAATTCATGAAACCGTGACACTTGGAGAAAATCAGGTTTTTCAATACATTTGCATACTTGTCCGAGCAAATTTACTTAGCTAACATCACTCACTGGCTGCTCACATTTATTTAGAATGTAACACCGGTATTTGGCTAACACAACTACATTTACAAGGCTTGTTCATGAGTCGTAGTTACAGTGCAGAACGGGCGAAAATTGCGTCATACCTTATTAGAATCAGCAAATTTCATTGGTCGGTGAAACATTTACCCAACAAATGTAACTTTAGAATGGAAGGCTATCTAAGAAACACTAATTGAAATATACATACGGCTTTGAGTCTCACATATTGTTCAATTATTGAAATTTCGTGATTTTTCTGAATGTCTGAGTGCTGGACCTCAAAAAAGCTGGGTCCGCGCGTGGTCAAACAGGAAAATCATGACCAGGGTAACTCAATTTAATTCTTGAATAATACTGCGTTATGAGTGTTATCAGCTGTTATGAATACGTGGGAAAATAAACTGAAATTAGTCACCAATCTGTGATAAAATGGGAAATCTTACTGTACACAACACACATTTCACGAGAGCTAAAATGTAAATGAATCAAACACAACTAAAGTCTCGACAACTCTGTATATTTACGGTCGTCCTTGGCAATAATATTATCGTTAAAGATGATCTCTCAATAATAATGATAATCTTAGGAATATCGTAGCCACACCATGCTACGTAATATGCGTTTAAAACGATTCGTGTAACAACACATAATTCGATTACTGATCGTATTACTTAAAACCTCCAGCCTCGAGAGCAGATTTAAATCGTGTGGAGTATCGAATTTCGTCGTCTAATAGGAACTGACACTTGGAACCAAACCTAGCAATACTGCGTGTTGTGAGCAAACGTTTTCCCGTGTTGTCGGGTTTGTGTGATCTCTTGAGAAGGGTGAGGTGAAGTACTTTTCCGCTGTGGAATGTGTTCAAAATATGTCTTACAACATTCTTATCAACTCCCCTCAGTGACTGTCCGTCAATCTCAAACAAAATGTCCCCGACCCGCACACGACCATCGCGCTCTAAGCTGCTTAGCGCTACAATCGCTACTACCTTCCAATAAAGCCACGACTTCTCTATAATTAGCCCAGGGGTAGTCATGCATACAATGTCATAAGTCACTAGGTTACCGGCACTTGTAGCCATCTTAGTGACCTGCCCAACATCTAAGTTTGTTAAAGCAGCCGACCGGCTGTCACTACTGCACTGATCAGGTTCGTTTAATATATCTTCAGTAAAATCGCTCAAGCTGGTAGGTATCGTAGTTATACTTCCTTCGATTGATGTCATGCATTCAGTGCTTCGGGTGGTTGAATTAAAATAAGTGGATGCATATTCCGATTCTATAGCATCCAAAGTCTCTCCAAATTTCATATTATTTTCGTCTGTCCGTTCCTCTAGTATAAACTGTTCCGAACCAGCAGTCTTAAAATCTGAAGGCATAGAAGATTTCTTCGACTCCACTGGGATCGGGATTATTTCCTGACTGATTTCCTGAACATTTTCCTGGCTATGTTCCGCACTTCTTTCACTTCTGCTGTTTAATGATATGAGGCTGTGGGTCCTCCAATAATCCACCATATCTTTTATATCGTCAGAAAGTGCTAAAATCTTGCCCAAGTTAATGCTGGTCTGGTCACTTTGGGCTGGCGAAACCCCCGAAATGGCAGATAACTGCATGGTATTGGTTGGACGATCACTTTTGGTTGGACGTTCACTTTTCTCTAGCATCATATTCTTGACCATGTCCTCCAGTTTACCATGAAAGGAAGGGTCATGAAAATGGGGCGACAGTTCAGCCCGTTCGACTGGCTCCATCAGGGTATAAGATTTGTCCTGAGTAACGGACAAGCTCTTCCTCTCCACAATATTACTCAAACTCTCTCTAAATTGAGGATTATTTTGTAGCATGCAATGCATTTTTGCGGAGCGAGCAGAACCCAGCTTGGCTTTATTTTTCAGATGTGATTCTTGTCTCATGAGGCACCTGTCCAACCTTTCGCTGTTGCTCTTACTCTTTACAATCCCTGGAAAGAGACGATTTCCTCCATTCCTCTCATCTCTCTTTTCCTCGTCAATCGTGTTCATGCTTCCATCTACATACTCTTCCTCGATATCTGTTATTTGCGAACAAGAATTCTTTTTTGGAACAAATCTGGAGCGATAATTTATCTTCTCTCCGCTTTTGCGTTTCACAATCCCTGGAAAAAGAAGAACATCCCCATTCTTCGCATCTCGGTAAATGCCTAATTTTTGTTTAGGGAATCCATCTCCAGCTTTCTCTCGGTCAATCGATTTTATGTTTTCATCTACCCGCTCTAACTTGACATGTGGTACTTGCGAACTAGAATCCCTTGTGGAAACAAACTGTACCTCTATATCTGGCACTTGCGAACTAGAATCCTTTGTGGAAACACGCTGTACATCTACATCGGTAACTTGCGAACTAGAATCCTTTTTGGAAACAAGTAGAGAGCTAGAAACTATTTGATCGAGAGATCCTTTACTGCTGATTTTCATTCCCCTTTCGTACCCTTTCAACATACCGGACACATATGCCTCCTCACTATCCCGGCTGTAGGTACCGAGGGACGACGCACTCCTTGATCGTGACTTGGTACGTGCTGAACTAGCAAAACTATTGAGGTTTTTCCTTACCACTACCTCGTTCTGTACAGGCTTACTTATTTTCAGGGCTTGTTCTTCTGACTCGGAAACAGCTGTATATTCCTCGCCGTTAGCACGCATCATTGAATTTTTTAATATAGCCTTATTAAGATCTTTCATGAAACGTTTTTCAATTCTGCCACTTTTTTGGGTGAGTTTGTTAGGAGATATAGATGGTTGAGGAGATGGTTGCTGTGATGTTAGCTGTGATGTTAGCTGTGATGTTAGCTGAGATGTAAACTGAGGTGTTAATTTGGCGGAAGGGTTGGAAGAGTCTGGTGAGCTGGGTATCTGTGAGTTGGATGGGTATGAGTGAGTGTTGTTGCGTGTAAGTGACTCATATTTTGGAGAGGGTGAAGGATTTTTTAAGAACATTTTCGTGTACAGATCGATCCAGTCGGTCATGTTTCCCTAAAAAATGTATTTTATTAGTAGATGGTACTTGGGTTGTGTCTAACAGAAAACCGCAGATTACATAATTTGGAGAACTTAAGACAAGTGCCAAGTGATAACATTATCTAATTATCAATTAATTAGTAACCAATAACCATCATTTCTGTCTGCCGTGAGCCTAAATATGTAACAATTAGCCTATATCACGTCCATAGCATTATGAGTGATTGGTTTCTCGTATGGGGTTTGGCAAGAAAGCTGATCTACCAATTGCAATGCAAAGGTGGGCAAATATTACAGAAAACCCGAATAAGGTATAAAAAGCGGCCTCCGCTTCAGCTGCTCAACAGTTAAAGTCTTTTCAACATACCCACCATGGTAACCTACAACGTGTTACAAACTTGGGTGGTCGTCAGTCGTGGTTACTGGTTAGTCAAGTGCCCGGATCTAGACCAATCCAGTCCGTTCTGAAAATTACGCTGAGGGAGGATAAATGCCCTCTACTAAAATGGCTATTAACTTAAAACCCATGTTGAGTAAATCATGTTCATGTGTAATGTGTATCACAGAAAATACAGATCATTCATCATTGTGAAGTAGAAAGCGCAGTGAAACACGTTGCATTATACGCTATATTATTCTTGGTCAAAGAAAGATATATCAACACAAACATTGTCCCACGCACATCGTGTGTGCATATAAACGCACATTACCGCGAGTACAGTGTATATGAAAAAGGGAGTGTGCGTGTGCTGTGCGTGTGTGTGTTTGTGCAAACAAACACACACACACATTTCCATATAATATATCTTAGAGCCACGGTGCACACACTTCACATGTACAACCAGATTGAGTGCGAGTACAGCTCTTTAGTATAAACCTCTCTCTCTCCCTCGCATTTTGTGTATTAAGAGAGCGCAATTATTATACACAATTTACAGAGCAGGCTGCTCTAACCAGCTCTGTTAAACCCGAAAATTGTAATATTTTGAGATATTTAATATCTTCTGATTTAAATTGGGTTTAGAGAGCTAAATTTCTGTCTATCTAAGAGTTGCGTGGATATAATATGTAAGTTTTTTTTCCAAGTTTTTTTTTTCAAATAAAAATCACGCTGATAAATGAAATTTTGAAATGCTGCACTATCATTCCTAATATCATCAAGGTACCCTTTTGGCACAATGCATATTCTGGCACTATTGAAATAATCAAGATTCTGAACTGAAATTCAAAAAAAAAAGGTTGTCGAATCAAAAACGTTTGTTCTCATTTGCAATATTATACAAAAACCTTTTAACATTGAACTTTATCCGTCAAAGCGGGTGGGCCGCAAACAGGCTAGGCAATGATGGTGTAATCACCATATACACTCATATCCCTGTACCTCAATTATTTTAATAAATCGATATTACCCTAGAGGCTCCACGAGGGACGTCGAGTCTTCGCAGAATGAGCATATCATGTGTAATTCTAAACTTACAATTTGATACAAAGACTTGGACACAATCCAAGTAACATGATTATTATTATTATAAGACACAGAGCTGGCCCGAGTAGACAGCCCGGAGGAATATAAGTGAGCACACAAAACTTATCAATCAGTTCAACTATAATCAACATGGATCATGATATCATGTTTGCTGCGTACATAGGCCCCTTTCTCTTGATCTTAGCACTACCCAATAAAACTTATAAAACCCAGATTACAAAATCAGTTGGTACAGAAGACAGTTTTACGGACTACAACAACCCCCGGTTCGTACACACCGAGACGATTATCAAAAAGTCTATTTAGTTTAAACTAGCATCAACTTTTGAAGAATTATAAAATATATACCAACAAAATTTTTTTAGGTCTTCAAACTTAAGAACGCTCAACCATAGCACTCTCAACTGATGATAAGCCAAGAGCTTCACATAAATAGAAATTTGCTTTTCTTAAATGCCAGAGCAAATCGATGTTTATCAGAGGATCACATTTGTCCCGTGATAAATATAATTTCCTTGAAATCCTCAACAAAATTTAACAGAAATCGCGGGTAAAATACTGCTCCGACACTAACACTAACAGTATCAGTTCACTAGGTTCTTTGGTTACTCAAATATCCTCGTTAGATCAAAACATTGCTCCAAAATTTATACATCGTCAATCTTGAATAAGTAACAAAACATGTGGATAAACCGGTTTTCCTTTCTCATATTATATAATGCAGTAGTAATTACAGATCAGATTGAATAATATTTTATTTTGAGCTCTCGGCGGTCTATGAGCTCATTAGTTGAAATACTCTCCTGTATTAATAATCAATCTCACGTGTAATAAGTCGGAAACTACATCCTTTCAACCACACTACAAAAAAGCATTTTATAAAATACAAATACATGGTCTCAAATTTTATGACATGCTCAAGCTCAGTATATCATCTCTCCGCCCAGATTCAAAACAATATTTCGTTTTCCAAACGCATATATTCATGCCATCAATCGTTTTAATCGCTATGTACATAAATTAACATAAAAAACACCATCTATCAAGAATAATATGCAAATATGAACGCAGAGCTCTTCTTTTGATTTGTTTGTCACGCCCACTCTGGATTACAGCTGCAAGTAAAATAGATAGCATGCAAATATATACACACACACGCAACTTGACGATGTAAGTCGCACATGATAAGGAGTATTATATTGGACGTAACATTTGTAACACACACCGTGTGCGCAACACATTTCATGTTATGTAATACAGCCGTTCTAGCACACGCCAACTTATTATTGATGTTCATCTTGAACGAGGTAGTGATGTTTTGCGGTAATACAAAATCTGGGTCGTACTCGAATAAGCAATTGTTTGCCTAAAGACTCCTTAAAAGCTCATAACATAGTGTCGGGAGATAATATATTTTCTTCAAGTTTCTGTGGAACTGGTATGCCCATAAACTCCTTCTGACGAGAGTGGCAGAGTTTTAATCAAATCTTCACCGCCTCAGACATAAAATTTAAATAAGCTGCGTTATGCGACATGACGTGTTTCTTGCCGGGGCAAAAATATGATCGAAGAACTCTGCATTATTTACACACGGAATTCTAAACATATCTTATTCATATGAAATTTGTTGGTCCTTTATTTGGGCTAAAGAGAGGCCTGAAGAGGGGGCACAGTGCACATACTGTCTAACTACGATCCTTCTTTTCATCGAACACACAATCCACAACTATGGGAACTAGCGTGATACAAAACATAAACATAATAGCACAAAATCCTCAACCTGGTTTAACCTTGTTGCTGTTTGAGGTGGGGGTGAAGGCGCTGTTTGTGGGGGAGTGCACCCGGGATTGGGGACGGGTCGGGATGGGAGTAGGGATGGGGGTGATAACTGGAGTAGTGTTCATCACCACCATGTTATACAGCCTCTCTTCGCTGATGTCTTCTGGGGCCAGGTTGGCGATGTTGACGGCGTTGACGGCACCGTCCATGTCATCATCCCCGTCGCCCCGGTGTTGCCAGGGGTTGGGCATTAGAAGGTGGAGGGGCGTACTGCGGGGCGTAGTGGAGGTGGAACTGTGTCTCGAACCACTCCCCATCTGACCCAGGATATTGAAAGGCGAACTGTTCCTCAGAGACTTCATTATTTTCTCGTGAATGTTGGGATCGTTCTGGGAAACAGACACACTGCTCAGAGGTTTAAAGGAAGATGAACCGCTGACTAAAAAGTCACCCTTGGACCTGGTGATGTTAGCGATGGAACACTGAGGTTTGGACATGGCAGCACTCTTGGGAGAGCCCTCGCTTTTATTGATGGCAGGCTTAGCAACGTCCTCTCCAAACTCCCTGGTCTCCACAAAGTTAACGAGACCCGAACCAGCGTTTGACTGTTCTCTGTCATTGCCAGAGTAAGATGAACGTTCCGTGTAGTTGGACTGTATATACTTGATTTCAGACTGAAGAGAGCTTGAAGAAGGTTGCTCAGAACTGGCAGTGATGGCGTTAAAGATCTCTGTGCCCAGTCGGTTGCCATTGGATGGTTCTCTGGATTGTAGAGCGTATTGTCCTGGAGCTAAGTTAAAAGCGTTTCCGTAAGGGCTGGGTGTAACGAGCCTAGATCCGATTTGACGAGTAGACTGGGAGGTAGGAGTATCACTGAGTGTGATCAGATCCCCTGACAAGTTTCTCGGACTACTAGGACCGGATGTCACCACATTCCCGTTTATCGGGTATATCATGACAGGTGTGGGGTTCTTGATATTGTTCTTGTTGACATGCAGACCAGAGGGCGATGCTCTCCTACTGGGAGGATTGATACCTCTCACTTCCTCGTCCTCGTGATCTAACCTCACTTTCTTACTGGCCATTCTGAGCTCCTGATCCTGCTCCATGTTATAGTAGCCCTCTGTTTGAGTGTACTGGGAAAACATTATTGGTGCCCTAAAGTTTGTGTCAATGTCCTTCATTTTGAAAACCCCAAACGCGTTGGATCCCTCGTCCTCCTCAGCGTTTTCGTCCTCCAGTTTTCTGCCCCTGTTTTCCAGCAAGTTGGCGAGGTAAAAGTCCAGTTCTCGTATCGTTATGGTAATATGAGCGGGCTGGATACACAAGGAAGGGTGCATGCAACACTTCATCTTGCCCAATCGTTCACCATCAGTTGACTCCAGAGGAAATGCTTTAAACAATACCACCATTACTAGGTCCAGTCTCCAAACCTGAAAAAAGTTTAATTAATAATGATTTATGATCTGTGGAAAATGGAAATTGGAAATCTAATTTTTCTTAGTACGAAGTTTTGAAACTTGTAACAAAATTGGTTTTCTGTGATATTATGATACATTTTTTGTTTATTACAACAAAAGTAAAAGGTGAGCCCCAAATAACGCAATATCCCCTATACATCATTACATTGTAACTGTAAGTTGTAAATTGTAAGAGCATTACATGTGCAATGTGCATGTTAACTGTTTTGCAGCTTCGAAAGATACAAGGAAGCTTTTCTTCTTTACATTATGCATGCTCACCATGCTGACCCACGTTCTACAGAATGCCAAGATCTTGGACTGCACCCGTATCAATAACAAATACAATATTTCTAAACCAGATATGGTATTGGGATAAGGTTTCAATTTGTTACAATGTTACAGCCTCGAACTTTATTACATGTGTATTGTAGCTCGCCAGTGCCAATTTTCGTAAGTTTTGACCCATGACGTGTTTAACTTTTAAATGAGCCGGATCATGACAGGTTTCATGAAATCATGATTATTTATAACATAATGTTTTAATTTCAGTTCAACATGATCTGCTAAAATTATTTTAATTTATTTTAATGAATTTAACTGAATTTAACTGAAATTTACTGAAATCTGGATTTAACTGAAATAAAATCAGAGATCAACCTCTTGAAATATGTCACTAATTTTTTCATCTTTCAGCTTAATTTAGAATGTTTCAGTTACTTCAGATTATCAAATCTTCCGGCAGTCTAAAAGTCTGACATCGAGCAATGATTCCCGTCAGGTTTTACGGCGGATATATATTTTGTACTCCAGAGACCTGAAGCAACAATTTTCATCACGCACGAAATACATGACGTTCAACACCATACCAGCTTTGGACGTATTGATATAAATAGGTCAACCTCTACCCATCGCGATCGTGGACTTGAACAAAGCCCTAGCTACAAATCAAGAACTACTCGACCATGTTTTATTTATAGACAGATTGTTCCACGATGCAATGGACCATTCTATCACATGATAACATATGTTTGACCTGAATTAAAACATCTAGAATTAAGAATTCCATTGACGAGAATTTTTACCGGCGCAGATTGCCAAGTCATTAGGTCATTTTCCTTAATTCTAACTAAGTTCACATAATGTAAGTCCTAACCTTGTTAAACCACTCCCGACCACCTCTAAACTGGTAACTCTTCACACCAGTATTAAATTTCACAACAAGATAAAATATTATCACAAAATATACCAAATAGCATGATCTCATCGAGATTACACAGAGCTTCATGATGAAATTAATAAACTAGGGCTGATTGTTTACCTTGTCAGCTTGTCTCAGACAGTCTATCCGCCTCATCTTCCCTTTCTGATCTGGATTTGATATGATGCATCGCACGTTACTCCGTTTGTTCTTGATAATCGAGTCTACAAATTCGTCCTGGTACTCAGGTTTTATGTCCTTCCGCAATTTGGCCAGAAGTCGTGAGGCCCACTTGTGTTTGATGTCAGGAGGCTCGGCGTTCAGATCCTTCTTACAGCGTTGTTCCTCTCTTAGCGGCATCTTGTGATCATGTGACTTGTAGTATTTCCGCTTCTTGGCCTGGTGAGAAATTTGAATAATATTGGAACATCTCAAATTACACGGCATTGTGGGGAAACTGCCTATAATCAACAGAGATAACACGATTCTTCGTTATCTGCATTACCCAGGCTTAACAATATATGTAACCTACGCGTAATTTGAGATTATTACCAAGCCTCAAGATAACACATACTATCATTTTATCATTTTATGTAACCCTTAATAACATAAAAATGAAGCACGTTATTTATTGTTAGATAATATTGAAGGAGTGAAAAGCTGCGTGACGAGGCCAGAACCTGCTTCTTAAAGCGTCGTAAAACACGAACTGTAATCCTGTACCGCCTTGGCCAACTCGAGGTATTTTCTACCCACTACATATTTATAAACGGATATCATGTCTAATGGCTATGACGTCATTAACGTTATAAGATACTCAACTTCCCTTCCCTACATACATAATGAAAGGGCTTAAAATGTTGAAGCTATATCAGTATATCAGTATATCAGTATATCAGTATATCAGTATATCAGTATATCAGTATATCAGTATATCAGTATCAGTATGTTTAACTCATAATACATTAATCTATATTTTTTAACATAACAAATATTCTACTCAAATTCACCGTACATTTCGTGCCTGACATCTGATACAAATTTAAAAGCATTTAAAATGGTGATAACATGAACAGCCTACGTACTGTAAATAACTATGACTGAACCGCTAAATCGATAGTTAAGTGATTTCCTTAATGTGAACAATTTGCGTGCCATGTGCGAGAATGAAGAACAGTTGAATATTTAACGAGCGCATCTGCATTACTGTAAATAAATTGTGCCGATAAAACACCCTTACTAATCTGTTCATACCTGGAGATGGAACCAAGTGTAAGCATATTGTTTAACGTAGGGTAGCAGCTTCTCAACAAACAGCGTCTGCCTCGCTGAGTCCATCACATTTTTCTTTGTATCGTCTGGAAAGCTAGGTCTGACGTTGGGATACTGAGAGAAGTAGGGACCCCCACTGCTGCCTGACTGTGACGGGTTACTCTGGTGCCCTCCGCTGGAAAACTGGAAGGGTAGTCTGACGAAATCCAGGTTTATATCTTGGGAACTGCCCTGTGAAATAAACGTGTTGGACACAGGGCATAAATATGATTCAAAGCTCGACTATCTAGGGTATCTATACCCTGGAGAGGTCAGAAACTGATGACAGCTATCCCTTAAAGTTACCATGAAAGTTACAGAAAGTGGTGGACGCAGTACGTACCGGATGGTTTTGTCGCTGGACATGTCCGTTGTGTATCCTGAAGGAGTGGGGTTTGGAGGGCGAGGACTGAGGATGGTGAGCCCCTGGACTGTAGTGGACTCCTCCAACATTGGGGGTGTGAGAGGAGGGGGGTCGAGTTGATACCCCACCACACGGACTTTCCAATAGTTCCTGGGGATTTTATAGTGAACTATTTAACCTCGAGATCACAACAAATATTTGATACAAAACTATACGGTTCAGAGTAATTAATTAAAGCGTCAAACATCGTGGTTAAAGACTCCCTCAGAATTGGATCCGACGACGTTCATAATGGTCGTCTTCAGGGGAAATTTGAGGCCCATGGTCATTAATATGGGTATAGATGGTCGACTTTATTCAGTGTATGACAAAAACAATATTTGGTCTATTTCTTGAGAAGAGAAGCTGTATGCTAGTTCATTAGTCACATTTTATACAAATGTGCTCATTTATTGCCGTCATCTCCGGTTATGTTACACTTTTCCGATTTTATTGACTGTAGAACAACATAACACATTAATTAATTCAAAAATTTTCTGATTCTGCTCCGGTCAAAAGCCTATCAACAAGTCACAACGACGTTCAGAAGCCAAAATTACACACAAACGACCATCACGACCATGCTCGTATTCAGGAGAAAGTATGGTCGGATGGTCGCCAATTTCCAAAGCATAATAAAAAGAATTAGTGATTATGCCTTTCATATTTACTAGATGAAGTAACAAATCCTCCAACCTGTTTCAGTTGAAAAGATCCAGGACTATTATAGCTGTTCAGTTCTATGGGTGCAATTCCATTCATCTCTCATCTTGCACATTATGCATCCTAAACTGAAATATCATGATGGAATTTAAGTATATATAATTAATAATAAATTGGAGATAGATCAAGAACAAAGGAGGTGATAAATAAAAGACAAGATGTAGCTGTGTTAACCACAGCTTTACAATTGAGGTAATTTTAGAATTAGAATGAGAATTAAATTTACACAGAAATACAATAAGGAAGAATTTTAAATAATTAAAAGAAGCTTCAATCTGCTGTGGAGGACATTCAAATCAGTTCAAAGACATGAATGTCCGTCTTAGGGCTTAAAATTCAATTAATAAACCGTTTAGATCAATACAGTAATAAGTAAATGTGAGTCATTTGTGAAATAACATAAAACTGTGGGGTTGAAGGTAACCTAATTTTTATTACATTACAAGTTTATTACAAAAATCTTTGCAGATTAGGTCATCTTTTAGGAATTTCTTACATGATTATGAACAAGTTATACAAAAACAACCGTGGTGGCCCATGGGCCCTGAGAAGTTACAAGTTAAATGTAATATCATAATGATGTAAGCTCTTTTGGGTGAAATTGATATGTGCTGCAAAATTTATTCTAGATTTATATTCAATGAATATTAATCACAGTTAGATGGTATTTATTTACAATTGTTGTATGATCTGTCAATTAAAGAGGGATGTCATGACGTCACGTCCTGTATACAGGTATCTCATGACTGCAACATTGCGTGTATTATTACACATAATTGACTAACATGATTAATTGTGTTCAAATTTTATTCATTGATCTGGTTATGAGCTTGAAATTCTCAGACTTAAGGAGTCTGAAAATATTGAAACCAGATTTCCTAAAAATGACCATCTTGCCAACTTGTTTCCCAGACTCTGCCTAAAAGTTTTATGAAATCATTCTGAAATTTGGTAGACTTTAACTAGACAGTATCTAGAAAATTTCGGCCAGTATATAGTTTTTTCCATTCACAATTTTGACAAAATGATAAGTGAAAGGTTACGAATAGTCGTTTTGCAGAAAAAGAGGGATTTTGGAGAACGAGGTAGGTGGGTTTAGATATGTCGTCAGTCCTTCTGTTGGTTACCATGACAGAAAGACACACGCAAGGGTTGCTTGCAGATTTGTGTACTTAAAGTAGTCTGAAGTCAGTGCATGCGCGGCGCATGAGTATTTTAATGTATTATGCAATACGCCCAATTTGTACAGAAAAGACATAACATGTGTTTCCACTTTCCCGTATTTAAAGCATAATATTATAAAGTTTACTGATCTTGTAGTGAATGGAAATCTAGCGTCCGCCACAACGAAAAAACAGGCGCAATTCTTGTTAAAATCAAATGCTGACAATTCAAAATTGTCGTTTTCTTGAAAATAATCTCTGACTTTCTCAGTAAAACAAAATTTCAATTTTATGCCATTTATCAAAAATACAAATTAGAGCAAAACAATTTAATGTTATTGTTCACACCAAACCGCAACCTAATAAAAGTTGAATATGGACACTGGTCTAGATACATCAGAGTTGAGATTGTAATTGTGTTAAACAGAGTAAAACTAGCAGTGTTTAATAGGGTGACAGCCTACTATAAATCCAGGATTGTAATATTTTTAAATGAATATAATAATGTTAATATATAATAACAGGCAGACCTTTGACCGGCAATAATTTCGGCTGGGAACAATAATTTTCCATGGGATCAAAAGAATCTGATAGATATCACTCCCCTCTATCAGAAACAACTATAAAGCCGATTTTGAGAAAATTTCCATGAAGACATCCCCTTCCCCTTTATGGACCTTTGGTTACGGAAAGAATAGAAATTCATGGGATGTCATCTGTGAATAAATTTGCAAACAAGCCCCTCCACAGGAATGTGCTGACCAAAGTCCCAGCCACCAGAGCAACCTTTTTCCACTAAAAATTTTGTTTTCACTAAAAAATTTGTTTCACCTTTTCCAGAATCCAGGTGCTCACACACCTAAAACCCCAAAAGCAGACTCAGATCACGAGGCCCTCAAAGTGATTTGACAATCACACAATGAGACACTTTCCTTCTGTTTCCTTCTGCAAATCTACAGGTGCTTGAATAATTTTAGCCCCATTCTCTCCAAAACATGTTCAACAGTTCCGCAATGGCCACAACATCTACAATGCACTGCCTCGAACAACCTATGTTGTCTAACATTCACTCAGAGAATGGCAACAAAATTTAAGACAAAACATCAACTCCTGTACCCCTTGGTACAAATGGCTGCCAATTACCCGAGGCAGACATGAACATGCAAACACATTATTCAAAATTTGCCGATAGATATAGTCACCACGACCAGGTTTTATTTTGAAATGGAAATGGAGGTGGTCCGGTAGTAGAGATGCAGTGTAAGTGGCGCTATCTCACGATAAAGAAAGTCAAGAACTTTTGATTGAAATAAATTTTCGTGCACATACAGAATGAATGGTTAATAATTTAATATATATGTAGACCAAGGTCTTTGCACGGGATGCTTCCTGGAAGAATCCAGTTCTTTTAGCGGGGCACCCTACCTAAAGCCAAATTGAGATATAATAATCATATTCCTAGAGAAATAATCAGAAATCGAATACCAATCAAATAATATGATATATAGGAGTAGTAACCATATTTACTATGCAAAATGCCCCAACCACATAGTGTAAATTTATATAGAATTCAAATTCCATATCATCATTAAACCTCAATAGTCAATATAATAGCCCAAGCAAAATTAAATAACTTCTTATATACCTTACTGTCATACTACAAATTAATTAAACATTTGAAATCTGTTAACCAGAGAATAAATTTCTAAACCTAATGCAAGTGAAATAATTTAGATGCAATAATGAATGCCTAATGTGAGTATCATCTGTCAATGTCCTTGTAAAAAAGTCTGTAAAAGAGATACGAGAACTGGAATACATTGCACTGTTTGAGTATGGGCCATGTGAAGAGAAATGGGGTACTATGCAAAACAAAGTTCTAAAAGCACAGATTGTTTCATGACGAGATAATAAAAATGGACTTATACTAAACCAGATAATATTCTGATCTGCTGAGAGAGTAGTGAAACTATATGAAAAGATGTGTAGGTATTTTCCCACCAACATCAATACTTTATCAAACACAAATTCATTAAATCATAAATATTCCGAAATACATAATTATAATTGTAAACCCCTATTCACACTTTTCAGGGGGATGAAGATTTGCCACATTAATACAATAAGTTTCCTCTTTTAAATTTTTCCTTACACATCATTCGAACTATTCCAAAAATAAAAATCATTTACCTTTTCACTTTTACAATATGCAATATTATATCGTTTACCAGGCTCGTCTATCCTTACTATGCGCGGCGCTTTTTTCAAACTGCTTGTGAAGGGAACCGCGAGTTGCTCTATCCATGATCCAGAACCCTTATGCTTGCAGTAGTGCACGCCCACTGTTGTGAAACAAGCGCGTCTGCAGGGGCACAAAAGCACATGGTTACATGAATAAACCGAGCGGGATATTAGCCAGCTAGGTAATATAATAATAATAATAATAAGTCCTTTTGATTTAAATTCAAAACTTGGAGCTAGTGTCGCATATTAACGTTTTTGATTTCCAGTTGCTCTAACCAGAGTCCTTTCGCTTGCATGCACAGTAGCGCGCGACCGCCAAAGTAAAGGCGGTCTACTTGTGAAACAAGCGCGTCACGCAGTACGCTTATACACATGGCTATGTGAACACTTCCGGGTTAGTCTGTTTCAATAAATAACTCAAAAAAAACAATTTTTAATTTTGGGTGTTTTTTACATTTTCTTTTAAATAACAAAAAACTTATTCTTACTGTTTCATCGTTTCGTATTTTTGTTCCTTTTTAAGTTAATTGACGATGTCAGTTAGATCGGCATTTCGCCGATCTAACGAGAAGTGGTTGCGAGAAGCGTAATTGAGTGCGCGGCGCGGCTCAGTTACGCATCACGCTATAATTTTGTAAGGTAATTATGTAAATATTTTATTAAATGGCATTCATCCTATCATTACGACATATTTTCATTTTGCGCGGTGTCTGTTTACAAATCATAAGCCTTCAGGTGTTCATTTTTCGATTTTTGATCTTAGACCACATGAAATGACAAAACACTAACAAATACAAAATAATTTTTTATTTGATAAAATCCAAAAAAGTGTTTAAATTTTGTTATTTTTGCGCTTATATTTTTTGGCACTTCAATGTAATTTTTGATACATTTTTCCTTAATACTATGATAAAGAATAATTCAAATGGTTTCAATGTAAATACGATCAAAAGTATTTTTAAATGAAAATTTAAGGCGCGCCGCGCATATTTTCGCAAATTTATGCCGTAGTATGAAAATCGAGCGCTAAAGAAGACAATGTTGTTTCATATTGGAAGACCAATTACAGCATCAACAATATGTAATTTTTGTGTTGTCGCCTATTCTACACTGATTTCTTACCATGTTTACATAATCCTCACTGTACTGTTGAAGAAAGGGGGCTCAACTAATTTATACAAATAAAAACAAACCAACCATTTCAAAATTTTTTTCAACAAATCAAAAATTATTCAAACAATATACACATAATAATAATAATAATAATTTATACACTCTGTAGCCAGTCCCTGTGTTCCGTCCCTTGCCCTGCAAGCCCTGTTTCTTGGTTATACAGCATTTATTTATCGTGTATTACATTGTAGTATGTAATAAACATTTGTAGTAGTGTAGGATTGTTTGAATTTCTTTTTGCTAGGTTTTATAATATTTATTTGTATAATTTGTGATTGTTTCTCCCGGTTTTCTTCCCTTGCGTAGCAAGCCCTGTCTCTTGTAAAAACAACCTCGAAAGATTTGTAGATACACATAGTCTCTACACCTTTACCCTCTGGTCCCTAGGGTCAGCTGATCCCGGGCCAGAGGAAAACTACCGACTGCCAAGGTTTGACGCCTAGGCAGTCGAGACCTCTTATTGAGACCCTTTATAATAATAATAAATAAATTAATGTTATTTTGATACAGCACCAAAAGGTTAAATAATTTAAATTTAACCCTTATGCTCAGCTGTAAATGATACCTAAATGACAGTAGAGATCGTGCATCTCGCCTTGGACTGGAATTAAAAACGGAAGTTTATAGCTGCAAGTTAAATCCTGACTAAATAAGGCAGAAACACCTTTAACAAGAAGATATCCAAGAAAGGTTAGCAGGTTTTCTAACAAAACATATGAAAAATAGATGATGACCACAAGAAATCTATGTATGAGACTCCAAATATATATAACTCCAAATATACAAACAATCTGAATACTTCAATATACAATACAAAATTATTAAAAAAGCTTACTGCAGAACAGTAACTGATGTTACAGAAAATCCAATACAGTCATGTCAAAATATCTGGGCAACATACAAGTCTAGAGACGGTGAAATAAACAGAGTGGTAGAAGATGCTAAAATACTTGAGACAAAGTACAAAGAATAAGGCAGCTTTCTCCTGGGTGCCAACCCAAAAAATGTTGGTGTCCCGGGATAGAGCCTCCTTTTCTGACCTACACTACAATTTTGTTGGCAGACACAGTGAAACACGGAAAAGAATAATATCTCGAATGTTGCCCGAAAATCCTGAAAAATTAGTAGCCTAAAATAATTTAATTTAAAGCGTAAAATTGACCTGCTATAGGATGAAGATTTTAAAAATCTTCTGATAATGTATTATTTACTCAGTACATATCAAAGGACTTTCTAAACAGATGAGCTTTTAGTTTTCCCTTAAAGTCATTGATGTTTACACATTTCCTGATTTCTTGAGGAAGGTTGTTCCATAATCTTGGAGCAGATGAAGAGAAGGCTCTTGGTGGACTGTTTATAGGGCAATGAAGAGACACATCTCTGCCACCACTGGGATTGTACTTGACAAGGTTTGACAGGTATGAAGGTGCTAGTCCATGGAGCAGTTTGAAAGTTAGCAGGAGTATTTTAAATTCAATACGTTCTTGTACCTTGAGCCAATGAAGTTCTTTTATGTAGGGCTCAACTTCTTCTCTCCTCTTTAGACCTTTAACTAAGCGACATGCTCTGTTTTGCAGAGATTGTAGCTGTTTCAAAACAGAATGATTAGTACCATAGTAAAGTGCATTGCAGTAGTCAAGGGAACTAATAACAAGAGATTGTACGATGATTTGCATTTGATCTTCAGAGAGGAATGGTTTCATCTTTGCAATATTCCGCATCTTGTGGCAGTTTGCAGCTTTAAGCTTCTTTATCTGAGGATTTAGAGTCAGAGAGGAATCCAATGTAAAGCCAAGGTTTTTGGTAACGTTAACAAGTCTTATACAGACAGAAGATTTTAGGAAGACACCACCAATTTCTAATTCTGACAATAAACGTTTTGAACCAAAAACTATAATTTCAGTTTTAGTTGGATTCAGAAGAAGGAAGTGATTCGTCATCAAGGTCTCGATTTCTCTAAAACAGGAGGGCAGGTCTTCGCTGAGGACTTGATATTCTGTAGCGGATGAAAATGACTTGTAGATCTGGTGATCATCAGCATAGCCATGGATCAGAAATTGCTTTGATTTTACAGAAGAGTAAATTGAGCGGATGTAGATATTGAACAACACAGGGCCAAGGACAGAGCCCTGTGGGACACCAAACTTTATTACAATTTCTTCAGATTCTAGGTCACCTATCTTGACTTTTTGACAACGACCACGGATGAAGCTGGTGAACCATTTCAAGGCTGTTCCCGCAATCCCAATCTCACACTTCAATATATTGATCAGTTTGATATGGTCAACTGTGTCGAATGCAGCACTCAGGTCTAAAAGCATTACAACTGTTGCTGTGTTTTCATTAGTGGCTATGAGGAGGTCATTGACTATGGTAATGAGGAGTGTTTCTGTGCTGTGATGCTTTTTGTAACCAGACTGGTGGTCGATGTTGAGATTATTCTTGGCTAGATGTTCATTGAGGCATTTTAATACAAAGCGCTCAATGAGTTTACCGATGAATGTAAGATTAGAGATGGGTCTATAATTCTTTAAGTTCTCAGTGTCTAGGGAATCTCCTTTGATCAGGGGAGTGAGATGTGCTAACTTGATTCCCTCCATACTTCCGGTTGAAAGAGAAACGTTGATAATATCACAAAGGGTAGGGAGGATTAGCTCAAGGTGCTCTGACAAGAGTTCTTTAGGTAGTGGATCAATCGATGAGGTTTTGATGCCAGATTCTTTGATCAATTCTCTTACTTCAAAAATAGTAGCTTTTCTAAATTCAGATAATGCCTGGCCATTGAAGTTTGGAGAACTATTAGTCACAGTAGTGTTGGGAAATGATGTTCGGATTTTCTCAATTTTTTCAGTAAAATACTGGTTAAAGGCATTTACAGTTTCCTGAAGATTTTCTGAAGATGGTAAAGTGAGGTTCTTTTCTTTATCCAGGAAAGTGTCTACAAATTTGTAAAGGCTCTTTTGTGAGTGTTTGTATTTTTGGAAAGTATTAGAGAAAAACAGTTTTTTCTTTTTGAGAGTCAGCTCTGAACAGTGCTCTCGCAAATGAACAAAGATATCATGATCAATGTCAAGACTTGACTTTTTCCAGGCCTTCTCAGCCTTTCTTCTGTCGGCTCTTGCAACTTTGTATTCGCCATCAAACCAGGGAGCAGTGGGAATGTCTTTGATGGTTTTGGAATATTCTGGAGCATGTACATTTAGTATATGTTGACACCCATTGTTAAATTGAGTCACAACATCAGAGAAGCTCTTTTCTTCAAAAACCAACTCATAATGTCACATTGACCCTATATATAAACAACCCTTCAAAAACTCAATATATCCCCTATCTCAAATATTGGGAGACACATTTGAAAATCACCCTTGACCTTGTGGCTCCAAGTTCAAATCTAGACTATCTACATTAACAAAATTATTTTTCGCACCTCTGTCTCCCCGGAGAAAAATCACTGTTGTTCTTAGGATTTCGAAACGAAGGTGCTTATATGTCTCACAGCATCTGAATATCTTTGACCTGTGTGATATTCCATCTACTACCCAGCTTCTTCACCAGTCTTTCAGCTTCACCACCCATTCCATGCCACCAGAAGTTGAGAAAACTAACGGCGTGAAGCTTCCTTTCTCCACTTCAAATTCCCATTGTTATTATTATATTTTATCCTGCAGTAGATGAGCTACATGTAGCATCGTTCTTTATCGATTTCACTAGTCTTAATCTTTGTTGTTTAATAGGAAAACAGAATTTAAATTTTATTGCCATAACAGTGAATAATAATATCATAATAAATATAAGTAAACATCCGATAATAAACTTGTAAGAACCAGTATAGCCCAAGATTCTCTACTAACAAATAAAAAGAACTTGCAGGTTTATGGTCCTTTGAACGTGCATACATATGACATACAACATAGGCCATACCGATCTAGCTATAATTTTATGCATATTAAAAACTCTACATCATCTTTAAATAAAAAAACAAATTTCATTAATTAAATAATATCAACATGACAGTCAATATAACCGAATACTGAAATAATTTTAATGGATCCTCTTAGTATCTACTTGTATCTACTCTTGTCACGTCTATCAGAAATAGAGTGTTACAGTGCAGACGTCTGTAGTAACCTGTATCTCTGCTGCAATATTGTCTTCTTCAAACCCGAAAGTTAATTAGTCCCTCCTCACAGTAGAATCGGCAGCAGCAACTATATATATAGCTGTAGGCCGTGAAACATCAGAACTTTTCTCCAGATCATTCATTAATAAATGGGTTCTTTTGCGCCGGCAATATTAATGTGATACTCGTGATTGGTGTGCACCTGACTTAATCAATATACCAGAGTTGCTGTAAACTAATTGAGTGATAAAGTTGTTATTTTATTCCTTTTAATTAAGACCTGACTTTAATTTTAACTTCCCTTGTTTATTTTAAACTCTGCTCCAAGGAGCAGAGAAATTTTAAAAGGAAAGCCGCTCAGTCAGACATGGGCACGATATTGTGTATATTATTTGGTTATATTTTATACAATATCTTTGTCGCATATGCATAGTAGGGGGGTAGTAAATACTGGGTTTCGTTTCATTTCATTTCATTTCGTTTTGTTTCGAATTCATTGATTATTTCATTTCTTTAGCATTCCTACCCAAATGTTTAAATAAATATCTTTTACCTATTAACATGCTTTTTCTCTACCTTTAGGTGAAGATGGCTATTGACTCATACATTCAGATGAAACTCTACACGTTGACAAAACGGCAGTTCTTGTTCCTATTTTTGTCCTTCTTTGTATTCTTCATTGTCTCAATTTTCGTTGGTGAGTGTATTGTCACTATTGATTGAGGCACCATTTTCAATGTCAAAATGTCGCTTATTATAACCATTGATACAAAGGCCATAATCTTTCGCCAGCTCTCCAATATCCACCTTGAAGCTGCATTTTGTATCCTCGAACTGCACAATATAAACTTAAGCATATTATAGTGTAGACTTTTTGTCAGAACAAGACTGCAACCAAAATCAAACTAGCAGTCAAGGACAAAAAGTCATAAGTTATGAATTGTTTCACATCTTTTTATTCTGTAAAATGTGCACAAAATTAAAAAATTCTTGTTTCACTGTTAAATTTGCTTATTCATTTCCTTGTTTAATTCCACATAGATTATATAACTTTCTCAATTTCAGGTTGGCTTGGGCCGTCTGTAATAAACGTAATATCAGTGGACAAAGGTATTGAAACAACAGATAACAAGATAAGCATGCTCAGCCCAGATGTAACCCCATCTGAACAACAATTGTGGTTGCAGATAGAAACTATCTTTAATGGCGATCGCGTCAAAGGTCCAACGTTTGAGGTACCAGTTTATAATTTATTCAAGATATTAGCACGATTTTCTTGTTAAAGATACCCATAGTAACCCTCGATTTACTGGACCTCTTGGAGGGACAGCAAACTGATACAACCGTTGGTAGATAGAGATTTACATTTAAAGTAAGTTAAAGTGATCTAACAGTAACCTAGTAACGAGAAGTCTACCAAGATTTTGATGTTTACTTATTAATCTTCAGAAAATCAGCTATCTTACTGTTCCAATGAAAGTCAAAGTATTTTCTTATGAAAATGGTACAAAGGGGTTTCTGAACGACGGTGCTGAAGCACACAACAGAACATTGAAGTGTTTCGAAACAAAGTGTTCTCCTGTAACGGTTTTACACATAGGAAATATCAAGTTTCCTCAGTATTATGTCGAGGTGAGATTTACTGAAATTATGCCATTCTTCTAACACTTTTTACATAATTATTCCTGCTTGTATCATACAATCTAACTAGTAAGGAATATTTTTTCCTTTAACTTTGTAAAAATAGTTTAATCAGGATCATGTACAGTTAAGTAGTTTTGTTTAAATAACTGCAGATCCTAAATTTCAGATAGAGATGTCACAAGCACTAGTGAATGGGTCATCTTTCAAACCAGTTTGGACGACTTATAATTCACACTTTACTGAGTTTGAGCTTTGGTTCCGGTTCATTTTCCTTCTCCTAGCTTTTGGCTCTTCTGTTGCTCTCTGCCAAAGTCTGAGGAAATACTCAGTCGAGGTTTCGTAAACTAAATGCTCTTTTTTGTTCTTTCCTTTCGTTAAAAACACCTCTAAAAATCCAGAACACATACCCCAAAGATACCCACAGCGTTTACATGATCTACACGTTTTGCAGGAATGGAGCATTGAACAGAAATGGATAATGGTGTTACTGACAGCACTTCTACTTTACAACAACCCCCTTTTCCCCCTCATTCTCCTCGTCCACTCCCCTCTTGTTAACGTTATTGATGACTGCTTTACCGTCACCTTCTTTTGTACTCTCCTAATGTTTTGGCTCTGTGTATATCACGGAATCAGAAAAACAGAGAGGCATTTCTTCTCATTTTATCTCGTCAAGATGGTGTTGGTTGGGTTGATGTGGGTGATTGGCTGTGTTATATTGAGTTGGAGTGCTTTGTATGAGTCGATTGATCCAACCTACTCTTTGGCTCAGGTTTCTTTTAATAAATTTTGTGTACATTCAAGCCTTTTTTCATTGATGTATGACTACATTTAGTGCCTCATTATCCAATATTGAGTCATTTATACAACTTGACTCGCTTTTGTGCAGATTATTATAATATTACGTTGGTAACTCCAACTAACCCGCAGGATCAGGTTGGATTTCTCAGTATAAAGATACTATTTTTTGTGTTGCTTGGAATCTACACCCTATACCTTCTCTACCTCCTAGTCAGAGCATATTCAGAGTTACATAGCATGCCTTACTTTGACATCAGGCTGAGATTCCTCACCGCTCTTACTATCATCATTCTTCTCATCAGGTAGAGCCCGGGATGGGGAGGGGGGGAGGGAGGGAGGGGGGGGGCTAGCCCGGTTCAAGATGAACATGGTTATTTGGATCTGACCCTTGCAAATAGTTTGTTATCAAGGCAAAATTAATTATTCTAGTACTTATTTTGTGGGAGAGCCGCTCGACATAACATGGGCTATTTATATTTCTATTGTCGATATGGTATAAGTATATCGATATGCGGGTTTAAAATACCATGTTTCATTTCATTCTATAGTTTAGGAAAATTACCATTCCGTTAACCTTAGCCTGCTGGCGGTTATCCTCCGGTTTGGTAACGCCTTCCTGGAGGATGTCCTCGTTATGCAGATTACTCTACGTTGGAATAACAGTGCCGAGTTTCTGAGCTTCTACTCCCTCTTTAACTCCTACTTGTTTACACTCGCTTTTGTCTACTCACCCAGCAATACTGCCGTGTAAGTTTTATCTTTTTAACAAAAAAGTGAAAGGAGTTTCTTTGTGTTATCGCGGTTTTTTAAACAATATAAACGTTGTTATATAAATTTTAAAAACAATTTATAGGGACACACAATGAAAAAAAGTACCTCAGGATTAATTCTTCTCAGAATACAAAATACATAGCTGGTTCTGCCTAATATAGAGACTGCAATATAATATAGAGACTGCAAAATCTTTTAGAATTTGTAATTGAATAATCAGTGTAAACTTTAAATTCTGAAGAAATCAATCACCTATAGAGTAATAGTTCTATAGAAAAACTAATAAACACAGACAAACAAATAAACACACAAAGTATGCATACTTTGTGCAAAGTATTTATGGTCCGCAAAATGATGGAATTCTTTAGAACAAAAAGTACAATGAGCTATGTAAATAACGTTGTTCGAATAACATTTCAGTGGAAAGTATAAAAAAACAGGCATCCCATTAATTAATAATAGGGAGGAAAGGAATGGGCAAGTTTTTAATTTAGCCTTATTTCGAGTTCTCAATCCAGCTGGTATTGCCATTAAATCACTTTCTCTGAGTGCTCCTATTCTCACTATAAAGTTTAACATTTTTAATTTTATAGCTACATTCTGATAGAAAAGTTACTGAATGCCCTCCCGACAAAACTATTGAATTTCTTTTTCTTCTAAAATATTTTTTTCGAGAAAACCACTTTGTTCCAAGCCTCTTATACTGTGTGGAGTGTGCTGTTCTATAATGTATGTTAACAATTATTTAGGTTCATTTTTGTTTTGAATAAAATAAAATAGTTATATCTGACAGCGGCAATGACGTTACGGACAACAATTCCTAAAAAACGTAGATTTTGACAATACACGACTTTTTAATGTCTGTTATCTCCGAATGGAAGGGACAGTGGACACCTTTAATACCCGAACAATTAAAATATGATAATGCATCCTAACTGCTGCTGATATTAGTGCTAATTTTACTTTACTTGCAGGAGTTTCAAAGATCAAACCTCGGCCTCATTTGCAATGTTGTCTGACTCGGAGGACGAGCTACTTTACCGAGGGAAGAAGTTTGTTAATGGTAGCAGTACTAACTACGACGAGGGAGAGGAGTCCATGTGAGGAGGAGGTCTTTTAGAATATTGATTTGTTTGTATCTGTTTGGACTAGTGTTCAGTAAATGGATCAGTTTGGACCGGTCTACAACAAGGTGGATCAGATTGAACCAGACTGCAGTAAAATGGATCGGTTTGGTTTGCAATATTAACATATTTTATCAGTTTGGATCAGCAGTGACGATGGTTATTATTAAACATTACTGGAAATGTATGCCCGCTGGACGGAGGATTGATTGATAAGTTTATTAGCTATGTTATATAATAGACTGTTTTGGGTGAAGATTTAAGTATTATAACGTTTTTGAAAATTGCACTGTATGTAGGTCACGTTAATTAAACACAGTTAAATATAATAATCTTAAACGATAGATTTGTGCAATTTGAATATTATTTGGTATGTTAAGCTTATCGGTTGTAGAGAAAATTAATGTGTTTAAATCAGATTTGTAAATTCTAACTGCTCGAACTGTTTACTGATGAGGGAAAGTTTTACGAAATTTAAGATCGTGTTTATTATTTAACTCCTTTTTTTTCTTTTGACTTAAATGATAAAGACTTGCATAAACTGAGTTTTGATGACAACTATTTCAATAAATTAATAAATAAACTTCGATATTAAATTAATGGCAATATATTTCTCTTGAATTTGCATGTTTCTGTTTTCTCCTTACAATCTAAAATTATTTAAATTCCAATTATCCGGTAACAAAAATTTCAATTATTTTCAATTTTACCTTAGATTCTCTGAAATGTGATGTGATTTTATCTGGTATTTGATTAAATTATTTGCATGTCTTTTTTGGATTGAATTATTCGCATGTTTTTTTGCTGTTCAAATTTATTATATTTGATGGTTTCGCTGAAATTTTGATAATTAAATTTTAATTATATAAGATGTTATAATAATGTTATTTTTAATATTTTTTGCAACCTCCTCTCAGCTGGTTATTGAGATATCGTTAAACAAATGCAACCATTCATCCTCAATAACAAAGACTTCTTTCACAACTGACTTTTAAAATAATAGAATAAAATCACAATTTGATTTCATTTGTTGAAAACTATTTTAATATACATATAACTTAGTAAACTGACCATAAATCATCTCATCTTTAAAGGATGACGGCGAATAAGGAACTGCTAATACCAATTGATATTAAAGATGTAAAACTCGTCGACTGGCTCGTGGACAGGTCAATCGTCAACAGGCTATGGAACGAAGAGTGCAGCGAACTTCGTGATCTTTTAAAACAGGTTTACCACTTACCCCTTTAAAATGATCACCTCAACTGCAAGTAGCAGACAAAAATAGTATTTCTGTAGAAATCTTGTCATAGATTTAGTCTCATATTGTCGGGCATCATCCTTTCACATAAGAAATGTTATTAGCAACCTCCAACTACGCAATTTTTACATTTTAATCTCTTTTTCCGCTCTCCTTAAACCACTCTCACGTGACATGACGTCACAGTCTTGTTGAAATAACAGTAGGATAAGACGGTTGTAGATTAACCCTACTATCACCCCTACAATACCTACACCTAGTTATATTCTGTATCTTGTTCTTAACAAATGTTCGTAATGAGCTCCCTCTCAATATCAGTATGATGGGGTTTAGAAGTGAGTTCACGTAGGGCAGCATGTTCTTCAGGGAATATTCCAGATATTCGCCTCCCGTGTAGATGCCAGATACCCGTTTTGCAAATACTACTGTTACGTAAAGTACGTTGCAGATAGTGAAAACAGTGGTCAGCAGAAGGATTGTGATGGTAATGTCTTTCTTGAATTGCTGGTTGTTGCCATTTTGAACCCCTTTAGTAGCGAGATGCCATATTTGGATGCACATGCACATAATACAAACTAATGTCGGTAAAACAAAGGGAATTCCTGTGTACAAGAGGAATGAATAAATACCGTCAGATTCGTTAAATAACTGAATTCCCATTTCCTCGAATATCTTCTCAGTGAAGTAATGGCCTGGTGTTGGAACTGTAAGATAAAAGTTGAACATGAAGAGGAATGTCAGAGGGCTCTTGTCCAGTTGGGTCTTGTAATAAATCATGTCTCCAGAAAGGAATACCAGCCACCACACTACACAAAACATCAGCGCAAAAACAACAAGTTTCTTGTTGGTTTTGTAAGTAGGTAGGGTGATGTTCAGGGTCCTGACAACAGCTATCATGGTACTGAGGAACACTGACACTCGAGCAGTCAGAGATGTTAGAAAGTACAGGATTGGTAGCAGTATCTTCAAACCAGCATCTTCTTCTGTTCCCATTCCCTGATTCTCCGGACCCCATCCAGCTCTTACTGATCGGGGTGGTCTCCGACCATCACCAGATGTTTCATCGTCAGGTATCTTCAGGACCAAGATAAGTAGCACCGCGTGAAGAAGGGGGATCACACCACATGCCATGTCCATTGAAGAGAGCATGAAGTACAGGAAGTGAGCCACGTTTTTTTGTTTGTTCTTGTAAAAGTTACAGACCAGAGCGTTGCACAGAGTTCCTGATATGCCGATCAGTATGTTGACGGCTATAAGTAGCTGTAGGATGGTTGTGTCTTTTAGTAGGAAAATACTGTTGTACATGAACATCTTTCGCATGAACTATATATCTGAAGTAACGGGTCAGTAATGGAGGGAATAGTAAGCAGGAATTACAACTTTAAGGAATAAAACTGTCTATCACAAACGGTGTAATCTGTGAAGCTAATGATTGGAAAGCCTCACGAAACTCCCATGATGTACAGAAGATTTCGTGTCGTTAGCCGATTATATAGGCAGAATTTAACATTAAGTCAAAACGAAGAGACGAACACGATATTACATCACATTGAAACGACCTAGAAAAGTAACATATGCGCATCTCTAAAGAAGGCGCACGGGGCCACTTTACTAGAACTATCTGCCATTATACTATCCACCGTCCTCTTGATTGCACCATATGTACAACATAACTACTAAATCAGCCGTGCTAACTCCTAGTTTTAAGTATCACATACACAGTATAAACGGAATGACGTCACGTAAAGATTACAGGTCGGGGAAGTAAAGCAAATCAGTCATATATCAAAGCCTCTAAGATGATGATACCCTTGAAAACGTAACAGGAGTATGACGTGTTAAATTTTTAACTTACAGTTTTACCAGACTCACGAAATGAAACACCTGTCCAACAGAGTTGTGATGTTCCAGTCTCAGTCATCTTACAAATTTAAAATATAACATATTCACAACTGTCTAGTTTTTCATCCATTTAACAAAACTCCCAGCCACTAATGCTCCAACACCACTCGTTAGCCTAAGTAACGAGAAACGTGTTAAGAACTACAAAACAAAGCTGCTAAGACTGGAACTAAACCTGAATGAGTCCCCTGGTGTCCGTTCTCAGAGCCACATTCACCGGTGTCCTGACGGCCCCTGATGTGTTTATCAACGGTGTGGTGTGACAAAGGTGATCACCAGGTGGCACGTACCGTCCCTCTTCTCACGTTAGGTGTACATGCAGGAGCCACGAACTGTCTCTTCGCACAAAACACGTGTTCTTTGCCCCAAAATGCGTGTTCTTTGCCCCAAAACTCATGTTTCGTGTTTATAAAACACGTGCCTGAGTTTACTGATAAGCGCAGGGTTGTGTGATGAATTTGAGGAGTGTGACCATATTTCTCTAATTCTATAATTATGTGCGACTTATTGTAGCGGAGAAATTTGTTCAAAGAGGAGCCGTTGTTAGCGGATGTTAGTCAATGTGTGACGGTTATTGTGGAGTTTTGGTGGTGATATTGCCGATGAGGAAGATGAGACCTTAATGCTGTAATGCAGTGCAATTTACGATATTATGTGCAAGATGTTTTGTTAAATAAGTTTGAAAACTTAATCTGAGTCTGATACGACATACTGCAGGTGGGAGAAGAAGAATGCCCGCTGATAGATATAGCTGGAGAGATAGTATCTCCCATACACTATCACAACGCTGTCAAGATACTCCAGGCATTAGAAGATTCGCCTTTCGGTCAGTATTAGTAAATGAGTAAATGGTGCTTAAATTCAATTAGGTGCAGCCACTATCATGTCAGTCATAACAAATGATAGACTCATTTTATCAATTCGCCGACCTCTTATAATGATCTTATCTTATCAATCTATTTGGTTATTAATACTACTGAATATGTCTGCCAGGTACAAAGAACCTGATCGGTCAATACAACCACGAGTACACGGCTAAGTGGGCTAGGATAGTAAAACTATTCGAGAAAGACAGCACCTTCCTGGCTGACAGTGCTAAATACATCATACAGAATGTTAAGTACGACATTCCTCTCTTCAAAAAACAAATAGCCAGGTGAGAAATGACGGAAAGCTAAAGAGCTGAAAGTTTAGGTTCAAAAAGTACTTAATCGGCGATTTTAGTATCAGAGCATGAGCAGTTGGTGCGCTTTGTCATAAATCGTTTATATAATGGCATTGAGTTTAGTAGCTTGAACTATAAAATTACTTCTGTAGAATAGCAGCTGTTTCAACTGTATAGATTTCAAACTAAAGGGGATGAAATCTAGACTATAGAGACAAGTAAGGTGGACGAATGAAGTGGATAAAAAGTTTAAATTTCCGTCACCTCGAGCATGACGCAAGTGGCAATAAATATTGACCACCTGCGCCACCCCGAAATATTCTAAATATTAGTTTTACCTTCCACTTCAATCATTTCTGATGATTGAGTCTTAAAGTTAACGTTGTGAAACTAATTTGATGTAAAATAAATTATCGAATATTCGACGCTCCTCGAGCCCTCTGAACCCACAAACATTGAGCACATTATTAGCACAAACCTCCTTTTTTGGAATCAACGAATTTGTTCTCGAAAGAACTTTGATAAAGAAAATAAGTTTAGGAAAATAGCTAATATAAGTGCAATAGATGTTGGGACCATATTTATAGACATTAGACACATATTACCACATTAATTCATTTTTGCGTATTATAAACAATCCTGTTTTAAAGCAATTTTTATGATTCCTTGCAATTATATGGCATACAAACGATCCTTACGATTAATTATAATATACTTACTGATTACTCTCAAATAATTCACCAGAGCGACGCAGATAAAACAAGACAGCATCAAAAAGCAGGGCGACTGTTCCAACAACATCAACAAATACCAGATAAAGTACCGTGAGAAGTGTTGTGATATTGGTATAGTTGGGGATCACGTCAGGTCGGAGTTGAAGAACCTGGTCGGGGACATCCCGGCTAAAATTAGTGATATCGCTGGTGATATTGGGACTTTACAGCAAGCCCTTTCTTATTATCAGGTGAGTGTTAATATTATGGTTATAATGGAAACTCTCTATTTGTCATAATATTATGACTTATAATACTCACTAATATAATGTGGATTTGTGGCTATACTAATTGTTATTTTATTCGTCCGAGGTATTACATCCCACTATTCACTAACCGGCATTCTGCTAAACAATGCAGGCTGTACTAACAATGTTACTGTCAGGTATTTGCCCGGTTTCTGATAAATGACCCTGATCTGGAAGTCTGTCCTCTGCTCTTCTTTATTTCTCAACACGGCAATGGCACAGTCAGTCAGTATGAAACTGGTACTCTTCCCACCCCAGGTAGTGTAACTTCTTTTGATTAGTACAGTAAAACTCCGATTTCCCGCTTGACCCCAGATTTACCCAAACTGGCAAACTCCGCTCCATCTGTAGGAAATAAAATCTAGGGATTACTTTAAATAGTTTACTCCTTGACCTTAAGAACTCATCATTCCGGCAAATAATAACATGGCTAATAAACAAACCAGAACAGCTGCTATATTTTCGTTTTACTTTCATTTATGTTGTTTTCTCTATCTACGCTCAAGCCAGTTTAACTTATCACTTTTAATGAGCAATCGCTTTTAATGAGAACTGACTAATGAGATATCGCCTTTACAACGCCCTGCACCAGCACAGGGTGTATACTGTATATAGAACGCAGAGTTCTAAGCGTTACAATCTGACACCTGCTGTCACCGTTATAAGTAGTTAGTCTTAGCCCTCTTACACAAGTACGTGCTTTATGAGACTGATAATACAGCTCATGGTATCGTTTGTTTAAACTGATATTTCTTGTTAATATTGAACTTGGTTTTTATCTCAGAGAGTGATAGTGATAGTAGTGTTGAGATTATTGAGCCGATTGAAACTCACGATAATAATGGATGTGTTATTGTTTCTAGCGAGATGGAGTAAGTATACTTTTAATGTACAATAATTTGATTCCAAAATATTGTCCGACTTGATTAGTACATAAATTAATGTTCTTTTAGTTGTTGTCCTCGTCCAATATCCGTATTTGACTGTATTCATTCTATATAATTCTTTACAGCAACGATAAAGATAGTCCAATTAGCATGGACATTTCGAATGATATTATAACTCAAGATCCGGCGCCAGAAGTAGAGTCTGACATTGATTTCGGTATTGATACGATCGATTTTGGTGCTGATATCGACTTTGGAGACGACATCATTGATTGTGGTCAGTTAATTAGCGTGTTTTCGTTTCTTCAAGTTCATATTTAATTAAAATCTTAACAAACTGTTCAATGTCAAACACAAGAAAATATTTTGTTCATGACCTTTAAAAAGCTCATTATTAACCTGACCTCTAAGATTTATGTTAGTGAACCTTCTCGGTTTGACGGGGAAGGGATGAAAGGAAGTTCATGACATCTTCGTGACATGTGTTGCCTAACAGCGCACCAAACTTTCTGATCCCCATACTAAATCTTAAATTGAACGTATCAGTCAGAAGGGATTCAGCGGCCTGTTAGCGAAGTCTATAATATACGGAACTAATAAATATAATTCTTTCAGGAGATATAGACTTTGGAGATGATGAGATTGAGATAAGCGTGATGGAGTCAGGAGAGGAACAAAAGAATGAGCTTGTACTTGACAACACCACTACGCGTAACAAGATCATTGATGAGCTGTACGAACTGTCAGCATTCCTCACTTCCAGACGAGACGAACTTTCCAGACATTCCGAAAATATCTTATCCGAGATTCCTGAGTGTTAGAATTCTTGATATTTATTCTTGATAATCTAAAATCTTTCTTTAGTCTTCCATTCAACAATATTATTTATAATTGATAATATTATGTCAACAAATCTGTTTTTTAAACGTGTTTTTTTGCAGGTCCCCCGGAAATACAAACTACTCAAATAGAGAACGTGGAGAATATGGTTAGCGAGGTAGATAAGCCACTCAGCAAGCTAACCAACGACAAGATGAGACATTTGTTACTGTTGAAGAACAGCGAGAAGTATCTTGACAGATTAACAGACAGATTACAGTCGCAGCTTCGACTGTGCGATAAAATGGAGGTAAGTGATCCGTCATGATGATGGGATGTCTTCGAAATTTTCTTCACATTCCCTTTTTGCTGCCACATTTTTATTCTCAATCTAAAAATTCTGGACTTATTTGAATTCAAAAATTCAGGATAGCATCGAAGAAATGAAACAAAGAATAAGTGAAGCAGAGAGAACTTATGAAGATGTCGAACCAAAGATGAAGAGAGCAATCGAGACAACAAAGTTACTGAAAGCGTGCGTTGAAACGGAACTGAGAAAGAAATACAAGGGACGACCTGTACGGATAATGGGGGACATCAATACGTTGTGATTTTGGTAATATTGGTTTAATAATCATTTACAGTTTTAAAGTTAATAATTTTCAGTTTTAAGATTTGATTTTAGATTTCGCAGATATTAACTTTCTTCGTGGATAATAGCGATGACTAAAATATCTAATTTGGGATGTGTAATATATGTATCTTAATTTATGACTGGTTCTCAATTCTTTTATTCATAAACTATTGAAACACACGATTGTCGATTAGAAAGCTGTGATTTACCGTGGGCGATTCAATGTTGTCGACTCCAACACATTCTGAGTTGGACTTTCTGTTCCATTTGTTCCGCGGAACAATATTTGACGAAAGTCGATTATTTTGAGATCCTACTGATAGATTTTCTTTAAACTTTCCAGATAGTTGTATGGCTATGAGACGGATAATCTGACCAAGTTTGGGCGAATTTCTATGTGCCAAATTTGAGATATGACTTCAAACACAAGAAAATATCTCAAAATGGCGGTTTCTAGCGGAACGCAGGCACATATTTCGAGATCCTACTGATAAATTTTCTTTAAACTTTCCAGATAGTTGTATGGCTGTGAGACGGATATTCTGTGCGATTTTGGGCGAATTTCTATGTGCCAAACCTGAGATATGACTTCAAACACAAGAAAATATCTCAAATTGGCGCGTTCTAGCGGAACGCAGGCACATATTTCGAGATCCTACTGATAAATTTTCTTTAAACTTTCCAGATAGTTGTATGGCTGTGAGACGGATATTCTGTGCGATTTTGGGCGAATTTCTATGTGCCAAACCTGAGATATGACTTCAAACACAAGAAAATATCTCAAAATGGCGGTTTCTAGCGGAACGCAGGCACATATTTCGAGATCCTACTGATAAATTTTCTTTAAACTTTCCAGATAGTTGTATGGTTATGAGAGAGATAATCTGAGCAAGTTTGGGCGAATTTCTATGTGCCAAACTTGAGATATGACTTCAAACTCATGAAAACATCTCAAATTGGCGGTTTCGGAACGATATTTGACGAAAGTCGATTATTTTGAGATCCTACTGATAGATTTTCTTTAAACTTTCCAGATAGTTGTATGGCTATGAGACGGATAATCTGACCAAGTTTGGGCGAATTTCTATGTGCCAAATTTGAGATATGACTTCAAACACAAGAAAATATCTCAAAATGGCGGTTTCTAGCGGAACGCAGGCACATATTTCGAGATCCTACTGATAAATTTTCTTTAAACTTTCCAGATAGTTGTATGGCTGTGAGACGGATATTCTGTGCGATTTTGGGCGAATTTCTATGTGCCAAACCTGAGATATGACTTCAAACACAAGAAAATATCTCAAATTGGCGCGTTCTAGCGGAACGCAGGCACATATTTCGAGATCCTACTGATACATTTTCTTTAAACTTTCCAGATAGTTGTATGGCTGTGAGACGGATATTCTGTGCGATTTTGGGCGAATTTCTATGTGCCAAACCTGAGATATGACTTCAAACACAAGAAAATATCTCAAATTGGCGCGTTTCTAGCGGAACGAAGGCACATATTTCGAGATCCTACTGATAAATTTTCTTTAAATTTTCCAGATAGTTGTATGGCTATGAGAGAGATAATCTGAGCAAGTTTGGGCGAATTTCTATGTGCCAAACTTGAGATATGACTTCAAACACAAGAAAATATCTCAAATTGGCGCGTTCTAGCGGAAGCAGGCACACATTTCGAGATCCTACTGATAAACTTTCTTTAAACTTTCCAGATAGTTGTATAGCTATGAGACGGATATTCTGTGCGATTTTGGGTGAATTTCTATGTCCCAAACCTGAGATATGACTTCAAACACAAGAAAATATCTCAAATTAGCACGTTTTAGTGGAACGCAGACACATATTTCGAGATCTTATACTGATACATTTTCTTTAAACTTTCCAGATATTTGTATGGCTATAACAGTCTTACAGTCCCCCATTCCTCTTCCTCCTTCTCCTCCTCAGTCCTCCTCCTCTTTCTCCTCAGTCCTCTTCCTCCTCATTCTCCTCTTCAGTCCTCCTCATCCTCCTCTTCCTCTTGTTTATCTGGTTCATAGCCCTACAATTATCTGGAAAGGGGATCATGTTTTGTGTCCGTTTCTGTCCGTTCGGTACCCTTTATTTTCAAAACGGACAACAAGTAGGGCGAACAAAAACAGAATAAAACGGACAAAAACGGAACAAAGATGTTATGGAAAAAGGAAAAAAAGAGAAATAACATTTATATGCTTCCTCCTCCTCCTCCTCCTCCTCATCCTCCTCCTCCTTCTCCAGTTCTCCTCCTCTCCCTCATGTCCCTCCTCCTCCTCCTCCTCTTCCTCCTTCTCAGTCCTCCTCCTCAGTCTTCCTCCTCCTCAGTCATCATCCTCCTCCTCCTCCTCGGTCCTCCTTGGTCCTCCTTGGTCCTCGTCAGTCCTTCTCCTCCTCCTCATCAGTCCTCCTCCTCATTCTCTTCCTCCTCCTCCTCAGTCCTCTTCAGTCCTCCTTCTCCTCCTCCTCCTCTTCCTCATCCTCTTTCTCCTCCTCCTGTGTCCTCATCCTCCCCCTCCTTCTGAGTCCTCCTCCTGAGTCCTCCTGAGTCCTCCTCCTGAGTCCTCCTGAGTCCTCCTCCATCTGAGTCCTCCTGATTCCTCCTCCTCCTGAGTCCACACTCTCCTGAGTCCTCTTCCTCCTCCACCTCCTCCACTTCCTCGTCCTCTTCAGTCCTCCTCCTCCTTCTGAGTCTACCTTCTTCTACACTTCCTCCTCCTCCTCTGTCTTCCTCAGTCCTCCTCCTCCTCCTCCTCAGTCCTCCTCCTCCTCAGTCATCATCATCCTCCTCCTCAGTACTCCTCCTCCTAGTCAGTCCTTATCCTCCTCCTCCTCCTCCTCCACCTCAGTCCTCCTCCTCTTCCTCCTTCTCCTCCTCAGTCCTCCTCCTCCTTCTCCTCCTCCTTCTCCTCCTCATCAGTACTCCTCCTAAGTCTTTCTCCTCATCCTCAGTCCTATTCCTCCTCAGTCCTCCTCCTCCTCAGTCCTCCTCCTCAATCCTCTTCCTCCTCATTCTCCTCTTCAGTCCTCCTCATCCTCATGCTCCTCTTCCTCTTGATTATCTGTCTCATCTTCCTCACAACTATCTGGAAAGGGGGATCATGTTTTGTGTCCGTTTTTGTCCGTTCGGTACCCTTTATTTTCAAAATGGACAAAAAGTAGGGCGAACAAAAACATAATAAAACGGACAAAAACGGAACAAAAATGTTATGAAAAAATGGAAATAACATTTAGATGCTTCCTCCTCCTCCTCCTCCTCCTCCTCCTCCTCCTCCTCCTCCTCTCCTCTCCTCCTCCTCCTCCTCCTCCTCTCTCTCATACCCCTCCTACTCCTCCTCCTCTTCCTCCTCCTTCTCAGTCCTCCTCCTCAGTCTTCCTCCTCCTCAGTCATCATCCTCCACAGTCCTCCTCCTCCTCGTCAATCTTTCTCCTCCTCCTCATCAGTCCTCCTCCTCCTCCTTCTCTTCTTCCTCCTCCTCAGTCCTCCTCAGTCTTCCTTCTCCTCCTCCTCCTCTTCCTCCTCCTCCTCCTCAGTCCTCCTCCTCATCGTCAGTCCTTCTCCTCCTCATCAGTCCTCCTCGTCAGTCCTCGTCAGTCCTCCTCCTCCTCCTCCTCAGTCCTCCTCATTCTCCTCGTCCTCCTCCTCTTCTTCAGTCCTCCTCTTCCTTCTCCTTCCCCTCCTCAGTCCTCCTCTTCCAGTCCTCCTCCTTCTCCTCCCCCTCCTTCTCATCAATCCTCCTCCTCAGTCCTCCTCAGTCCTACTCCTCTTCCTCCTCCTCCTCCTCAGTCCTCCTCCTCAGTCTTTCTCATCCTCATCCTCCTCTTCCTCCTCAGTCCTCCTCCTCCTGAGTCCTCCCGAGTCCATCTCCTCCACATCCTCCACTTCCTCCTCCTCCTCAGTCCTCCTCCTCCTTCTGAGTCCACCTCCTCCTACACCTCCTCCTCCTCCTCCTCAGTCTTCCTCAGTCCTCCTCCCCCTCCTCAGTCCTCCTCCTTCTCCTCCTCCTCCTATAGCCATGTAACTATCTGGAAAGTTTTTAAAAATTCTATCATTTAGATCTCCAAATATATGCCTTTGTTCCGCTAAAAACCGCCAATTCGGAGATATTTTCTTGTGTTTGAAGTCATATCTCAAGTTCGGTACTTAGAAACTCGACCAAAATCACACAGATTATCCGTCTCATAGCCATACAACTATCTGGAAAGTTTAAAGAAAATTTATCAGTAGGATCTCGAAATATGTGCCTGCATTCCGCTAGAAACCGCCAATTTGGAGATATTTTCTTGTGTTTGAAGTCATATCTCAGGTTTGGCACATACAAGGTTGCCCAAAATCGCACAGAATATCTGTCTCATAGTTATACAACTATCTGGAAAGTTTAAAGAAAATTTATCAGTAGGATCTCGAAATATGTGCCTGCATTCCGCTAGAAAGCGCCAATTTGGAGATATTTTCTTGTGTTTGAAGTCATATCTCAAACACAATTAGCACATATAAATTCTCTCAAAATCGCACAGATCATTCGTCTTATAGTCATACAACTATCTGGAAAGTTTAAAGAAAATATATTTGTCAGATCTTGAGAAAATCAAAAATATATTCTAGTTATTCTCTAAAACACTCTATTTTCGAACTTTTCATTTGGAACAGATTTGTCGAAAGTCCTTCTGCACATTCTCCGCTATGTGGGTGTCATTTACTGACTACGTCGGGCGCACTAACTAAATTAATGCCACGTACCGTCGAATAGGTAAAAGCGTAGATCAGATCAAACTTTATTATTCTTACATGTATGTGCAGTTGAGTCTTCGAGCCGGACCTTATCATTGCTTATATTAATGTTAACTGGCACCGTTCTTTGGCAATACCCGGTAACTCATAATGGCATAAGACCTACCCCAGGACATATTTCTATTGATACGCATTATCCACGATCTTCGACAGCCAACAATGAAAGCACTCTTACACCGTTCTTGCCTTATTGCGTAACAACTTGAGTCTCCCTTTCCTAGCCCAATTAGAAATGGGCACAGTCTATGATCTAGAGAAGCATTCAACTGAAGTGTTATAGCTTGGGGATGTTTTAAATATTAGGAATGCGGACAATTTTCAAATTTATGATTGCTTTTATTATTTTAGAACACTCCAAATAACTGTACCCAGTTTTGTATTTGTTTTAAATCAGAAACTTTCACAATTTGATCAACCAAAGATTTATTGATAGGATGATAAAAGATGAAAAGAATGTGAAGGGACCAATATTTTCATCATCAAAGCTTCTCCCAGCTTCGGCTACTGTAGCAGGTAAGGACAAAGGACAAAGGTGTGCAAATCTGTAGAGAAAAGCTCAAAATCAACTGGTATTGGACAGGGTCTGACTTTTTATCTGTTTTCTTATATTAGTTAACATTTTTGGACAGTTAAACTCTAAAATCTGAACCCTATTGGCTATTCCTATTAGAGGCATGTAATATACCGTTTGGATTCCTGTACGACCCCACCCAACAAAAGCCGGTCACTCCATCCTCGACAACTGTGAGATGCTCTAATTGCAAAGCTTATATTAACAAGTTCTGCAATGTTACCGAGACATCTTGGAGATGCATATTCTGTAAAAAGGGTAACTTTATTTTATGTATTAGATCCTTGAAACTTTCATTCCAATTAGTCACCACACTTTGAATTTGGTTTCTGAATGATAAGGTTTTTAACCCAATTTCGAACATTTGATAATGAATCGAACACGACTAGCCTCGCTAATTGCATCTCTCATTTCAGACTGCGAAATCGTTGACGAACAACAGATTCCTGAAGAACAGCTCACAAACGAGTCCTATTCCATGGTCATTCCAGTAAGTTCTCAGATCTTCCCTTCGTACTAGATTAACTTAAACGTCACACAAATTTAACTGTCCCATATTGTCTATGAAATCTGTTCCACAAATCTTTTCCGTTGTTATTTAGAACGTGTTTATTCAGGGAGATCAGCCGCTGAGAAAGCACGTACTATTTATTGTTGATGACTACCTGAGCACTGCAGAAAAACTCACCATTTTCAAAAGTATTATCAAGTATGTCGCATTTGGATCTCCCCTCCATTTTATTCTTTCAGTCGATACTATTTCATAAAAGCCCATTGACGTCTTACTTATTGTATGCTAGAAATTCTATGTAATACTCTATTCACAGCCACACACCCCTTTATATCTAACTTATATCTGACTGCCAGGTATCTAGAAACAGCACCAGACAGAACCCTCGTGTCCCTAATTCTTCTCAGCAGTGTAGTTAATGTTTACATGTTGGGCAGGGCTCAGGGGCCTGTCCAGTCGGAAGTCTTCTCCGGTTAGTACCAATAGAATAGTGTGAAATACAAATTCATTTAAGAAAATATATGTATATACAGTAAAACCTCGATTCACCGTATCCCGATTCACCGTAAACCACGATTCACTATACATCTACCCTTTCCCGCAAAATTTAGTTTGATATCACATGTCCAAGTGATCCCTTGAAATACGGGTTGTTAACGCGGGACTCTGTATATCAGTATATATACTGTATATATATACAATATGCATATTGCATATTGTAAATTTCCGAAACTTGAGATTAACCAAACGTTATAAGTCCCCAAGATGTGTAGTTTCCCCCAAAAATGTTATCCTATTCCAAGTATGTAATCGAAATACCTTCTCAGGTGCAATGACCCAGGACCTCTACAAATACTTAACATTCCATGCACGTGACATGATCTGTGATCTGACCACTTCACGCTCATCCCTTCTGGAGACGGTTGAAGACATCTGCTACGGGCTGGAGTGTAAAAGCAATGCTATCGCTAACAACTCCCTCAACAAGAGACGCACTACTAACAGGATGGACAAGGGCGCTCCAAAGTGTTTAGGGTTCATGTTTGAACTCTTACTGTCCATCTTAAATCAGGCAAGTAAATTAGCGAAACATTACAGTTTGCTCAATAATTTATGATGTACACTCTCGCTTAGTTATTAGGCTATTAAGCCTTATGGCAGGTTGGGGCAAGGCAATTAGCCTTCACATGGGTATGATAAGCTATTTTGGATATCCGATGCGATGTATCTTAATTGTAACAAATGTTGGAAAGGAGGCAAAAAGTTGAGAAACCTCCTACATGTAGTGAAACTTTTTTTTATTGCGTAAATTCGTTTCGTTTCTTCATATGATAGAAACCTTTCACCTCGTGAGTCACGAGGTGAATGGTTTTGTTCTGCAGACAAAAGGTCTCACAAGCCGTACTGGCGCAATATTTGAGCTGCAAGAGATATTTTATTTTTTTAAATGAAGTCATCTTTTATGTGTTCGCCAGGCTGACCAGAATTACAATTCAACGAATTCTTTTGTTTTGTGCTGCATTTTGTCCATTTTCGACCGCGCATCATTCCTTTTTATTTATTTATTTAAGATAGATTCTAGATTGGGGAGACCTAGAATGAACTTGTTATCGGTTTTAAGAAGTGATTTAAGTAGTAGAAATTTGCAAATGGACAACTTGCATGAATTGAACGAAATTAGAGATATAGCTGCATGCAACAGATGTTGGGAAAATCTTTTTCAAGGGTACAGTTTACCGCATTAAGGTATTTTTAAGAATCATTTTTGTCGGTAAGATCCTGTTTTATAATAATAAGATAGATCAGTTCGATAGTATGTTGTGGCCAGCTTTTTGTAGTAGCCAGCTTTTTGACTTGTACAGTTGAACCTTTGACTTACCCACATACTTGGTAACAGGGGTGTAGGAATGATTTTCTTCATGGGGGGAAGCCAAAATTTTCGGGCAAGGACAAAAGGAAATAGCGGCATGTGCAGAATCTTGATTTTTCCCATTCTCCGCGACAAATCGCGCATTTTCCTTTAAATCTGATGACCAAATTTGCATATTTTCCTTCAAATCTGCTGGCCAAATATCACGTTTTCTATGAGTATATGAAACCAATCACATCCACAGCCTTCCGAATGTATGTACGGACTTCAGAAAACCGAACAAATATTTTCGGCTCATAATGATCAGGGTAGCATGAAACATGAACAAAAGTAGTTTCCAGAAAAACTATGAAAAATTTTGACTTCTAAAATTTTCGGTCTGAGTCATTCTCGATACGTACCTCTGAAGGCAGAGCTCCCGCTTCCGAGCTCGTATTGCGAAAGGGAGGCCTGCCTTCCGAGATCGCATTACAAATACAAGGGGAAACCCTCGAGTCCAAAATCGTTTATCGAAGGGTAGGTGCGGACTTCGAAAACCGGCTTTTAATGATCAGGGTAACATGAAACATGAACAAAAGTATGTAGTTTCCAGGAAAAAATATTTGACCATTTTTTCCCCAAAAAAGTTGGCCCTTTTTGGCCCCTGGCCCAGATTTTATGGGGGGGCGATACTTCCTACACCCCTGCAGTTGGTTAAATGTTAGTTGTTGAGTATAAAAAACAAGTTTTACCTCCACAACTGTAGTCAAGATCATTATTTAAACAAATTCGAATGATTTTATTTTACAGCCATGTCGACTGGATTAGTAGCAAAGTTGATATTATTAAGAAACTGTTTACACCATTAAAATATTCAAAACCCCTAAAAGAAATCAAGTCATCCTAAAATGGTGATCAGTACAGATCGAGACAGCTAGAGTAAAAATTTGTTTCTCCAAGCAACTCTATCATCGGCTAATATCTTAAGCTTATTAAGATCATTCAAAGAGTTAAGTTTTAAACCTCTACGGGTCAAATCATTCACAATAATCTTGAACAAATTCTTACGATGCGCACCGACGCGCCCTTTACAGTTTGTTGTGACAGCAAACTTTAACGCTAATGCAGCGGGGGAGTCATCAGCACTACGCAAGATATGACCTAGGAGCTTCCACCTTGATTTAGGGACACGATCTGATAGCTTTACTGAGTTACATCTTAGGTATAAGTTTGCATTGGATATTGTTCCATGAGGCCAATAAATGTTCAGTAATGATCTAAGGTGTTTTCTATGGCAAATGTCTAGTTTTTCTAGTGACTTTGCAGTAGGACACCAACTACTGCAATTGTACATGATGATTGATACAATTTGGGCTTCGTATACTGCTATCTTTCTGGTAACGGAGATATTCTGCTGAGACCAGATCTTGGTGAACTTATAGAAGGCATTGTTCCCAGCAATGCATCGAGCAGCTATATCACTTTCACTACACAACAATGACCCAAGAATCTTACTCTTCCGCCAATCTTCATTTCCACGTAACATGGTATCATCACGACCAGGGATTGTTTCCCCAACAGGAGCGAGGAAAACATGGGTAAATTCTGTTTTCTCTGTGTTAATAAACAGGTTAAACTCCTTGAAGACTTCCTTAGCTATTGGTAGGATAGCTTCTAAGGATTCTTTTTCCACGTTCATGAAGTTACAATCATCTGAATACGCTGACTCCAGTGGCATACCTTCTTTTGAAATAGGGGGATTGGGTATGTGTGGGGGAGACTCTGCTAGTCGATGGCGTAGTTCTATAAGAGCTCCTGCAAGGACAAGAGTGAAAAGCTTGCCGGAGAGACTGTCACCTTGAAAGGACCCAAGAAGACTCTCGAATACAGCAGATAGTTCTCCTTCCACTCTGACCTTGAGCATGGTGTTGGTTAAGAGGAGTCTTACTAGTCTGAGGTCGTCGTCTGTGCAACCAGCTTTGACAAGAAGGTCAAGTATTGTTTGGCGTTTGATTGTGTCAAATGCTCGAGACATATCTATGCCCATCTTGTGATACTGGAAGTGTTTACGCGTGACAACCGATATCAACATCCGCTCAGCCCACACTAGATCACCACAACTTCTGCCATGTTTGTACCCCGCCTGCGTGCTACCAGTGAAAGCATCAACTTTGTCTTCAATTCTCTTCAGTACAATCATGGATAATATCTTACGAGCACCATTTGATAGACATAAAGGTCGTAGACTAGTGACAGGACCAGCTGGTTTGCGAGGTTTCGGTAAAGGGGTGATAGTTAAAGTTATTGCAGTTCAAGTCTGCGTGGCCTTAGACTCATCACCCCCAGGGATCCTGCATCAAAATTTCTCCAACCTGTCTGTATCTCCTCCGGCGAAAAACGTGGTTGAAAACACTGCATGGGATAAAGACGAGACATTTGCTACGTGTTTAGACTCCATCTGGGATATGAACCCTAAAGCAGGACTTTTCCATACCTTCACAGCAATGGGAGCTCACAAATGCTGGCTGTATTGCAAAGCCACTTTTAAATGCCAGGCTCTAATATACGAATTCATCAACAGCACATGTTCGTTGTTCAACAGAGATTTTCGAAGCCTCTGGAAGGGTAAAAAAGAGTTACTCCACGTAAGCCTCGTGAAAATGTGCATGGTGAAACAGGAGAATAATGGGTCGGCGTCAGTTGGAGCAAGCATACCAGAAATAATATCTCTTAGTCAATCTGGGATTGGGTTTTTGATCCAGCAAGGTGAATATACATTGATCAAGATGGATTGTTTATGTAAACGAGAAAAGTCGAAAAGAAAAATTATATCCGATGACGAGGAAATCTATCGTGTGAGCTGGGAGCCTTGCAAGAGAGGTAAAAGATGGCTTCTGAAGGCAGTACTAGGGATGGGAATTGATCTGTATCAAATCTCCCTTGCAGACGAGCCTGACATGTGTTTAGATGTTGATGTCGAACGTGATAGCGAATATGACCCGTTGAATCAAGCTATCGTGTCCAAATGTAGGGATGTTTTCTTAACGGAAGAGGATCCACAAATAATGTTAATAATGGCCACCAGGGATGATGGCACTAAACACTCAATTTTCTCAATTTCAAGCATTATCGGAGATAAACAACTTACCATTCTCTTTACCGGTAATAACATCGATAATAATGCTGATTCCCTGCAAAGAATATCTTTTATGGACCCCATGTTTTTCAACCAGACTGAAGAACCGCCTTTCTGTGCCCTGTCGCAGTTCTATACACATCATGGCAAAGTCCGGAACAAAGATAATTTCCCCTTCTTCCTTCGTGGGTCCAAAGTGGAGATACAGTGTGACCAGGGCTACGGTGTGAAGTGTCACAACTTCTCAGCACTGCAAACTCTGAAATGTGACAAAGATGCGAAACCACTCCCCTGCAGACGGATCATCCCAAAGAAGTCTTGCGGAGGAAAAAACGCAGATAAGGAACTGTTACACGTGGTGTTCAAGATGCTGGCAATCTTCAGCCCCATTGTTGCACTGATACTACTGGTGGTCCTTATGATGCTAAAGAGGAAGACAGGAAATGACGAGAACGAGAAAAAGGAGGTGACAGCTTCACAATTAAATGGATTATAGGGAGTAGGTATCACGGAGGCTGAAATTTCATCTTGATGCATATTATAAGTTTTTTGAAAAGTGTTTAAACTTTTAAGACAACTTCTTGGATAGCTATGTGCTAAAAAACGCTCTAACATTTCTCGCAATTACGGGATGCGATGATACATAACAGAACATTTGATGTTAGGGATACATGTAAATATTATATGTAATATTATATTTCGTAAGTCAGCCGAGTAATCGGGCTGATTTATATGTATAGTTAAATGATAAATTAAAGTATTTATAAAACGCTTCGACAATAACTTACTCCAAAAAAGATATACCTGTATATTTGAAACGTGACCATAATATGAAGTGAACTAATTTTAACTTATCAGCAACTAGATTATCAAAGTAATCTGTGAACGATCCCTTTAAATGTAAATCATAGTCTCAATGGTTTTTGTTTTTATTGATTATTTTGCTATTTTCAGTCAAAATTCCACAATGATGATTTTGTTGGTACTAACATAATGGCCTAATGCTTTTTTTCGGTAATCATGTTTATTTTTGTTGAATTGTTCTAGAGACTTCGTGATTAAGTTTCAGAAAATGTTGGAAATAGATTTAAAATTGTTTTTTGTTGATTTTTTAAAGAGATTTTTTATTATGTTTCCAATAATGTCGGAGAATAGCTGAAATGTGTCATTTTCCTTAGAGCATTCAATAATTCGATTAATCAACCCAAGGACATCTTCAATCATGACTATTAAATTATAACAGCAATTCTGATGTGTGCATCTGACATCGATATTAGGTAGCCATACGATAAACGAAGCTAAGCGGATTATTCATATTTCGTAGATTGTATAAACAATAAGGCATGTGATACGATTTGCTCCCAAATTATATTCACCAATTTAAGCATAGATGTTAACCACGTACTGGTACTTTGGTTGTAGTGGATATGAGGTATCGAGTAGTCCTCGGAGATAATTACCATCTATTATCTATGATTTCAGGACACGAAATTGGAAGCAGTAAAGCACATGATAATTTTCAACGGAGGGGAACTCCCACAACCAAACCTGCCAGACTCAGCTCGGACTGAACAAAACAAACAATATTTTGCCAGGTGAAATCTCTATTAACAATTCTAAATATAAAGAGTTTTAAAAGTGGTAAACTGACAGCTGCGATGAGGTTAATTATTTACTGAATTGTTCATTATTTACTAAATTGTTCATTATATTGATCGTAGTGAGGATAACAAATTCTCCTCAGCCTGGGTGTATCTCTATCTAAAACTAAAGCTGCTGCACATTTGTACTGTTTGGGAAATGCAGTGTATGGTATTGAAAGAATGGCTCCTCTGGTGGAGAATTGTGGAGGATCAATCATGTGGCAAAATGTGAGGGTTAGGTTCTGTTGACAAATTTATTCGCATCATTTTATCATTTTGCTATTTTATCAATATTTCTAATATTTCACCATGATATGTATATGATAGATTGGAAGGGTTCAATGGATTTAGAGTTTCACGATTATTCTTAAAATCGCAGGATATTTCCGGGGATATGAGCAGAGAAATAGCAAAGTGTATAGAGAAAACTATTGGTTACGACTGTGTCATCAGACTGCAAACAACCTCAAATGTTACGTTATCACAGGTGCAGTTTCATTTTTGTTAGAATTTTACTACTTAACCAACGTTCTTAGCTTTCTTGAGAGTTTTTTAGTACTAAATGTTATTTCAAATTGATTTAACCCCATAAAGTATGGCAAGATACTTCGGCGCCAAAGCCAAAACATGAGACTGTTTTACCAAGTTGAAATTGTTAATATGTTGTTTAATTAATGTATCAATATGACTTAATAAATGATCCACCCTAGATTGCAGGTGCAACCCAAGAAAGCAGTCTGTTCACTAAAAGATACCCTGTCCTCACTCAAGACAAGAAGTTTTGGGCTTCGTTCTTAATTTCCAGCAGAATAAACACACAGCCCATTTTCCTACAGTGTACTAACTCTTACACCGACACTGTCATGTGCGCCAAGGTTAGAATTTTTTTCCGTGTTTGTTATTCTTTCTGGTCGTTTGTGAACACGGGGATAAGTTGTGAATCTATCTGAGTCTAATTAATTTGCTTGATGAATGTCATGATGGAACTTTATTGTAAATATACATATTGTACTTTACAGAATACTTTATTGTGAATATACATATTATTATTATATTATACTTTACAGAATACTTTATTGTGAATATACACATTGTACTTTACAGAATACTTTATTGTGAATTATATACATATTGTACTTTACAGAATACTTTATTTTAAATATGCATATTGTACTTTACAGAATATTTTATTGTAAATATGCATATTGTACTTTACAGAACACTTTATTGTAAATATACATATTGTACTTTACAGAATACTTTATTGTGAATATACATAATACATCTACTCATAGCTTTCTTGGAACATCATGTTTTGAAACTCTATTTTAACGATAGTTGACATTTTGAATTGAGTAAAGTTTCGATAATGTCTTAATAACTTCCCGCTCAGGTAACACATGTGAGTACAGTGAGATACGACTGTGTCGTAGATCACGAGGAGATCATGTGCGCCATGTGTCCGGACACCGTGTTCGCGCTCTGCGCGCGACACCACCTACAAGCGCTGGATCAGCGTAAGGAGAACTCGGACGCACTTGTGGAGCAGGCTCATCAGCTGGTGACGAACTCAGAGACAGCAGTCCAGCATACGGTAAAAGCGCTGATCGAGGAGTACTTGGAGAAGTTGTACTTCCTGTTACACGGTCCTATTATTAGTCGCATGCTCCAGCAGAGGTTACTGGGAAATTGGGGAGATTCTTTAAGTTATCATTGTGGTTCCATAGATCGAGTTGGAATCAATTTATTCCTTCAACTTTAATTCTTTAGGTTCACCCCCAAAAAGTATCTACTACTTTATGAACAAAATATTTCAGGGATCTTCAATATTATTTGTTACACTTGCTGTCACGCGCTAGTGTTACAGCAGTGTCACATCTCGTCAAAGCCAAGCTATATCAACTATCATACTGTACCGAGGTTAAAAACCTTCTTTAACTTAAAAACTTTATTTCACTGTGTTATTTTATGTGTTTCGACTGAATGTTCAAGGTGTCGAATGTGAAACCAGATCAGTAGTGCATCAGTACAGTGGTTCTTCAACACTTAAACTTCATTTCCCCACAGGCTGGATCGACAGAGTTAAGAATATCGGAATACCCTCCTGTAACATTGGCTCTTAGATCAGATAAAGCAGTTGTCCTGGATACGATGACTGATATCTATATCTGGATAGGATCAAAAGTACAGGTAAATACTCGTGATCGCTGATTTTTCATAATTTCATAATTTCTCTCCCATTTTCAGTTTTTGAAGAAGAAGTTTCCAGGACCAAAATTTTACAGTTTTTACTGAATTTCTCACCCGGAACTTATAAGTCAGTCAATTATAAATGGCATATGATACGATTGAGGTGCTGGAAGTTTGATTTCGGTCGGAGGAAGTAGAAAGTTTAACAAAACGAAAATTCATATTTTCCAATTTCTGTCCCATTTTAAAATATGAAAATTTCTGAACACAAATTTGACAGATTGGATGACATTTTTGCCCAGAGACCAATTAGTCAGTTAATTGATGATGGTATGAAACCAAATTAAGGTCCTGGAAGTCAAAATCCCGAAGAAAATTTGAAAATCAGATTATCCCATTAAAATTGCTTGGGGCGTATTACAGTAGCCAACTTCAGCCCATGTTAACTTCGAGCGAAGTTGTTTTACGTGGTGGTGATTGTCAGGGACCCGCAGTAATGGGGCAAGAGGGTCTTAATTAGCTAAAATTTAGCCTTTGTAAATTCTGAACATTCTCTAATACAACACAACGTAATAACGTCACCAACACATAAACAGACTTCAGGCGACGTTAATATTATATTGGCTAAAGTTGGTTACATCTTGGTTAAATAAAGGATTATTGTACACATAATATGCACGTTTCACACGTTAATTAATATTATGCCTGTAACATGTCAAAATTGACCAGTTTGGACACTCTCAGTCCGACACGATACCCTCAGAATAAGAAAGAAGAGCTGTTGGAACAAGCTAAATTGTTTGTGGAGCAGCTCACTGCTGACAGATTCCCTGTACCTTCTCGTGCAGTTCTATTGGACGACACAGCCTCAAACAGGTGAGTTATACCGCTGTTCTGTGAGTGAGCCTGTTCTGTGAGTTAGCCTGTCAAACAGTTCCTCGAATATGCTTATAATTTTATCGCACCGAGCTCGTACTGAATCAGTCCTGTTAAACTTAATTTCTACTTAAGGGGGGGGTTCACCCTGATTTTTTTGTGAAACTTGGTTTCGAGATAGCAGTTGACCAACAAACTAGGGCCGGTGAACGAACTTTTGAGGGGGTCCCGGACCCCAACCGCCAAACGGTGCCCGCGGGGCAGCCACACCCATATTTGGTCCAAATTAGGCCCAATTTAGCCAAATACCCTGGACATGCCCAAAACCCAGATTTTAGGTGCTCTACTTGTAGCTAGTGGTCTCCTGAACTCGTATATGAATTTTCATCAAGATTGGACAAAACTTTACTGAGTTATGAGCCAAAAACCATATGACCATATTTGGGCATACGCACCAAATTTGATCGATTTTGGCCCATAAATTGGTCAAATATCAATATTTTTGAATGAAACCAACTTTATATGAAAGGTAAGCCTATACTACACATTCTCTATGATTATCAGCTCAATATCTAACTAACTGTGGATTCTGTGTTTAAATAATCGCAAAAAATGAACAAAACCGCCCATATCTCAGTTCGCAATATTTGCAAAACTGATTTCGCTCAAAACAATAGAACTCAATAGGGTTTCAATATTTTCACATGAAATTTTCAGAATCAACGTAGAATCGCATTTCGACTTTAAGTTTTGTATTGGAATTTTGAGTTAGGCCTTTAAAAAAATTTGGCGGCCAAATTCTGAAAAATGCCAGGCAAATTTTGGAATTTGGCCGCCAAATTTTTTTAAAGGCCTAACTCAAAATTTCAATACAAAACTTAAGGTCAAAATGCGATTCTACGTTGATTCTGAAAATTTCATGTAAAAATATTGACACCCTATTGAGTTCTATTGTTTTGAGCGAAATCAGTTTTGCAAATATCGCGAACTGAGATATGGGCGGTTTTGTTCATTTTTTGCGATTATTTAAACACCGAATCCACAGTTAGTTAGATACTGAGCTGATAATAATAGAGAATGTGTAGTATAGGCTTACCTTTCATATAAAGTTGGTTTCATTCAAAAATATTGATATTTGACCAATTTATGGGCCAAAATCGATCAAATTTGGTGCGTATGCCCAAATATGGTCATATGGTTTTTGGCTCATAACTCGGTCATTTTTTGTCCGATCTTTATGAAAATTCATATACGAGTTCAGGAGACCACTAGCTACAAGTAGAGCACCTAAAATCTGGTTTTTGGGCATGTTCAGGCTATTTGGCTAAATTGGGCCTAATTTGGACCAAATATGGGCGTGGCTGCTATCTCGAAACCAAGTTTCACAAAAAAATCAGGGTGAACCCCCCCCCCCCCCCCCCCCCCTTAATGAAACATTAAGCTGAGCTTTTAAAAAAACCAAGGAGTATCGTTGTTTCTCGAAGAATTTGACTGTTGGCGAAGGTCTACATAGATAGTCAAGATAGGAAGTAGGATACTCCTAAAACTTAAGTATTGGAACACTGTATACTATACACTGTATAGATCTGCTGACACTAACAAATTATTTCAGATTTGTTGATTGTTATTTGATGCCTTTACATAAGGACAGCCTGGATATGCAACTCTCTATTCTCCCCGAATTAAAAGGTAGCTATTTCTTTAAGAAAATCTTTTCAATGGTCCTTGCCATGGCAGGTATCGTCTAACATGCTCAAACATCGACTCATTCTATTATGTTTTCCTAATAACAATTTGTGACGGATTTTAAACAGAAAATATTGCAATTTTCAGAAATAAGTGCTGAAGATCTGCGTCAACTAAGCTATAAGTTCCAGCATGTAACGTTAAAATCGTTTAACCAATGGCTCGAGGAAGTAAGACTCCTCGTAACACCTTCTTTAACATATAAGACCTGAACTGACATGGAGAAAAATATTTTAACATTTCATGTAATCAACGTTTTATGTATTTTTGAAAGCTGTGTTATAATATTTAAATATTTAATTTATTTTATGAATTTATAAATACTGAAACATTATAAACTTTATTTACTGAATTAAATTTTGATTATTAACGAGTGAACATTGACGATTATTGATTACAAGTCTATGTTAACATTTAGACATATCCCTTACAAATACGTTATATGTTGCAGCCTACGTTTGCTACATTTTTATTTTTACTGCGAAAACCAGTTTACTCTCCGCTGAATATGTAACATAATGAGTAATGTTGTGTGTTAATCTAAACTGATACTTAAACTGATATTTACGTATATATGCATCGTTTTTTAGTTGTCTTTTTTTTCGTAAAAATTTCAAAGGTTTATAGTCCGTTATATGTTAATGTCATCCAAAAAACAGTACTTGGCAACAAACAGAAGATACATTTCGCAACCTCCAACAGTCTCTCAATAAACTCCTCCATTTGATTGATCAACCTGTTGACAATCAACCAGTTAATCGAACAAGGATGAAGGAATCTAATGACTGAATTCAGATCGAGGCTTTAGCCTTTAAAACATAGGAATAGTGAAAGAGTTCTCTTCATGAAGGACATATGGCGATTTTGGGGTTTTTACCGAATGCTTGAGAAGCAGAGCCCTACACTGACACATTACACTCAGGGGTCGTTCACATATTAGTATTACGTAATCAGCCTAGGGGGGAGGGGGTTTCCAAATGCTTACGGTTGATTACGGGGGGGAGGGTTTTGGTCGTTGATTACGTAATCAAAATTTTCTTTTTTAGTTCCCTCTAGAATAATATAACAATTTGACAATATTTTAATTCAAATTCCACTCAATTTCACCCTGATAGTGATTAAAAAAATTTTAAATGTTTAGAAAGTTTAGAAAAAGTAGTTTAGAAGGTGATTGGCCGAATATCAATCAGAAATTTGTATTAATTTTCAACCATTTGTAGCATAACGCATGTCCTTACTTTTAGCTTCAATAAATGAATTGTAATTGATGCACCTTTGTGAATTGTTCAAATAAAGCAATCTTAATCTAAGTTAGATTAAGAAATTGAGTGGAATTTGAATTAAAATATTGTCAAATTGTTATATTATTCTAACTGTAACCTTGTAGCGCGATGCACTACTGGGTCGCGCGCGCATCAAATAATGCTTCTCGCATCTATCTTCGGTAGATCGGCGAGATGCACCACTGTGCCTCACCGAGCTGCGAAGGATTGACATCGTGAATCAAACTGTAACCAAGATCATTACTGGGCCGCGCTCCGCCTGTCATTCCGCCTAATCTCTATTAGTATTAATGAACATGATAGCCTGTACTGAGGTCCCTTGTCATACGTTGTATGACCCGCCGCGCACGAAGTGCGCGGCTCGGCCCCCTGTATCGTCAGGACCATAGTGAAACGACCGTGGGGGTCGCAACGTGAGACAAAAGGTCCTCAGGTAAAGCCATGCCAAATATAAATTTTAATTATCAATCCTACGTGCTGCGCGTTACAGTTACACGGTAGAATATTTGTAGATTCTATTCGTGCTCAAAATAATACTCGACGATAAATTGATTTGACCATTATTAATGATCTGGCCCGGCGCGCGCTACTTCGTAGCTCGTGTCATCGAGAAGGAAGCGGCGCGCGCTACTTCGAAGAAATTTAGACGAGTACAGAGTAATATCAATTATTGATACTTACCTGGGGACCCCAGGCTATTATGTTCATAAACATTCATAAACATTAATAAAGATTTGGCGGAATGACAGGCTGAGCGCGGCCCAGTAAATTGATACATGTTTCGCGCGCGAAAAGTGGCATGCAACGTATGTCAAATCAACAATCAATTAACATCCGTCAATAAATTGGTATACAATATACACGCGCGTTTATAATTATTGTTGTGGCTGTGCTACCGATCATCGCGCGATAATTGTCAATTAATGGGTGATACTCGTAAAATATTTGTTCCAGCACCGTCGATGAGTCCAACTCGGCGCGCGTCCTGGTAGGTTATAAACCTACAAGTAGACGGTTGAAACAAATATTTTACGATATCACGAGTATCACCCGTTAAATATAATCGCACGATAATATTAATCGTTTTAAAAACGATAATCGCAAATATAATAGTTATATATGATTGATAGCAATATTTTAAAGTTTTCATAACATGATTTAATTGTTTTTTGTAGTAGTGCCGCGCATTTTCTTGGAATTATGAAATCTTCAAATCGCATTTAGAATCGAGCGCTACCAGAATTACGGGCGCTTGGTAACGCGCCAATAATGCTGGATAGATGCGCTACTAGGTTGTGTTTCAATTCATTACATCATTTTAACTTTGCGTGTTGTTCCTGTTCATATTATGACGTCATTTATATTTTGCTATATATACTAGACAGGCTGCATGCCTATTTCATAGATAAACATAATGGTGAATATCGTTTGTCATATATGTTCTCCTTAAAGTCTCTGCTCATTAACTGGTCTTAATATACACAATATTATAGGAATCTATAAAATAATACAATGCAGATATGTCACAAAGAATGAGAATGTTTGCGGGATTAACTGTTACCCGGCAGCTCAAACCACTCGGGGAGAGGAAGCAGCAATGGGAGTAAGTTATTGATAATTGCTATTTCATTTAAAATATTGAATATAATCTTCGGTAACTATAGTTATATAATATACATTTACCTTGGAGCTTGAACTGTGTGATTGTTTATTTGGTGTAAGATTACTGATTGATGCTTGTAGTAATAATGTTCTATCTAGGAAGTTTAGGAGGCGGAACCCCTCACTGGTAAATGATAAGGAGATACGGGAGGCTGTCGGCAGGTTCTGCCATATAGAAGGTAAGATATTAAGCAATATAATTATAAAGGTGATATTGTTTCATAAAATCAGCACTTGAAACTAGTATACTAGTGGTTTGTAACACAGAAACTTGATTTATATTCCTTTTCAGGGTCAGCAGTTACGGAGGACATGCTGCGGGAAGTGAGTCTGAGGTATAAGAAAATGAGAGCTGACCGCAAGCACAGACTTGGCAAGGTTAAAAGGATAGGAGGAATCACCGCTGATGTGGCGGTCCAGACAGAATCCCTGCACAGCTTAGAGTGCAAGGTAATAAACTGTAGGTTAATGAAAGTGTCATTAATTATTAAAACATTACTCAAAAAATAAGATCTGAAGTCATGCTTTTTAAAATGTTTTAAATATTCCATCATTAAATTCAGGAGTGCACAACATATGCGATGAAGCATGTGTGTCAAATTAGGGCAAGTGAGCTGGCCCAACTACAGTCTGAGGTGTTGCTAAGGCAATGCTCTTCACCCCCAAATGCCTCGACCATCAAGGTTGGTTAGAGATGTCACTTTTGAGTTACCCTGCATCATGTTTTATTCACTGAGAGACCTTGGGTCAGAAAACTGATCCGACCCCAAGAGGGGTCAGATCACGTTTTAGTGATGTGATCCATGGATTGAGTATAATTGACACAGAAATGGGCTAGATCTGGGGTAGAGTTCACATGTCAATTCTGTAAATCATAGCTGCATACATTAAGAAGTAAACATGATCTGACTGCTCGACTCGTAGATCACATAAGGGACGGGAGCTCTTGCTAAAGCGGGGGTTCTCGTATCAAGGGATGTGAGACGTACTTGCCAAAGGGGAGTGAACCGATCAAGTGTTCTTAGGTATAAATATACAAGTGCTTGATTCTGACGGATATATCTACACCAGGAAGAAATCTGATGACAGCGTCCTCTCCTCTGCTTGGCGTTGCCAGAAGAACAAAACTCTTAAATGTCCCTGCCACTGCTACCTCGCTCTCACAGACAACACTCTTTCCATTGGACGTAAACCACACAACCACGATTCGGATTCGGCTACCCCACAGAGACTCGAACTCCTTACAACGCTCAAGAGGTAGGCTGCAGAACAACCCCTGTCGGTAACTCAGAACCTGATATCAACCAGACGCTACCTAATATGGAATCCCTAGGAAAAGTCGTCCAACGAGCCAGAGCTTCTGCTTCCGGATCTGCCCAACATACCGAGTCGAAGACTTCTCTTGAATTCGTTCTTCCTCCCAGCTGCACATCTACGAGAAGAGACGAACAATTTATCCTCTTTGATGGGAAAACTGACCGAGATGTGAGAATCATAGCTGACCGAGATGTGAGAATAACATCATATCAGCAAAAAATTTAAAGTTAGATATTTTAAGGATAAGATTTTTGCGAGAGACGCAAGGCTGGTTGCGTTTTTAGCTTTTGTCCCAGTAGCTGATGTTGAGGAGGCTTTCTTTGAAATAACTTTCCACATCCAATCTAACTATCCTGAGTTGATGGTTGTTGTGAATTATTTCGAGAAAACCTACTTAGGGTCAGCCATTGTAGACAGTGAGGTGAGGGTTCCTCCCACATATCCTCTAGAGTTCTGGAATCATTTCGCCAGTATTCTTCAGGATCCGGAGTACCCTCGGACCTCTAACATGGTGGAGGGGTTTCACAGCGGTTTCAGAACCCGAGTGAATCGCCCAAAGCCCTCTGTTTAAGAATATTTTCGTGCTATTAAGGAGCAACAGGTCGTTACAGACTATCATCTGGATCGGCTTGCTGTTGGAAAGACTCCTTCCAAAAAGAAGAGGATTTCCAGCAGTATTCTGTACGACCTTTGTTCTTTCTATACGACATACCCAACAAAGATTGAGTACTTGTTCGCTGTTGCGAAATACTTTGGTAATAATTTTGAGTAATTTGTTGTATTCTGAAGTATTATATCATTAATCGATTTAACATTTTAATAACATTTTATAACGAACCAATACATTGTCTCAATTTAAAACATGTTCACTTCTTAATTTATAGCTTCTATGTACAGAGTTGTCATATGAACTCTACCCCAGATCTAGCCCATTTCTAGCTCAATTATATTCAATCCATGGATCACATCACTAATTATACGACACAAGCTTGAAGCTTGCATGTTAATTACTAACCCCGTTAACCACCCCGTTAAACATTATGTGTCTAGAACGAGAGAGGAGGCAGCGCTCAATGGTAAAGAAAGTGACAGCAGGATCAGACCTGTTCAAGTCACTGAGACGCTAATTTGTTTGACATATTTGTCATGTTGCCCACACTAATCTTGTATGAGGCCCTGTTTGTTTCAGGAGCCCACACTAATCTTGTATGAGGCCCTGTTTGATTCAGGAGCCCACACTAATCTTGTATGAGGCCCTGTTTGTTTCAGGAGCCCACACTCATCTTGTATGAGGCCCTGTTTGATTCAGGAGCCCACACTAATCTTGTATGAGGCCCTGTTTGTTTCAGGAGCCCACACTAATCTTGTATGCGGCCCTGTTTGATTCAGGAGCCCACACTAATCTTGTATGAGGCCCTGTTTGTTTCAGGAGCCCACACTAATCTTGTATGAGGCCCTGTTTGTTTCAGGAGCCCACACTAATCTTGTGTGAGGCCCTGTTTGTTTCAGGAGCCCACAGTAATCTTGTATGAGGCCCGGTTTGTTTCAGGAGCCCACACTCATCTTGTATGAGGCCCTGTTTGTTTCAGGAGCCCACACTCATCTTGTATGAGGCTCTGTTTGTTTCAGGAGCCCACACTAATATTGTATGAGGCCCTGTTTGTTTCAGGAACCCACACTAATATTGTATGAGGCAATGTGTGTTTCAAGAGCCCACACTAATTGCGTATGAGGCCATGTATTCCCCTCAAATTTTCATCAAAATAACCTGGTTTTATTGTCTCTATTAAAGTTGTTTCTCGGACTGTAGAATGCAATACTGTTTCAAAATAAGTGTTGAGTTTTTTACGAATTTATGATCCCTTTTGAAAAATATACTACAACTAATACAACAACATGTAAAAGTCTGTCTAATGAGGTGAGGTTAAAGGTTTATCGCATCGTTAGTACGGGTAATGCCTCTCAATGAATCGTCGATCGTGAATGAATGGGTAAGGCAATCGACCGATTTCATTCTTAATAATTCGTGATTCTTCGATCATCAATTTCAGGTAAAATAAAAACACAGCCCATGGGCCCAGCTAGCTCAGGAACAAATTTTATTTATCGATCCTGCATGCGCGTTACGTACCATAAATAGGGCGCGTGACCACACCAAGAACTACGCCGCTTCCATCCAAGACTGAAATTTGCAACCTCAGTGGGACAGAGGGACAATGAACTATACTAGGTAACTCTCGATAAATGCCATTTCTGCAACAATCCAATCATATAATACGTGAATAGCAGCTCCGAATCAGGAGGTAAGTAGTGTGCACTGAACATTATGGAAATTTCGGGATTTTCTCTCTAATTGAAATGTTACCAGTGGCAGCGAACTACGCCCATAGTATATCGTACCGTCTGATATTTGATCATATTTAGCTCACCCAACCACTGAACCACTCCAGACGCTTACTCAAAATCCACAACTTTACTTTCAACAATATTACCATTCAGCAAACCTTAAGATTCAGTCCATTAATGAGTTAAAAAACATTTCTTAACAGAGTCAAATTGTTATTTTCATCATTTCAACAAAACCGAATAAACAAAAGTCTGTTTTACATACAATTTGAAATGATTTTATCTTCCTGTGTACAATTAACATTTTCAAAAACATTGGATATTATAGAAATGTCCCGTTATCTCAAGAAAAATTGTCTGCTTCTCATTTTCTCTACAGATAATCTGAACGAATGGAGTAAAATATCTAGCGTTAAAAACAATGTCAGAATAATCTTACTGTCAAAATACATTTTAACAGTTCTAAAACTGGGAAATACGTTCAAAGATGCGTGAAAAAGGATAATAGTACAAAAAGCTTGGGTGTCAGGTATATAAAAATGCTTGATAATAATATAACGCATATTATCGTGTTGAAGTTACTTTGGCTATACACAATTTAGAGGTCAAAATACCTGACATTCTCAACATATTTGTTCAACATTTGGGTGAGACACTATTTAGGCAACATAACACAGTGCAGTGCAAGTGGTTTTTTAAACATCTTTAACATTGAACAAATAATCTCAATAATATTTTAAGCCATTAAATACTGATCCTCCTGTAATTTACACTATACTAGGCGGCGTTGACATATATTATTTCTCGGCCATTTTTAGAATTCCTCTGGAATCACTTTTACACAAAGATATTGTGTAGAGGTTACATTAGCGTAATCATTTAGAAACCCCCTGAAGAGTAATATGAAAACGGTCTTGTTCATTCAAAACTTGAGTTTAACAAGTTGCTCAATACAACATTTCCGTGGTAACATGACGTCAATTAAAAATTAATGAGAATAAGTAATTGCGGCATTTGAATGAGACTATTAATATTTACAATTATAAAATTCCTTCAATAAGAAATCCTGCTAGTCCTGGCTAGGTATGAAAACACGGCTTGTTAAAAGCACATCAATAATTGCTCCATTACAAATAAAAAACTCATGACATGAGCACATTTCTTCCCTTCTGTCAAACCAACACCACCGCTGCAAACATTTAACCGACCCCATTTCGGTCAAAAAACCTCCTAACATTATTACAAAACAAAGCTTATCTAGAGTAGGGTCCACTGTTATCTCTAACCCGAGGTAACTGGCGTCTGCTATTGTCCACTAGAGGCGAGTATGATAGCGGGGCATTACGAGAAACTCCCGATGAAGATGAAGCTGCTGCTTGGGGGTGGATGGCAGTGCGCATGGCACTGGAGAGAGAAGGAGACGCATTGGATTGGGTCGGGGCTGCATCTCGTTGGAAGGAAGTAGCTATGTTTTTGTTGCTTGAATAGGAAGGTGGAGATGCCATGATGTCGTTGTAGCAGGGAGGTGGATCTTCTGTAGTCCAACTCTTGTCGTCATCCTCGACGTCTCTTCTGCTGATTGCAATCTGGAAGAACGAAAATTGTTAAATCATCGCAATAAAAATCTAGCTATTTGCTGTTTGTAATTCATGTGTTGAATATTTTTTTCAATTTTAGAAGGATAAACTATTTTTCGACATCTAGATGCAAGATAAAATTGAAACGTTTTATTTCAATTCAATTATTAGAACGGCTGCACGTTGTTTATAAAAACAATTGCACGTATGAGAAGTGGATTGCTAGCGGTCGAACACAGGACTGAATAAAAATTAGTGAAATGTTATTTATAGCGTTTATAAATGCTATAAATAGAGTTCCCGCTGGCTTTACACATCATATGTATTAAAACTCGAACCATAAAGGTTTCGAAATTTTGTTTAAAGTGCCGAAGCCTTGATGGTAAAATTAATGGTGTGCCGGAATTAGATGTAATTTCTATCTGAAACTCATGCCAGATATTAGATGTTAGTGTAAGATATTAGATGTTAGTGTAACGCTCATTAGATAATAGCCACTTTTCGTATCCATTATCTGGCTCCAAGCAAAACATCATTAAGTCTCGTCTTTGGCTTCGAACCTTTTTATAAACATGTAATATGTTTGGACAGGACTGAGAGGGTAATTTTATGAATGCGCATTTCAACTGGCTGCACGGCAAGTGCAATGTAAGTACATATCTGTGGATAGTACACAATTAAAACATTAAAGGTCTGTGGATATTACACACGATTTTCCCGTGATTTGAACGTTTCCTGGATTTCATCTCGGACCACCTAACTCCCGATATCGCTAATTTCGGACCAACTAATTCCGGACCTTTTTAACTTCGGAAAAATGGCCTTTTTCACGGTTTTTATTTGCTCCGGGGTTGGATATTTCACTGTAGTGTTGCTAAATCTTAAAGTTTTATATTTATAGGGAGCGATGTAACAGTCAATATATTCAATGTTGCCATGGGGTGGCAAGTCCCCATTCATCGAATCCCACTAGTTTCAATGCCTCCTAATATATACTAGCAACAGAAATTATTGATCTTGGTGAAACAAGTATGGTCTAGAAAATATTTCACAGCGATTGTGTTCGTCATTCACAATTAGGCGACAGGATTAGTGAAGAGTGAAGTTACCCGTAACGTAATTATCAAGGGAGTGCCGAGTTGGATCATCTGATATGACAAGTAACATGATAGCAACCATAGGTGATGTGAGAAATTATGGGACAGGCCCTCAATCCTAATGCAGTTTAACAATTCCCAAAATGTTACTACGGAATTAAGGATTAAATCATAAGAGGGATAAGAGCAGTGCTGTAGCTTACCTTAATTCCCAAAAATTTGGGCGACAAAAAATTTGAGCGGGCCTCTCGCCCAAATTTTTTGCAGACCAAATTAATTGCATAAATCTTTTCCGTCTGCTAAATTTTTTGCTAACCAAACTTTTGGCATTTGGCCTGTACTGGCCCTGAAATCTATAGAAAGATGGCTTTTTCTTCATATCCAAGTGAAATAATATTTGAAATTTTAGTTTTCTAATCTGTCATTCATGGCTTGACCAAGTAAAAAGGCTTATATTTTAAATGAATAGAAATAACTGGAATACCTTATCGGACCTTATTTGGACGGACATTACATGAACGGACATAATTGTGAACGTAATATGAACGCTCGAAGGCATTCAAAACCATCAAAAATCCGAATTTTTTTCAATTTTTGACGTTTTTTTAATTTCAGCAAATGATTTTTTAATTCATTTTTTATACAGTAAGTAAGAATAGCAGTCATTAAGCAGTAAAAATGTTAAAATATGTGTACATGATCACTGATCAGTGTCTAATATCACATATCATCTTCATTAAATGGGTTTTCGTGCATGAAATAGTCCATGCTTAAACAAGCATCAGTGATTTCTAGCTTTGTGGAAACCTTTTTTATCATACTACCCCGGTCCTGAATTTCAGTGTTAACTTTTACAAGCCCTTCGGCGTGAAGTGGTTTTATCTTAGACAACTTTAGGTTAACCTTAACATCACGTAAAGCTTTCCTAGTACTGTTTCATTACCTCCCCTCAGTAATATGAACTATAAAAACGTCGGACAATGTCCTTGGCAACACGATTTACCGTAATGTCTAGAGGCTGGAACAAGTTTGTCATGTTGGCGCGGCGGGGACTAGCTCATGAACTATGTTGATGAGTGCCACCATTTCGTTGACTTTTTCCGCCAAGTGACCCTTGAAAACATCATATACTAGTAGAGTTTTCTGTGCCTCCGGCAGACCAAGGAGAACCTTTCCGTCGTTAACTTACGGCACAATAAAGTTCTCATAGTTATCATATTCTGAAACAATTTTAACGGACTTTAACTTGGACGGACATTAATTGAACGGACTTTATTTGAACGGACATTAAGATGAACGCTAGGGCCTCCAGCGTTCAAGTAATGTCCGTCCAAATAAGGTCCGATAAGGTAGCTAACAGCTACTAATAAAACAAATGGCTAGAGGTACGGATAGCTAGAGATTTAAACAAGATCTGCAAATGGATTATCATCCACCGTAAAGTCTGATCTACAAGCATCAGTTATACCCGACTTCTCAAAGCCTTTCCTTATGTCATCTTGATCTAGCCTCCCTTTTAAATATACAAAAAGTTCGTTGATGCAACGAGCGTGTACTTCACGGATCACTGTCAAGCGGGTATCAATTTTCACATTGTCTGATGAAACTCCTCCATTGAGCTGACACACTATGTGTTTCGCGTACCAATCTTCGTACTTATTGCGCATGAATTTCTTAGCCAGTCCATTGATAGATATGTCCAGGGGCTGTAGATGATGGGTCATATTAGCTGGAACTTTCTGTAGGATGCAGTTGTTGGCTGTCATCAGATCTTTTAGTGTCTGTGTGTGTTGGGCCCGAAACACATCTGATATCAGTAGCGCTTTCTGCTCAGGGTTGTTGATGGAGGCTCGAACTGATTCTATGTGGGGAAAAAGGATTTTCTCAAAGAACTGGACACTGGTCAGGGTATTAGACCAATGGTTGTAGGTATGGGTAGTACATGCTTAAAATTGAAAGCAAAATGACTGGAATAATAAGGAATAATAATGAACTAGGCAAATACCTAACTGAAATTTTAGTGGAAAATCGTTCATTTTTCGAAGAATTTGTGCCCGAATTTTCGGTCGCCCAAATGAGTTCAACTTTTCTGCCCAAATTTTTCGGGCTCAAATAAATTGTGCTCAATATAATGGCACACAAATTTTTGGGAACTAAGGTATTAGATTAAGGTACACTTTAAAGACATGACACAGCACATGACACAGGACAAGTCTCCTTTAAGCGGCTGTCATGGACTTATTACCTAATTAAACGTGATTAAGAAGACAGCTGGAAGAAATTGATGTATTAGATTTCCTTGTCCACCTCACGAAACAGGACACGAGATTAAGCACAGGGTCACAACCAGGTCACATATTTAATCTGTTTTAAAATAGTTTAAAACATGAGGCAAGGTATAATTACAGACCGTTCCAATGTGTAAACACTCAGTACTCTTGTTGTGCGAGAAGATAAAATGTTACAACAACGAACCTGGTGGCCCAGCGGTCTGTAGTGAGCCTCCAGCTCCAGTTTAGCCCGGTGTATCCGGCGTTCTAGCTGACGTTTCTGGTAAAACCGGAAGTAGAAGAACAGAGCACATATCAGGATCGTGATCAATGAGAGGATTACCCTGAGGAATAAGAATGTGTTTATATTCTGCACGTTCCATTCATTATTAAATGTTAAATTCTGAATTCTCCGACAGAAAATTCAGCACACTTCCTGTATAATCGCGGTATCAAATAGTCATTGTTGTTAAGTATAATCCGATCTAGAGTAAGGCACGGAATGGATGAGACGTTATTGCGGAACAATCCGATTACACTGCCAGTAATCTGATTTTCTCATCTATCAGGAAACTCGATAGTAATACTGAGTATCGAGTGTAGAGTGAGGATAGTACTGGGGAGACCATTAGAGCAGCTGCTGTGTACTGCACTCACAACCCACTGTACTAATTGTACAGAGTGTAATGCATGTGTATTGTAGTTCAACCAGAGGAACCGCTGGTCACGTGGTCGCTGCTTTGTGTTGGTAGAGACTTACATTTGTAGTGGGTAGCAGTGCCCTGATAGGTTAGTACCACGCCACATGACGTTATGCATTATGCAGTGAACTCTGGGAATTACTGGACACAATATGTAATGTTCAGTATTGAGGTGTGATGTAATGATAAGTGGTGGACTGTGTGCTGTCAGCAAGATTGTAGCGTTCTTCAGGACAAATTATACATTGTAAAATAAGCTTGGTTTTGGTTCAGGTATATTCTTGTTCTTCTTCTTCTTCTTCTTTCTTATGAATGGTCGTACAGAACAATCAAAATGTTTTGACCAATTAACTCTTCTTCGTTACGACTCACTTATAAAGTAATTACCTCTTCATTCGTCTCGGTGCTTGTCTTGGCAACCAAATTAAAGGCATTTACGATTAGGGGAGTCAGCAATGTTCATATTGAACATAACATTCGCCTGTAAATATCTGGGATGTGCTGATTTGGCCTATTATATAATAACGTTCAGTAAAATATATGAGAGGCACTGAGAGGAGGAATTTGCAGTAGCACCAGACGCAGTACACTCTTAGTTAACACCCTCCCTCCATTTTATTCAATTACACTACTCACCGGATAACAAAAATTACGCTAAAATAATTGTGCTTCCTGGGAGTGAAGGCCGTTTTAATGAATACCCATACTTTTCGGTGTATACCCTGTTAGATGAATAAATGATATCTAGACTGGAGAGTTGCAGTGTGTATGACAGAGCTGTTTCTGGTGTCGTGTAACAACAGTTTCTGCAGCGCAGAACAATTACATTTAATCAGTCGATGACAGGGAGTAGTAAGAGTAAAAGAGGAGTAAGAGTAAAGGAGGAGTAAGTAAGATAGTACATACCACAGATACCAATCTTTATAGGGGAGAGTGTAGCTGGCATCACAACACCAGGGGCTGTGGGGAACTGTGTAGTTGTAACAGCAGTACTGGTAGGCAGTGCACCTGGGGAATGGAGATCTGTTTAGTGGTGGCTTTCTGCCAAATGGGGGGGGGGGGGGGGGGGGGGTGCGGGGGTTAGACAAATGATCCTGGGGGTTAGCCAATGATCCTGATCTCCACCAGAAGCTATTATTACAAACTTGGGTGTTTATAACTCTGACTGGTTGATGTGAAGAACAAACAACAAAATTCTGTACAAATATATTAGTATTTAGTCGTTACCTGTATTTTCAGTTAATATCAATCAACTGACAACTTGTATAAATAAACGTCTAAAAATACAAAATCAATAAATTTCAGTCTAAGGGTACTACCCGGGCCGGGTAGTACCATTATCAGTAAACAGACTAAGATGAATAGACCAGTGATCTAAGATTTATAATATAATGATACCTTCGATTCTTTGGGCTCTGCGTGATAATTCCCGACAGCTTGCTGGAGGAAATTTGCGGCCCGAAGAACCGAAGGTATTATTTGTTATAACTGTTGACGGAATTCCGCTTGGAACATGTGTAATGTGATACGTGCTCATGATACAATATAGTGTCTAATATATATAGTGCGCCACTGTTATTTGTTATGAAACGTCCTGCCAGCCATTCTGAGGTGACTCGCAATCTGTGCTAATAATACCTTCGGTTCCTTGCGGGAAAATTCTGCAAATTATCAGCTCTCAGTCAGCTCCCACAAGTTTTAGTGCATATAATTCCCGGAAATAGTTATAATATTCGAGACCAGGAACTCACTTGTATTCGAAATCTGGAGCAGTTTCACCAAGAGTTAGATTCTTGATATCATTATAATTCTTTAGCAACACTCTACAAGTTACATCATTTGACATACCTGGTTGGCAAGATATTAAGGAAAAACATAGTAATCAATCAAAATATTAGAAAGAAATATTGTAAACATGATATAGGACATCATGAATGTTAAAATTCCGTGGGATAAAAAAGAATGGTTTTGAAGGATGCATGGTATTTTGGGAGACGAATAACCATTATCTTATCACAAAGATTTAGCAGTATGATAACATACTCATACACAAAACAATCAAAAAATAAAATCAAATATGACAAATAAATGAGTTCCATCATTTAAACTATTTATGATGCTGCCCCTACACCGAGAGGCAATATTGAGTTGCAGTGGAGGAGGAACCTGCTAAGCAGGTCAATAACTTTCTGTACCTCATGAAGCTAATTTTTTCCGTTCACACCCTTTTGTAAAAAGGCAATAGTGAAAGGTTACGAATGGAGGTTTTTGCAGAAAAACGTGGATTTTGGAGATAGCAGTAGGTGGGTCTGAGTATGTCGTGTTCCTTCCGTTCGTTACCATGTAACGAAAAAGCCGCGCGCGTGCAGGTTTTTAGCCTTGTTGTTTGTGACTTATTTTTCTAGCTGTTTCAATATTCATCGAAGGGTCATATTAGTATATGGACACGTTCATTGAAGTTTGAGGATATTGGTAAATTTCTAAAATAGCGTTTTCGACGATAGGGGCTTAATTTTAGCATCTATTAATCTAGCGTGTTCATAAGTTCTGAACATTAGCCACGTGACCCATACTCCCATATGCAGGTTTCAAGATGGGAAATTGGTTCGTCCCAGCCCAACCGAGAACAAAGCCTGGTTTAAGTTCAATACCGAACCACAGTTCCACTTGTGGTAACCGGGTCAGTTGGTAACTGAACAGATTGGCCTGGAGAATGGCATTGTCCTGTCATTCTCAAGCTAACCACCGAGGTAGGGGATTGGATGCCATCCGTCACACCTGGTTCTTGGACTTGTCGCCCTCAGACCCACAGAGGTGGGGTGCACTGTTGGTGGCCTGTCACCCAGGTTGTTGGTGGTATCTCTCCCTCTGCCTCCCCTTTGGACATGCACTGTTGCTGGTGAGTCAGCTGGCAACAGTGTATTATACTATCATATTCATTTTTTCTTCTCCACATTTCTTACACCTCACCCCAACCGTAGGTTCCATAATCCTTGCGGGTAAAGGAACATTCAACCGCAGGTTCCTTGCGGGTAAAGGAACATTAAACGGCAGACTCCTTGCCGGTAAAGGAGCAATCTACGCGTCGGCAGGTTCCTTGCCAGAAAAGGAACGTTGAACAAGTATCGAATCAGTATGGCTATTCCCAGCTTTAGATAGGGACTGCGTGACAGTTTTATCCTTCGGGGACAGCGGAAGCTATGCCAAAATTTTCAGCCGATCCCTTTCATGTGCAAGTTTAACCATCCACAGTTTCTATTACTGATTTTGAGACACCTCCGGAGACTTAATCATGCATGGTTCTTGAGTATAGTTTACTTTTGCTTACAGTTTCTTGCATTTGAATTGAATTTCAAATGTTTCCCCTATTTAATGCATAATTTATCAATATTATTATTATGAGGTGAGCTGATTGGAGCTTATACTTAAAGTTATAGTGAATGGAAATCTAGCGTCCGCCAAAACGAAACAACGGGCGCAATTCTTGTTGCCAATGGTGCATTCAACCTGGCTGCAGCTCTGGAAGATTTGGACAAGGAGACCTATAGCTATAATAACACCTACCACAATTTGCATCTACAAAACTGCTGTTACTGCAATCCTGTTATGCATAGTCTGAAACACTACTAAGAAGCAGATGAAGCGTTTTTGAGGTTTTCCTCTGCCCTCCTTTAGAATATTTAAGATGGTGGTTAAGAAGTGGTTCTGCCTTATCTCCTAGGTTTACAAGGTTTACAAAAAATACATCTTTATTAGAATGTAGATAGTATCAGATCAGCGGTATTAAAATCAAAATCCAAAATCCAAGTAGAAGCAGTGAGCAGCAGTTTCTTTGCACTTAGCCCCTCCTGTGCTGGGGACCCCAGTCTGATAATGATCATAAATAGGATGAGTGCCACACAGTAAGTCGTACTTCGAAGCAATTTGCCTCAAGAAAAACTTTGCCTCGAGGAAAAAAGTTAAGTGGGCTACTTTGGAAAAATTTAAGTGAGTATCATCCAACAAAAATTATATGCACGGCGCGTCGTATTTATTAAATCAACATTTAAATATTTTTTGATGATTATTTGACAAAATTTGAATTTGAATAAAATTTGCGCAGTTAAACAAATGGCACTTAAACTCGTACAGTATTTAAAATTTAGTCGAAGTATTACTGGGCCGCGCTCAGCCTGTCACATCGAAATATTAACATTAACAATTAAAATATTAACACCGTCAAGTCGCGGCGCGCGCCGCACGCTAGACACCGGAGACTATAGTGCAAAGGAACTGCTGCTCACTGCTGCTCACTGCTGCTAACTGCTGCTCACGGCTGCTATGGGCGCGCGCGCGACAGCAGCAGTTAGCAGCAGTTTCTTTGCACTATAGTCCTCCTGTGTAGATGTAGTATAGTAAAATATAAAATAACGTATTCCTTTAACCAGAGCCCTTTGTATCACGTCGTGACCCCCATTTTCGTTTCACTGTAGAGTTTTTACGATACAGGGGGAGCCGCGCATTGGTGCGCGGTGGGTCATACAACGTATGAGAAAGAGCCCACTGGTCGCGCTTGCAGTAGCAACAACAACAATGAACAACAAAAACAACAAGCGTATTACAGGATTGATGGTTATGTAAAAGTAATATATAAATTATCATGAATGAAATTGTAGGTTTATAACCTACCAAGAAGCGCGACTCGTCGACGGTCCTGAACAAATATTAAACATTAAATGAGTATTATCCGTAATATTAAAGCGTTGCTCTAACCAGAGCCCTCTCGCTATTGCAGTAGCGCGCGACCGCCGAAACAAGCGCGTCACACAGTACGCGTAGACACATGGCTATGTGAAATTAAAGCGCAAAGCACACGTGCCTGCGGGTTTTCCTTTAGCCTTGAATGATGAAGGCGACATGCAACGTTTTTTATTGATTACAAGCAATAAATATTATTGATTATAGAGCTAACCAATTGTTCAGCTTACTTTGGACACTGAACACAGAACATAGCTTAGCCAGCTGGCCGGATGAGATCAGTTTTTCAATTTTTATAATATTAATGAATTATGTAATTATATAATTATAATAAGTGAATATTTTTAACTCATAATTTTAATATTCGAATTTTTGAAATAGATATTTAATATTTGCACAGCTGACTGCCCACCAGAGCAACAAAATAACTTTTCACTTTTTAGAATCGACCGTTATTAGTTTTATCATTTATACGGACACTGATTATCAATTTTAGTGATAGCGTGAGCAGTGATAGTGTGTAGTGAAAGTGTATACTTCTTTGAAGATAATGTATCGAGATCCTAAGGGCCATTTCGAAAGCGAATTCGGGTTAGCAGTTTAGTGGGAGCGGTTAGATTAAAACAATAAAAATAAATTAAATTATAAACTAAATAAGGCAGTGAAACACAATCAAATTTTTAGTGTTGCAATTGGTAGAGCACAACACTTTGCTACCAATATTTTAAAACTTTAACAATTAAATATATACAAGTTTCAAAACACACGATCTACTCCATTATAGGGGCAGGGATGAGGTTTTGTGAGACTTCTGATAGACGGATCTCATGTTTGGTGTCCACCTTCTTTCCTCGGTACCTGCGTAGAGCAATATGAGTTGTTCTCAACATTGCAAATCTTATCCCCGTTCTCACATTCCTTACTACATCACAGTATCTCTCCTTCCAGTCACATTATCCCTCCTTCAAGTTCTACGCTATTTATTCATGATTAATATTTGATAAATTATTACCTTTAAATTTGATGGAGAAATAGTTATTTTTCCATGTAGTGTGATGATACTTTGGGGGTACCCGGGGTACGAGTTAACGAACAGTGTTCGTGTCCTTCCACAACCCCCTGTTACCTGTGTAACTCTCGGGGTAGCCTAATTCATCCGTTAGAATCGCAGAGTTAGCGGAGCTCATGATATCTCGCGACGTATGCTGCATGAACGGTGCAAGACTTGCGCCGTTTGTTTCAGCATCCAGTTGCGAGTGCTTGCCCATCGAAAACATGATTAGTGATTGTGGATTTTATTGATATTACTGATTATCCATCATATTCAGTATTAATGCTATCCATTATTTATTTATTGACATCCTTCAGTCTCCAAAACGAGGTGTGAAGGTAAATTAACTTTGAGCCTTGTTTTGGCGATTGCTTAATCGATGGGCAAGTAGGTATTTGTTTTTTAGCAGTGTTGAACATTGAAACAATTATAAAATGTTTATTTTTATCTTATATAACGTACAATATGAATGACATATGCTATAGTGACGTAACATATATAGTGCAAAGAATTAGTAACTTGCGAGATCTGATTTAGTGATAATCGACGTTAACATTTTGCAGTTTACAGTTGCACAATGTTAATGTCGATTGTTACTAACATTTATCTGAATTTAATACAAGTACATGTCACATATAAATTGGGTAGCTGAATGAAACTCGTGCCTCAAAATTTTCCGTTATTAGCATTGCAGTGTCCACGCCCTGTACTGCGTTAACGACCGAAATTTTCCCAATATGCAATTATTATTTTGCTTCTAAAATTCTCTGATAATCTGTTCCCGCTCTAATATTCAGACGACAGTGATGACTCATTAAGAGCACTAATTTCGACCACTTTCCCGGTCGAACCATACCAAATCAAACTAATTGACCCACGTGTATAGCCAATGTCCTGGCGGTGCTGAGCCGATGTAAAACTCTTCTGTAAACTCTTTTGTCTCTTGTAACTTGTTTATATTTTATATTTTAGTTATACTGTGTACTGTGTACAATAGTTATAGCGTATAGTGTGTAGTGTGTAGTGGTTATTTTGTTGTAACGTGTCACTTTATTATT